ATACTTCACAACGCGCATGCGTACATCGTGAGGAAGTATATAATGTCAGCATTTAATGAATACAATTTGAGTGATACAAACGGGTCAAAGACTTTTTCACTATATGGGAACGAGACCAAACAGGTTCTTTCTACCCAAAATGTCACTAATATATAATGAAGATGTGCCCACCCCAGCACTATTTGGTGTTTTCTTTTCATTCATTGAAGGCTTTGGGAACTGGTTAAAACTTCTCCCTTTTCCGTCGCGCGTTAATATAGTCATAATTCAGGATTAAAACAGCAACGTCCAGTTGATTTTAACTATATTCAACAACGTTCCGGTTGCTCGTCCGTTTTAAATGCAGCGGCGATGCGTTCAGAATAATAGACATTCATGCTGACTTCAAGCTCTAAATTGTGAGAAAAAAGTGAACCATTAACATTTGCTAGCATTCGCCTGTTTTCTCGTGACGTACATGTATACATGTGGCCAGGGCCCTTCGGGACTACATGTACCATACATGTATACGTTTACTTAGTCTTTGCATCGAGTCCATTTGCACTTAGTCCATGGACTCGAACGCCACGATCGTGCAATGTATGATTAAGCTACTGGTCATAGCTGCAGTGGTTTTCGTGCATTTAGTGGGGCATGCTAGGTACAATAGTGTACATAGAGAGAGAGAGAGAGAGAGAGAGAGAGAGCACTTACAACTACATGTAAACTACCAAACCCTATTTTCATATTTAAATTTAAAAGTTGAAAACCAATTGCTTTGAAATAATTCCGGACCTCTATGAGATACGTCGGTTGTTGCATGCATAATATCATTTGACGGTCTTGGGGGGGGGGGGGTTCAAACATGATAGCATATAAGGTCCGGCCTGCCTCTATAATAAAAAGTTCTTCCTCAGCATATGCAAATTACATTGCGTAAACTTCTGTCTTCTCTATTGATTCGAGAATATTTTTCTTTATTAGATTGAAGTAGTTGTTAGAACAGTGATTTCTCCAAGCTGAATGTACGAAACAAAAGGAAATATTACGTAAATAAGAAATCAATGCATAGAATTGTGAATGAATGGAGTTTCCTATCAGGAAAATGCTACTGGTGTCTTTTATACTTTAACTATTGTATTAACATATTAAATATTATTGACATTATTATAAAAAAAAATTAAAAAATTGTATACCTTCACCGACAGTTTGATCATTATGCAGTTTTCGTACAAGTCAAAGATTTCGCCAACAATGATCATTTCATTACAGAGTATCTTTCCTATCAACGTTCGGCATGCACTTCATAAAAATTTTGTATCTTTCGAAAGACATTTGTTGATATTATTGTATAATAACGATTATTGGAGGATCATAGTGATAGGTATTTGTGTTACGATGTACAAGCTCATATCCCGTTACTGTTTAGAAAACATGTCTGTATTGGGAGGATAATCACTTGAAAAAAAAAATTGAAGACCCAAATCCTCTGCTGTTTTTGTAACAATCGTTTCTAATCCCATTAAAGGTTGCTTATTATTCTTAATAGATATTGCCCCAAAGTTAAAAAGAAGATGTGAATTTATTGGCAAAATCAAATCAAATTAAGTGAGGCGTATTTGAACACTTTATATGATAAGAAAAAAAAAGATTGTAACTGATCTTGTATTTGGGGGTGGGGGTGGGGGTATTGTCTACCAAAATTATGCAGATACACGCAATAACAGTTTTTAAGTGTACGCACTGGTTTTGTAGCATAAACTTCCCTTCCGGAGAAACCGGCCCAGGTTACGGGCTGAAAGACCCCCCCTCGTGGAAAATATTGCCTGCCATAGAATCTCCCCTTAAACAAGAGACCCAAGGGCTTTAACCTTCACCTGAGTATAATACACACTGTACTGATAGCTAAAGCTATGTTCCAAAGAGCAAGAGAAAGAGGATAATCAGGGATCAACAGATAATTACACTGTATATAGTCTAGGACTTAGTAATAAATAGTAGAGTAGATCTATCTAGTTATGTAGATACCCGTACTCCCCACATGCTCATAAGAACATATTCCCCCTCATGTATGTACTCCAAATATGTTCAGGGAAGTATTTCATGTAAATACAATTAAGTAAAATTGTTGCAAAGCATCAAACCGACCGTAACAAAGTTTAGCATTTTAAAATTTTAAAAGTACTTTCATATCCAAGAAAGCACAAGATATTCAAAGCTAAAAGGGAGATCATTTTTATTTCAGACTGTCTTCAAAGCAAAAAAAAATAAAAAAATAAAAAATAAAAAAATTTAAAAAAAAAGAATAATAATAAATAAATAATAAATAAATAAATAAATAAATAAATAATAAAAATAAATAAATATTTAAATAAAATAAAAAATAAATAAAAGTAACATAATAAAAATAAATAAATAAAATAAATAAATAGAAATTTTATTGCATTTGTTCATCAAATTGATTCACCGATGTGATTAGTCTAAGTCAGTGATGAATGATAAGAATATTTTTTGTCTTCAAAATGAAGATGTAGGCCTATTTATATTCCGATCTCAAGATGAACCAGATGCTGATACCCTGGATCTTTGTCACGTGATGATGCCGATGATTTCTGCAGAGTAGGCTATGCTGCATGGCAAAATGTAGAAAAAATTATCCTTGTGTCATTCGCAGCTGTAGCATATTCAAAACATTTTTTTCACAGGTTGAACAACTTTTCCATTTTTATTCATCATGCACTTTTACAATCCGGAAAATCACGACGACTTACGTTCATATCTTACACACTCCCAGGTTGGGGAGTACCTATTGTAAACTCTTTTTATATAATCATAAATTAATAATTATCTGATGATAAATGAAAATTAAACTGAAACATAATAAACAATTAAGACTTAGTCGAAAGCAAGTTTTTTTTAATTTTTTTACTCATGATTTTATACATGTTATCATTAAAGAATTATTTTACTGAACTAATAGAAAAATAACGTCTTTTATGGAGTTGATATCCTGCATTGTGACGTCACCCTAATTGCACAGTGCGAAATCGATGTTCCTGTTTTTGCCTAATGACTGTGATCTTATGTTGGTTGTGATTCGGTGTCACATTTCAAAGATGAAGGTTATTGGACAAGTGAATTGTGAGATCATGTTAAGACCATAAACTTAGATCCTTGAAGAAAATGAATCAATATTTATATGTTGTTGATGACTACCAAGCAGTTTAAATAACCTGGACGCAGAGAAAAATTTTAAAGGACTTAAGCTATAACCAGAATTGGGAGAGGGAATATTCATTTTTATTATATACAATAATCAGTATACACTTGAATTCAAATACATGTAGCAACAACCAAGTTATCTCAGACTAATACTTGACCTTTACCATAAAACAGACGGCGTATACTGAGTGCATCCATTGCTCCATCCTCACAATGTCAAGGTTTTGTGATTTCGGAACTCCAAACAAACCCTTGACATAAGTTGGGCTAGAAAGCTACTATTTCATTTGTTCCTAGTCTAGGACTGGAACCAATCAAAAAACAGCTTTTATTGTAGGTAAGTTTTGTAAACAAATATGACTCGTCTTTAAAATGGAAAGTGTCGATATTGTAGGATTTGTGACTAGTTATATTAAATGAAACATCGGGGATTAATTTTTTGAAGATCGTCATCCTAACAGTAACAAAAGATATGCGCAGGAGTTGGACCATTTGAAAACTACAGATTTGAAAAATACATTCTCATTAGTTCGTTTATAATATTACCCATTACGTCATGTGTAACTACAACACCCAACTTTTAAATAGCGACTTATGTCAAGGGTTTGTGTGGAGTTCCGAAATCACAAAACCTTGACATTGTGAGGATGCCATTAATTGCTCATATACTGCCGTTTTTATTTTCAATATGTATTTTTTATAATGAAAATTAATGAAATGACAGCACGCGTTGAATATCTTTATGAATCAGTCATTTTTCTCATAGAATACTACATATAGTCATAAGGTACTGCTAACATCCTTCTCAAATTTTAATTTCATATTTTACAATCGTTACTAATAAAACACAAGTCACTGGTGAAGAGTACTTTATTCAAGTTAAAATAAAATATCAACATTAAGTTCGGGAAATACCTGATCTGATAAATAACCAATAATTTTTTTTTTCAATTTCTCATAATTCTTCACTTAAGGTAGTCCGATCCTCAGGTTCTGAAAATCAGCTTTTAAGTAATGGAAAATGCTCACAAAAATGTCTCCGATTTCACGTAGTAACGTGAATTTACCCGTGGTATTTCTTTAAAAGTTCATAATTATTGTTAATCATATTATGTAGGGAAAATTATCAAATCTCAAATTTATTTTCAGGAAATTCGAATAAAAACACCAGCTATGCATTTTCTAATAGAAAATTGATCAACAAGTATAATTAAGGATAGAAAAATAAAAGTATCCAGACAATTGGAGAAAATTGCAAATTGCGTCCTTTTTATGCTTATACAGTGTTTTAGTTCTTTTTACTTCAATTATTTATAATACATAATGTAAAAAAGCTTGTGCTTTCATTGCTAGACTTCACATATCACGTTTAATTTCATATCATGCTAATAAGCATTGGTATCTAATGCTAGACTAAAAGAAATTCAATTTCTCTAAAAATTATAATTCATATTTTTTTTCTTTTATGGAATACAAATGTCAAATTTTTATAAGACTGTTTCTAAGACTTCAAAGAATCTTGAATCATATTGAGATGCATAAAATGAAAATTGTTGCACAAAAAGATCTCAATTTCAAGCTCCATTTTAAGACTTTTTAAATGAAATGATAAATTTAAGAGTTATCCCTCCTGGCTGAGGATCGGATATCCTTAACTGTTTAAAATTTCTGCAAGTGGCAACTTTCACTTTACATCCCATTTGATAAACAACTGTCTGATATTTTGACAACTAATGCTAAGCTTTTCATACACAATTCAACATTATTAATGACATGTATCCCATTTTACGTATTTTGTATCATATGGAACAGACAGCACACACTAATTCCCTTCCTTCTACATATGGTGGACATTTCAGGGCGCCACAACGAGCCTCTACAGGATAAAACAGGTGGCCATTTCTACTTGTCTGGCCGCCATCTAAAACATCTGGTTGCTTGTCTACACATGTATATGTTGTCCCAGCATGCTGATTATAAAAACCCGCCATTAGATATCCTTGGTACTCTAATGTCCAGCCTCTATAACAGGTGTTTCTTGCTGTAAATAATAGTCAAAAGAAATATTTTTTTTTTATGTTTTTGGAAGTTTAATGGGTGTTGTTTTTTTTTTTAAATTGAACCAACACGTTAACAATTCGACATTAAGTTTTGTACAGTACAAAGTGACAAGAGAATAAAGTTAGAAAAAATATAAGATCAGTGGATGAAACATTAAATTATTCGATATAAAGTGTCCTGCTATTATTGTAGCTGGGCTATCAGAAAAAAAAAACCTTAGTACCCTGGGCACTAGTAATTATAGTTAGTTAATCAATGGGATATCCCGAAATGTCTACTGAGGCTTATCCTGACCTGGAGGTTATAAAACTTTTTGAGTACGTACTCCGTGCTCAAACTCATATTCCGTACTCCAAAACCATACTCATGCTCCAAACTTCCACTCTAAGTTGTGTATAAATTTTGAGTGTGTTTATGGTATCGGAGAACAGAGTTTGAGTTTGAGCACGGAGTATGTACTCAAAAAATTTTATAACCTCCAGGCCTGATTTCATAATTTTTTAATCTGTAAGATTTTGCCTATCAGCGAGTTCCTTGAAATTATTATAATTGTAATATGAGATATGAGTGAGTTCTCTGAATGACCTCTGCTTATATTATAATTTGGCTATAAGTGAAATCCCTGAATGTCACCTAATTAAGCAGTGAATATGACTATCCGTGATAACCATGGATTATCCTCTATTTATTATAATTTGTCTATCAGTGAGATCCTTACTTGTCAAATAATTCTTGGTCACCCGCGTGGCGCAGTGGTTGAAGCGTTTTCTCTAGAGTCGCGGGTTCGAATCCACTGCGGGACGTGGAGGCCGGTCCTTCGGAAGAGACCGTATAAGCCGAGGTCCCGTGTCGCAGTAGGTGCTGGCACGAAAAAGATCCCTCACTGCTCAATGGCCCTAAGTGCCGAGTATAGGTCAAAAATGTAAAGCCCTCCACCGGCATGTGGTGGCGTCTCCATATGAGTGAAAAATTCTCGAGAGGGACGTTAAACAACAACCACACAAACAAACATAGTTCTTGTAATTTGACTATCAGTGAGATCCCTAAATGCCATGTAATTCTTGTAATTTGACTATCAGTGAAATCCCTAAATGACGTGTAAGTCTTGTAATTTGACTATCAGTGAAATCCCTAAATGCCATGTAATTCTTGTAATTTGACTATCAGTGAGATCCCTAAATGACATGTAATTCTTGTAGTTTGATTTTCACTGAGATCTCTAAATGTCATGTAATTCTTGTTATTTGACTATCAGTGAGTTCCTTGAATGTCATGTAATTCTTGTAATTTGACTATCAGTGAGTTCCCAGAATGTCGTGTAATTCTTGTAATTTGACTATCAGTGAGATCAATAAAAGCTTCTTATAATTCAGCTTTTTGTGAGATCCATATATTTCCCGTAGTTATTTTTATACACCTATCAGTAATTTGTCTATCATTTGAGAGCTTTGAAGGTTATTTATTTTATTTGGTCAGTTTGTATATCTCACCTTGAAATGCTGTTACAATTATATAGCAGTAAACAGCATGTGAAGGCTTTCTTCAAACCATTGCATTAACCCCAGAAAAAATGTATGTTAAACACATTAGCCCTTTTCTCTTACCTGGAAATACTTTCACTACGGATCTACTTCGAACAAGACAAACAGCACAGGGTACATCATGATTATGGTACGAAGAAAGATAACCCGTGAAGGTATATGTTTGGTACTCCGCCCCGTATACATAAGCCCTATCCCCATCAATTCCATCCGTATAGATGTCCCACTCTGGATCCCTGGGTAAACAAAGAGTATCTACAGCCGCTCCTCTATCACCACCTTGTGACCCTCCAACAAATCCTATAATACATATGAACATATGTATTAATATATGTAATTATTCACATAAGTATTTACATATTTCAGAGTCTCCCCTCAACCTCCCCAAAATCTTAACGTAAAATCTAATGAAAAAAAGGCTTTCATTTACCAGAATAAACCAATTCTGCATTGGGAGGACACATTTTCTTTCCCCATCTTGTGTAAACACTGCTTCTATATCTTGTATCTGCTAAAAATTGAATAAAATATACAGTAATAATTGATGCAGTATTATTCGTAAATATATTAAATCTTAAAAGAAAGACGTATGATACATTTTTATCTCTCAACACCATACCGTCGTTTCGGAGACCACTGTTCACCTGCCCCTCCAATTTTTTCACAGCTTTTACGATTTCAGTAGTGAAGCTTTTGAATCCTTGTTTTAAAGCTTCTACCTGATGCGACACTTGTCCTGCTAAGTAACCCTGCAATATGTCTTTACAACTCCCGGACTGTATGTCCCCCTCTACCGTGTGAAGAAGCAACAGAATGCAGAACAGCTTCATCATCTGAGAAATAAAATGCATCTATAAGGCCATTCCAAGTTTTTTCTGTGTTTGGTGTCCGCGTGCGTCTAGGTTTTTGACACCCAATACCAGAAAAAACAAACAAAATCAGGAGTCCTGAAACTGATTATTCTGGTCAAAATCTTTTAATTCTGTCAATATCTCTAAGTATTTGTCTACAATATGTCATGTTAGGTTAACTTTAAGCATTCAATATCTTGATTTTGCTTAAGAATATATCTTTCTGTTAGAAAAATAGATTAATGAAGCCAAATCCTATGATTGACCTCATTTTTATGATAATATATTCTTTGTTTTATTTTTTGGTTTGTGTGTTTTTTACGAATAGGTAGGTAGGTTTTTGAAAGATGGGTAGACGCTAAACAGAGAAAAAACTTGGAATGGCCTAATGAAACTCGACTCGATATATACCAGTGAAATAAAAGACACCACAGAGTCTGCCAAATCCGTTTCATAATTGGATGTTTAACAGACTATAGACGAGAAAGGCGAACCAACAACTAAATTGTTTGATAGATAGATTTCAGACAATTGCATAGAAAAATCGACTGAAAAATACTCCATTTTTAATTTTTTCCCGCAAGAATAGACACTTTAACTTACGTTATTTTCTCTGATTTTTTTTTTTTTTCGGTAACAAAGAAAATATAGTTCTTTTGATATATATAAAAAAAAGAGAAAATGTTTTTGTATGTTGTATACAAGTAATTTTTTGTATAATGTATGATAAAAATGAATGCTGACAGTGTTTTCCTTTAATCCTACCAAAAATATATACGATTGCTTATTTATTAAGAGTAGATTTAAGAAACTAAACATGTTTAGCAACAACCACATATCTAAAGTTTAGAAATGACATGTGTTTTCACTCAAACTCAATAAAGGGATGCAAAGACCCAGTGACATCATTCATAAAATAGATAATAAGAAAAAAGAAAAACATTGATTGATATTTAAACATCAATGATTCAACATTACAAAAAATTTAATTTTTTTTTTCAACAAGAATTGATGGGTTTTTGAGTTGTGACGTTTTCAAGTTACGACATTTTATCATAAAATTTAGATGTAAAATGTACGTTACCAGGGGGTTTCATTACTTTTCAGTGGCTTTACACAAAACATAAGATTATTAATATCAAATTATAACAATGTATAATAAAACACTGTAGGAGTTTAATAACTAAGGAATACTTGGGATGGGATTTATTGTTAGTGATATACCCAATGTTTAAGTAATTGGTATTATTTTGACTTTTCCCTTTTTCAGGAATATAAAAATACTGCATGTTTTACACTCCACAAATAATTTATGTATGTCATACAAGAACAAATATAATACAATAAATATTGAAAATATGTGTTTTAATCTTCATTAAAAGAATACGGATTTCGCCAAACAAAATGCAATGTCAGCAAGTGATTTTGCCATTTAGTTTAAATAGAAATAAAATAAAATTACATAACATGATGAGAAATGTTTGTTACCACATTTCATATATGTTCGTTACTTATGAATATTGGACTAATTATGAAAAAATATCAAATTTTGAGAAGGAAACATCCATGATAAACATGATTATAAATGTGTGCATGCTTTCTGTACAGTAAATGGAGTGACAAAATGCCGTTTTGTAAATAATTTCAATAAATCAAGAATAATATTCAAAAACAATATTTATGACATCTTTTAAACATTGTGTTCACAGTGTATTGGTATTGCTTTAAATATATAAACAAATCAAAAATCAACTTATCATACATGTGGTACACTGTTTCTAATCCAATCAACTTCATAGCAGGATAAAGAAATAAAAAAAAATACTTCAATACGATATGATACTGAAAGTGAAATGTTCGTTACCATTTGTAACGAACATTTCTCTGTTTATTTTTGAGCATTACTATAAATAAACAGCACAAACATTGATGTCAAATTGTAAGCAGTAGTCTATTTATTCATTCTCAGTTGTTCTGTATAAATAAATATCATAATATTGTTCATTAATCACGGTACACATCAATGTATTGACCAACCTTGTCTTCAGCATGACGTATTTAAGAAATTGAATGTTTCACCTTCAACACTGACATTCAAATATTGTGGCGGGTTGTAACTTCTATCCTAAAAACGCTTAAAGTTGAGTTTTCTCGCCGTTTAAAGTGACGGAATTTAAAACTATGTAACGAACATTTCAGTAACGAACATTTCAAACAAGCACATACCATGGAATAGTGGTTCGAATGAAAGTAGGATTGCTGACCTAAATGTTATTGTTCTTTGCGACACACATTAGCTTTGTAATGAAATCACCAGCCTATGTGAAGATCGTACGTTTAGTTGCATGAATAAGATAACAAACATTTCATTGTTATTTCATCGCAAAAAGAAGGCAAAGTTACAGACTGAATTAAAATTATGCGATGAAAGTTGAAATGTAAATGTATTAAGAAAGGATGTCTGTGATGGTTAGTTTCATAAAACATTGCATTGCTTGTCTGTAGTTATATCTGTCTGGATAAGTAACGATCAAAATAATTTTATTAGGCGATGTTAATCTTGTGTCTTATTTGGCGACATCGCTTTAAAATCAAATACAGAACATTAAATCAGTCAAAAACACCGATGTTATTTTTAGTTTTCAGAACTTTGATATGTTTAATCTTAAATGATGATATTTTTTACGATTTCTTTCCTTTAAGTTTTAAAATTAAGCACCTTATGTCCATACTCTGTTACCGGCGACAATAACGAACATTTCAAAATGACACATTTGGAGGTAATTTACCCAAGTTTTAAAGTCAGACAGCTGTTACATAAGGGTTAGTTTAACAAGTCTGCAAATATTAAAATAGCATTCAATTATTTGAAATGTAATGTATAATTTGAAAATATTTCACAAGCGACAGTAATTGGACCCTTTTATTGAGTTTGAGTGTTTAAGCTAAAAAAAATTACAAAATATGTTATACTTTGTAATTAGAATCTGAACTCAGATTTAACAATGAGATCTTAAAATAAAGTTACAATTAACTTACATTATAGTATATAAATGAAGACAAATATGCACGTTTTCACAAATGGAAAGTAATTCAGTAAGAGTGAGGAATGATGTTATATTTTTTATTCCTGCCAAAACTGAACAAGTTATACATAGCGGAAGTCAGTATTTTCAAACCCTATTGCCGTTTCATTTTATGTCTATAAATGTTATTCTAAAAATTCATTTTCTATTTAACATTGTACAACAGCTTCATTATTATTATAAAACAATTTGATGTCTTTTTTTCAGTGAATTACGACTATAAAAAATCTGTGGTTGCCAAACAACAAATCTTTATGATAAACGTGATTCTTCAACTTTTCTATCGTTAACTTCCCTTATTTTTATAGCAATATACCCTTAATACCTGCTAATGCAGATTAAGTCCCAGTTACTCTCTTCGATACTCAAAAGCATGCTCTACGTACGAACAATTTCTAAAACGAAGCAATCTTTTCCCAAACAAGTTGATGAAACAAGGATAACACTTGTCTAGTTTAAAGTATACATTTCGCAAGTTCTATGGTCGATGCAACGTCCCTGTCAGCAAATATAATCTATCATTAAGTCGAATGCTGACTGATATTTTTCATAGTAATTGTTAGGCCATTATTTACACACAGAGTTTTCTACAGATTTTTCCGTTTGCATGATCATGATAATGAGCACGCTTCGAGTGTGACCGGTTGGCTGGGGATGCTTACTCCTCCATGGGACTTGATCCCATCTCAGATGTTTTTAGAGGTTTGTTTTGCTCTGCTCCCGATTAGTATTGTTTCAATGTACCTTTGAGCTTGATAACTGTTCGTTGTCTCCATATTTCATGGATTCAAGGCAGGAATATATAACATGCCTAATTTAATATAATAAATATTATGGCCATTATGCTCTTTAAACTATCCAAGCAGATGTGGCATACTATGTGATGTCTTTATTTTGGGGTTGATTGGGATATTTATCGGGTCAATATATGACCATAACTATTGTACATGTAAATTTATTTTATAATGAATCAGATTGACTTTTACAAAGTCATTTTGTAGATGACCAATCAAAAGATATTTTTGAGTTCCAATTTTACTGAAGAAGCAGTTGTCTTTGATAATAAAAAGCCTAGTTTTTAATGTTTCATGAGGTATGATTGTATTAAATGTAGAAAAGTCATATGTTTTAATGTTACTTAATTTTGACATTAAAATCTATTTTCTCCATGACACATATGGCGAAAGAAATGTATGTATGACGTCAGATTTGGATTTATTACATGTATATTAATAATATATACAACTAAACAAAATGACAAAGACATGACCTCAGCTTTTCTATCATCATTTTTCCTTAATTATTTCCACTCTCACTTGTATATGGTGTTTATGTCTCTCAACTTATTCGATACTCAACAGCGTGCCTTGAGTACGATCAATTTTTAACCCGATACAGGCTACTGACAGATAAGTTGATGTTACAGGGATTTCAACAATCTCAGTAAAAGTCAGCATTTCGAAAATACTATGGTCGTTATAATGACCTCGTTAGCAAAGACAGCCTATCATTTGGTCGTAATTTGACTGACATATTTCAGACCAATTGTTAGGCTTTTCTTTTTAAAATGAATTTGACTGCGGACTACTCCGTCTGCATAATCAATACAAAGGGCTCAAGTCGGTCAGGTGTGACCGGTCGACAAGGGGTGCTTACTCCTCCTAGGCACCTGATCCAACTTTTGGAATTTCCAGGGGCCCATGTTTTGTGCCCTGTTAACTGAATTGTATTTCTCGGTCTTTCTTACTTTTCGTCATCCTCACCTATTTCATATAAAATTAATATGTGAATTGACATCCATTGAATATGTTGTCCTTTATTTCTCATCAAATCCGATTGCTGCTATCAATCCATTTTCAGTAGACTGGTCAGAACCGGTTTTTGAAAGCTATCTGATCGAAAGATTTCTTACAAAATTGGCTTTTCCATCAATGCAACGTGCGGATAAATAAAGAAATACAATGTTTTTCGTACTTTCAATGCCTTTAGATGAATACTTTATACAAAAATTAAATATAAATGATATAACGCCTTTGTTAATGTAGGACTTCACTGTTGCAATCACTACTTTCGCGGTTATGTATCTTTTTCTGCAATGTCAACAATTATCCCTGCATCAACAAAAAATAAAACATTTTTCTGTTTATAATGAAACCAAATTAGTAGTCACGTTAAGATATTTTTTGATATGTTTCTGACGCAATTCTTTATCCTATTACTATTCTGTGGAAAGTTTATACACTTTTGTGGCATTCATTATATAAAGCCCCTCTTTCAGTTCAAAGAATTTTACGAACTTAATTGTGAATGCTTGCTAGCAGCTTAATTTTTTTTTCAAAGAAACTGGAACATAAGTAAAGAGTGACTGCTATTTTTTGGATTATGATTTTTCCATTTTTTTTTTAAATATTAGTATAAGTTCAACACACTATTTAGCCATATTACCTTCTCTTGCGAACAATCCCAACAAGGTTTTCGATGACAAATGAAATTCAGATTTTTATCACCATAAATAAGAAAATCACGTCCATATTTTGACTCCAATTGCTATAAGTCGTCCACTGTTTGTAAAATGACAATAACACATAAGAAAGTGTCCACAAAGGATATAGTTCGTTTACCATGTTTACAGCGAAGAATATTTTATTGATCTATCAAATAGTCAATTAAACTACGGTCATTAATCTAATAAAAGTAATTTACTTGTAATTAATCCACAGTGTCACAAAGAAGACCTAGGTCGATCACAGTAGCATTCCATCTTTGTCTTATTTTTTTAAGTGGTAAGCTTTATAGGCAGCCTACAGCAACTTCCGGTCCAGTGCCACCTGACCGATAATGACAGATGCAATTGTAACCATAACTTAAAATATGCGGATCGAAATTACCTATTTTCTTTAGTCTATTTTTAGTGTGAGACTATGACAGATAGAGTCTGTGTTAATTAGAAAGACCTAAGCTGACCTACATCTTGTCATATTGGATCTGGTGCTGCTTACCACTGCAGTTGATTTAAAAATGTCTCATCGTGTATCCCACTGGTTTTATATATCAATTTAAATTATTGTAACTGTAGAAGAAACCGGAAACGTAAGTTTTATTTAGTGTAAAAAAGTACCTAAATTTAATTTACATTTTTTTGGACATGTATAAAAGCACAATTATTTATAACATTATTCACGATCAACTAAACGCTGGAATTTAAGAAACATGGGTAATTTTGCTATATCTGTTACGGATTTGCATAGCTACACATCTATTTAAAGTTCATTAGCATAAACATGAAAAAGAAAATAACTGGGACTAAGGGCAAAATTGATTATTTTAGCCCAGAAGGCTTGAAATATTGCCCAACGCGGAGCGTCGGGCAATATTATCTTCCCCAAGGGGTTTACACAATCAACGTGCCTGAAAACAGTCAATAATAGTTTTGTTATATAAAAACAAAACAAATCAAAAAGATAAAAAGAGTACGTGGAATATCTTATCTATAGATTGTTTCAACGAGTTGAGCGGAGCATTCTTCTTAGGTAATATATGAACTCCAATATCAGCTAAGAGCAATTAAAGTTCTTAATCTTGTTGACGTTTCTTACTTTTATTAGTGCTTTTTTTTTTCCCTTAAAATCTCTTTCTCTGTCATTAGTATTTGATCTTTTCACTCTCATGGACATACGGATACGGATAGGAATAAACTATTTCGACATAAAAGTTTATACGAGGGTCGTTCAATAAGTAATGCAACAAACAGTATATCACAGAAAATGTAAATATATGTTATTTTATTTTTGCACAGTTGAAATGTTCAATTGAAGAGCTCCTGATTATAGAAAACCCCATAATTTTTCCTATTGACCTCGCAAAGAAATTCACTTTTAAAGTATGCATGGTCACTACACTGAGCTGAAAACTGTTTAAAATGATCTCTGCCAAGAAGATGAAAATGAGAGCGTGTGTGAAAACTTTGTTTCTTTACATAAATTGCCGAAGAACTCATATTAAAGATATGACTTTCATATGTGGAAAGAAAAGTCTTTATAGTTTTCAGATTGATTCAGAAAATTAGAAGTAAAAAAGGAGGGTTAAAATATAATAGACAAACTGGTCGATTGAAATTTGTAGGGATACCAAAAATTATCGATGCAATGTACAACATGATATCTGAAAATGTCAGATTTACATCGAAAGACATTGCTAGAACACTAAGCATTTCATCGTCATAACATTTTATAGCATCCTGACAACGGAAATGAATATAATAATATTTCCTATTATTTAGATATGTGCCTTGTTTTGTTAAAATTGCCTAAGAGAAAAATACGCATTAAATGTGCTTATGGTCTACTTTAAAACAGATATTTTAACAAAATTTAAGGTTTGTTAATTTTGCGTGATGAATGACGAAACATGGGTGCACATCTATAGCTAAAAAGGAAGATCAATAGTAAAATGTGGAATCAAAGAAAAAGCTGTCATTCATATTATTGTAAAGAGAAGAGAAAGCTTTAAGCATGGCTAATTAGTTTTCATTTTTTTCAAGAGGTCCAGTAAAACATGTAGATACACTCAAAGGAAGGACCACCAATGATAACTTTTATGTTCAAATTGCAATGAAGAAAGATAAACAGATTTCCTGCAAAAGAAGTCCAAATACCGCCCCAGGGTAATTTTCTTGCACCTGGCGACGCCGCTGTAAATAAGCACAAAGAATTAAATGAAATTCTGAAGAAAAAAGTTTACAGAGCTTTGCAATCCCCCATATTCGCTAGATCTCAGCCATTGTGAGATCTTTTTATTCCAAAAATGCATGAAAGCAATCAAAGGAAGATTGTACAGTATTAGATATGTCATGGAAAGTGATATTCATCAGTGTCTTTAGGGTATCCCTAAAGATGGGTATACTGAGGTTTTCTGGGTACAAAGACATAAGAATGTGTAAAGGATAACAGGGAATGCTTTGAGGGATAGAAAATGTTTAGAATATATATTACACTCTTTTCTTACTTTCAGATGATTTATTACATTATTTATTGAATGACCCTCGTAAATGAAACCGATGACAATTAAATGGAATTCAATGTTCTGATGAGTTGAATGTTTCCGGTTATTTTCATGCTTTTCAATGACTGCAGAGTAGTCAGATACTGTAAGAGATGGTTACATCTGACCTAATGTCTTAAGTATGACATACACAATTTTGCAGAACAAACTGATATTAATATTCTAATCTTAAAAACATGGGTTGGATTGTGCTTTCGTAGTTCTTTTCCTAAAATGTGAAAACATCTAGAAGGAACAATTAGAAATGGACAATTTATCTATCTCAATTTATTCTCTATAAAGCAGTTTGAGATAAAGATAATCTCCTTCGGCTATATATATAATATTGAAGCTTTACTTACATACGCTTACTTCAAAGGTTAGTTAGTCGGGTCTTAACGTCGATATACATTCTAACTATATGGAAGTGAATATCGATGTCAGAAATAAATGTTTTTATATTGCTTGGATGAATACAGGGCAAGAAAAAAGGTAAATAAAAAAGTATGTTTTTAATAATTAAATTGAATACTTTGTAAGTACAAAAAGTAATGAAAACACTTTCGGTTTATATTTATTTTATTATATACAAAAACAAGACTTATACAAGAATTTAGAATTTGATTTTGTACACGAGATTAGTCCTTTTCTTGAACAAACAAAACGCTCACAAAATATATACATATAATGTAAATAGATACATGAATTACAATTAAATAACAACTATCAGATCTAAAGAATATCCACCATTTCACCTCTATGGCCCAGTCATGAGTTCTGGTAACATCACTCTCCTCCCCAGATATACTGGTGATAACATGTAATTGTACAATAAACATTATCATTCAAAAATGATGTGTTTCGTAAGACAGTGACATACACTTAGCAAAGGTTTATAAACAACATTACCAATAAACTGTGTGTTATCTTTTGCTAATTCGTTGTTCGTTTCTCTTAAAAGGTCTAAGAGATTAATTGGCTTTGCATTTTTACATAATGTGGTAAACTTGTCTAACAGAATGGTCCATACATGGCTGCCTTGTTTACTATTAAATCCTGACACATAACCTACAAGACACAAAGATATGATCAATCAAAAGTATGTATCGGCTATATATATACAATCCATTTAGGACGTCCCTATATGTCTCTCATATATGGGACAGCCCATAGGGACAGCCTTTCCCTATGGATGTAATGACAATGTCGATAGTGTTGGAAATCTTTCCAGTCCACAGTGTAACAATGTAAATGTGATGGGACTTTTTAACCGTACACAGAGACGTAAGCGTAGTCATGGGCATCGGTCTTACAATAAACCTTTAATACATGATGTCTCTTTTGATTCATTACTACCTTACGTAAATCAACAGTTAGGTCTACATCATATTCGCACCAAACTTTACTCTGTCCCTTTGAAACTTTTAAATAGTCTTCTTGAAAAGGTCAAGGAAAGTCCATTTTTTGATTCTTCGACACCAGAATATAGGCTCGGATCTGTAATTATGGATATTGCCAATCATAGGCTTTTTAAACCCCCGCGTTTCACTGAAGAAAATGCAGCTAGAACAATCCGTTTTTTCCTTAAACTTCAATATGCCAACAAAGGAATTGATGCGGTTAATATAAGTAATATTCTTAATCACAAAAGGGTCCAGTCTTGTATTCCACCATATTTCAAGTTAAAGACTCCACCTTGTATTTCCTACAAATATACATCGACTATTGCTTCCAAACTTTTTAATTACAAGAAAACTTTACAGGGCCTGGATATCGAATATCTGAAGCATAATCCTCCATCGTGTTCATGTTCTTCTTCGCCCTATAACTATAGTCCTGCTGGACACGTTATTACTGGTGACGTAAATATAGTTAATAATGAGGACCTTAGATCACTAATTTTAAAAGGTCCTAAATTTAGGGAACCCAGATCCTTCAACTGGCGTCGGAATTTCATAAATATTATGGATTCTGTAGAGGACTACGCCAGGCAATGGACCAGACATGAAAAAGAAGACCTTGACACTTTGTCAGAATGGATTAAATGTATCAGATGTATGTTAAAATCGCGCGTTAAAAGATTGAGAGGCAATTTGAAAACCATCTATCCTTCTGTATTCAATAATCCAGAAATGAAAAAAAGAATTAGATAGATTACATGATCAGCACGTACTGGTCCCTGCTGACAAAGCAGGTAACAACATTGTCTTTGTTTGTAAGGCTCATTATATTAAATGTATTTTAGAGGAACTTGGATTTAATTCTACAAGTGGTAATCCAACTTATACTCATAGTTCCCTTTCTAAGGAAGAAATTCTTCAAAATCATATGTCAGTTTTGAATATTTTTAATATTCCAAACAACCAAAATGAATTTGAATTACCATATTTATATTGGATTCTGAAACTTCATAAAAATCCTTACAAACACAGATACATAGCGGGTTCCAGTAAATGTTCAACCGAACCTCTATCTTTACTCCTCACTAAGATATCAACAGTGGTGAAGGAGAAACTTCAAGAGTACTGTGCAACAATATATTCGAGAAGTGGTGTAAATCAGATGTGGATACTTAACAATTCCAAGGAACTTTTGGAAAATTTGAAATCACAAGATTTTACCAAAATCAACAGCTTAAAAACTCACGACTTTTCAACTTTGTACACAACCATTCCCCACGATAAATTAAAGTCCAGGCTTTTTGATATCATTGACAGCTGCTTTTTCAATAAAAATGGAACTCGTAAATATACTTACCTTGTCATTGGTCATTTGCAAAATTATTTTGTTAAAAACATTCTGATTGTTCACTCTGAAGTTGACATTAAAAAAAAGCTTGAGTTTCTGATTGACAATATCTATGTGGTTTTTGGAGACCAGGTCTTCCAACAATCTATTGGAATTCCCATGGGTTCCAATTGCGCCCCGTTATTAGCAGACCTTTTTTTGTATTCATATGAAGCAGAATTTGTCCAAAATCTTGTACGTGAAAAGAAGAAAACACTTGCTGTGGCCTTCAACTCGACATTTAGATATATCGACGACGTATTGTCAATTAACAATGGCTATTTCCTCTCTTATGTCGATACGATATATCCTTGTGAACTTGAGATAAAAGATACCTTAGAGTCTGACACATCTGTTTCATATTTGGATATTTTACTTGAAAAAGACGTTAATGGTAATCTAACAACTAAGCTTTATGATAAACGTGATGACTTTAACTTTTCAATCGTCAACTTCCCTTACTTATGCAGCAATATACCTTCATCACCTGCATACGGGGTATATATCTCTCAGTTGATTTGATACGCAAGAGCATGCTCTACGTATGTACAATTTCTAAAACGAGGTAAATTATTGACAAATAAGTTGATGAAACAAGAATATCAGCTGTCTCGTTTAAAGTCATCATTTCGTAAGTTCTATGGTCGATACAATGACCTTGTCAGCAAATACAATTTATCACTGAGTCAAATGCTGACTGACGTTTTTCACACTAATTGTTAGGCCATTATTTACACACTGAATTGTCGACGGATTTTCCCGTTATTTCCCGATCATGACAAGGAGCACACGGCGGGTGTGACCGGTCGGCAAGGGATGCTCACTCCTTCATAGCACCTGATCCCACCTCTGATGTTTGGAGGTCCGTGTTTGCTCTGCTCCTATTTTGTATTGATTAATGGACTTTTGAGCTTGAATACTGTTTGTTATCTCCATATATTTCATATATTCACGAGAAATTACATGTAATATTCACAATGTCAGGACAGTGATATTTTTTTAAATCCCAACTACAGTCTACAGTTTCTTCCGTTTACCAGATCATGACAGGGGGCTCATTCGGATGTGAATAGACAACAGTGGATGCTCCGCTGCATCAAATTTCACCTCTGTTTTCGGGGGCTTTTTTAACATTTGGATTATTGAGCATGATACTGTCTAACACTCACCTATTGGTGTTGAAAACACAATGACGCTGTCCTCGATACATGGTGGTGAGAACACCATCTTATCCTCTGATGGTACATGCATAGCAGGAAAAGTATATGGAACAGGAACATCTCCTAAAATAGAGAAAATAGTTAAATTTCAAACTGATTTTATTAAACTATGAAACAATCTGTCTCTGTTAAGTACAATGTGTCCATGAGTGGAGTAAAGTACTGTTTGTTAATGTCGAATCCGTGTGGAAAATTAAAAACATTAACTCATCTCTGCTTCATTCTACAGTGGGTGTTCAGTCTTAGTCTTTAGACCCATATGTACGGAAGCCGGTAGGTGCCAGGTAGAAAAATATTTTATCTGGCGGCCGCCAGATAAGTTTCTGGCGGCTGCCAAATAATTATCTGGCGGCCGCCAGAAACCTATCTGGCGGCCGCCATATAATTTTCTGGCGGCCGCCAGATAAAAAGATCTGGCGGCCGCCAGATAACTTATCTGGCGGCCGCCAGAAAGTTATCTGGCGGCCGCCACATAATTTCTGGCGGCCGCCAGATAATTATTTGGCGGCTGCCAGATAATTTATGGCGGCCGCCAAATAACTTTCTGGCGGCCGCCAGATAAGTTATCTGGCGGCCGCCAGATCTTTTTATCTGGCGGCCGCCAGAAAATTATTTGGCGGCCGCCAGATAAGTTTCTGGCGGCCGCCAGTTATTTATGTGGCGGCCGCCAGATAATTATTTGGCGGCCGCCAGAAAGTTATCTGGCGGCCGCCAGATAAAATATTTTTTCTACCTGGCACCAACCGGCTTCCGTACATATGACCAATCAAGGTTAAATGGAGATTCAAAGTCGGATTATGTTAAGAATCATAACTTTAATTATAAATAAATACTTAATAGTCCATGTATTGTAGAAATAAATGTTTATCCATGAGCCAAGCCTCTATTTTTACTCATCACAGATTATTAACTGTTGTGAAAAAGAAAAACGCACTATGCTACACGATATTCACAAAGTAATGTAAATGGAACTTAAAATACTCCAAGAAACCTTAATTTAAAAAAAATTAAAATCACAAGATTTTCCAAAATTAACAGCACCAAAACGTACTGACTTGATAATTTTCAAGCTTAAGTTTTAGAAGAGTTTAATATCAGTTTAATGTTACATTTATTTTTCATCGATAATTTTCGTTACTGAAAAATCTACTTTCTTAATTTGTATATAACCTGTCTGCTTCAATCAGTTGTTTGTATGTGAAACGTTAAAATTACAAAATATTTGTACAGCTACAAAGATCGTTAGCGTTCAACGACAGAAGGACATCTTTTTGCTATGAAACTGATAGTGCTTTTTTTTGAAAACAAATTGGGAAAGAATATAAAAAAAAACATTGAACAAATTATTAATGAATAGGTCACCGTCTTGGTCCATTCAATTTTCAATTTCAATTCTTTATTCGCTCAAAACCAGATCACTGGTTCAAGAGGTACATATACACATATATACAAAAAAAAATTACAGTCAAGGGTCAAAAAATAGACAAGTATTTAAAGAAAAAAAGAAAAGAAAGTAAACATATGATCAGTTATATATATGGAGGATTCAAGAAGGACAGACAGTTTTGAAGATTTTCTTAATAAATTTTGACAATCATTTTTGTATTTCTACATTATTTCTGTTCATTAATTCATTAAATTTGAAAGTGTTAGGATTTTTACAATATCTATTTTGAAGAAATATTTTTCTGTCATTCGAAAAGAACTTGCATTCCATAACATAATGAAATTCATCACCAATAGTTTTACAATCACAAATGGTACATATTCTTAAATTTCTATCAATATTATTCCATCTACCTGTTTCAATTGGCAAATGATGATTACACGTTCGTAGTTTTGTAAGTGTAACTCTTAAATCTTTTGGTAAATTCAGCAGATAATTTTCGAAACCAAAGTTTGTTTTAAAAATTCTATAATTAATACACTTGAGTGAACTATCAACAATGCTTCTCCATTCTTGTTCAAATTGATTTTTAGGGTATCTTTAATAATTGACTTTAGCCAGTTAAAACTGTGAAATGATTATCTTGTCCATATATACGACAATCCACAAGAATTAAGCACATCTTGTACACATTTTATCCATGGATGTACAAACGACCCATCGATATAACACCTATATAAATATGAATAAATCACATTTGTAAGCTTACTTTCATGGGCTGTTAAAATTTTTGCCCAGTACATAACCATTTTTAATTTTATAAATAATGACAGTGGATATCTACCTGTTTCTCCATACACCATACAATTTGGGGTACTAGATTTAAGATTAAGAATAAATTTCAGGAATTTTAAGTGCACTTTTTCTATTACGTCTAAATTTTCATATCTCCAGACTTCACAATAATAAAGTAAAATTGGGTTGATGACTTTATCAAACAAGTCTAGCTGACAATTAATTGGTAAATTAAAATAGCGAATTTTACGTAAGACTCCATACATTGCTTTTGAAGCTTGTTCTGCTAAATGTTTTTTTGCATTATTAAATTTTCCACTTCTTGTCAAACTAGCCAGCTGTGACGTATCATTTTATTCAGCATATCGTCATTAATTAAGCTTTCATTTAAGTTTTTTATTAATGTTCTTATGGCATGATTTGCACATCAATTTTTATTTACATTATTTATGGAAAATAAAAGAATTCAAATTTTAGCAAAATAATTATTTATTTTTATTCATATAAATTCATTTTTATTGCTTTAACAACAAACCATAATTGTTTTCCCAAACGTCTATATAGGCTGATGTTCATATCGGAGTCCTTAACCTAGCTGTTATTTCACTATAGGCTACAATTTGTTACATCATACAATGCCTATATACTGAGAACTGATGTATCAATATACCTTTTGTTTCTATTCCCAGGTCAATTTTGTTATCTTCATGTTTACCTCTGCACGCCTGGAAAATAAAAAAAAATATCTTATTAACTATTTTGACAAAAAAATTATTTATTTCAACCAATTTTGAGACATGAATAAAGTTGAACAAAATTCATGGTCTCTTTCTCCCCAGAACCTAATGGATGCGGCCTTGACAATAAAATTTAACACAATTAATTAAACTTATTCATTTAAAGTGTTTCTCTTTAATTCACTTCTGAACTTTATGAGACATATTTCAGGAATATGTTTGATTATAGAAGCTTTCATCGAACTGTTAATTTTTGGTCACTATAAGACAAGAGTTCAATTTTCAGTTGTGTTCAAAGTGGTCTTAACCAGAGAATATTATAATATTCAGGTAATCAACATGGCCGATGGGCTTATTGTTTATATAAAACATTTAAGAAATAAACAACGTTATTCAGTGAACATGGCGTTATGAATAGCAATTGCTCTGCTGGCATATTCCATGATGCGCGCTTGTTTATTACTTATATTTGCATTCTGTGATGTTGTCAAGGATATCAGAGGAAATCCTGGCTTACATAAGGGCACAGCTGCTTGTCTCCAGTGAAGAAAAAAAACATGACTATAAAATCAGTAGACCTGACTAATCCGCCGTTTTCTCCAATAAATTACAAAATTAATAATATTTATGGTGGTATTTGCTTCTCAGTCAACCACAATTATCTGGATACAAACCACGTCGTCTTCAAATTCTCGTAATTTTTTGTTTTGACGCAGTTGTGACGTTATCGTTCAAAGTCTCTGAGAAAAATTAATAATTACGTTTATGATGAAAAAAGAGAATGTTTTTATAGTGATTTTAACTTAAGAATGCTTTTACTATGTTTTTTAAGTTATTCAAATTCATTTTAAGAGCTGAAATCGTTCTTGAAATAGATGAACTATAATAATTACAGAAATTCGTTTCCTCTGAAAGTAAAACACCCTAGCGTAAAGAGTTATCGTTCATTGCAAAAATATACATAAATATGAACAGAAAAATTAGATATAGCAGTTCTTTCAATTTGTAAAAAATTAAACATGAATTAACAGACGACAAATAGATGGTTTCCAGAGAGTGTTTAAGCATTAGGATTACTCCAAAATTGAGGACAGCAACTCTCATGTATCCAAATTTGAAACCATAATAACTTCAAAGACGAAGCAAAAATTGGATTACAAAACCAATCCAAAATTGAGGCCAGGCTAATATTAGAGCCAGGACAGGCCAGATATTACTGTAAACCCAAGGAAAGTTCTTAGATATAGAGGAATAAGTAATTGCCCCATCACTTGGCTTACCTGAATAAAAAATATTTTTGGTACACCCTTTCGTGTGTTTTTAAAGATATTGACAATTTCCCTTATCGACACACCTTCCTCTTTAAAGTCTTTGGAAAATTCGTTCCTTTCCGGATATGTTAGTATAAAATCCTCATAACGCTCAACATCGTTGTCATCTGCATGCTCTTCTGTCTTCCGAATAACTCCATGTGAGGACACGGATACCAAAATGCAACCACATGGCTCCACTGAACAGTTCTTCTCGACTACAAATTATGATAAATGGAAAGCTTCACTATTTAAATCTATTTTTTGCAAGCACTATTAAAGAATTAAATTTCTATACATGTAGGTTAGTACGAGGGCTGTTCGAAAATAAATTATTGAGACACTCCGTAAAAGAAAAAGATAAATTCATGAAAAAGTCGTCAACATTTTATGAAGAACAAAGAAAAACATATGTGCAAAATTTCTAATAAATAGGATAACAAGTCCCGGTGAAAATATAAATTTGCATATGTTTATTGACCTTGTGCATCATCGCTACGGCATTTTACAGGATAGACGTAGTTTTTTTATCATGTTGAAACGACCGGGAAGCGTTAACTCTAGGTATGCTCGCTACGCCGCCTTGACGTCAAAATTCACTTTCTCGTCGTAATACGATTTCTATGCCGTGCTTTTTTCATGATCTCCGAATTTCTTATCGGAATTCTAACAAACTTGCACAATATGAAGTTAAATAAAATTGAAAAAAAATTATGTACCTGGTAGATAATTTGAATTATTTTTGTTCTTACTATGAATCAACCGGAAGTTTGAATGTAGGTTTTGCTTTTTTTAATATCTGATTTCGTGACTGCGCCAGGTACCCTATCATTGAAACAATAATGCACCACTGAAAAGAAGAAATAGAATATTTGTAAATTACATCTTGATTTTATTAATTCTTTTCAAACGTTTGTGCCAGTTTTCAACCAAAGGTGTTCATTAGAAAGAAGAGTAAACCACGGCCGTAGGAACCGGGGGGGGGGGGGCACGGGGGGCGTCCCCCCAATAATTTTGCCGATATATAAAATACTATAGAAAAGATAGCTATGATATGCTTGTGCCCCCTCAATCATAACGTCTGATGACCATTTTTTCTTCTTTTTTTTTCTTTGCTTGTCAAGAAATTTTGGTACTTGATAGTGCCCCTCCAACTGAAAATGTATGGTTGTGCCCCCTCAAAGTGAAATTGCTTCCTACGGGCCTGTAAACACAGTGTCTCCCACTGTAATTTCCCAACAGCCCTAGTAGATTTAGATTTTGTGTGTTCTTCCACAAAAAAACTTTCTTACATGTACATATTTGTACATGGCTTTTTTATTATCTATTTTATGTTCTGAGGAAACCTATGTCACCTGCTTCATAATATTATTAATAATAAAATAAATCTAAGGGTGGTCAGCTTTTTTTATTTTCCTTTTAGCATTACAGCTTATGCGTTTTCAGAGATTTCAGTCTGTCTTTCCTGTAATTGTCACGGGTCTTGAGAGTTTGAATGAAACCTTAGAAATTGAGGCCCTGTATTACGTTAGGCGTTGGCACGATAAAGAACCCACACTGCTAAATGACCTAAGTGCAGAGTTTAAGTCTGAATTTTAAGCCCTTCTCTGGTACATGATGACGTATCGACATGAGGGAAATTCTCGAGTTAGACATTAAACAACATGCTAACGTTCAATCATATTCAGTTGAAGGAATTTTTAATATTGTGCACTTTGATCTCATATTTTACTAGGATATACACAAAAACACATCGTAATGGTGATGATAAATGCAAATTAAAGATATTCGATCGGTAAAGAACTAATTCAATCCAAAACATTTAACATGTTTAATCTGCTTTCGACCTACATTAAAATAAAACCGTTAAGCATACTAGATTTATGCTGCTAAAGATAGTACTGTAATTACTTTTAATCAGACAGTCTTTTTGTAATGGAACGCGTTAATTTGTAATTTTAATCAATCCAAGTATTGGAATTTTGAATTTGGTGAACAAAAATTGAAAGAACGGCTTTTTCTTAAAAGCTGTTAATTGGTAACATTTAACAATTAATCGGGTACACTTACATTCGTGTAACTGAGCTATAAAATCCTTTTTTGTCAAATTTCTTGTTGATTTTAGAGGAAATGGACATTTAAAATTTAATTTCTCCAAAAACTCATCATGAAATCTTTTTCGCTCCTGTAGAATTCCAATCCTTCGGCACACTTCCATATTGTTGGTAAAACTCCAGTCAAACTGAATCGCCCTTCCTGGCTTCCTCTGCGAAATAGGACTATACTCTGTCTTTATTTTGGATGTCTCCATATTGATCTACACCTGCAATATCAAAGAAGGTTTTAATTCAATTTGTGCATTGGCCTAGCTAGTGATCTCTACCTTCTTTAGAATTTTATGACGTCACTGGGTCGTACTCAGTCTGACATATCATATATTAGGTCATTGCTTTTATACTAATTTTGATTACGGAGTACTCTTTCAACACGATCAATAATATACAATTATTGCTGTTTTTTGAGGTCTTTACGATGATTTAGCCACCTGAGGAGTACAATATTCACCGAGCCCGAAGGGCAAAGTAAATATTGTACTTCGAAGGTGATCATTGTATTGACTAAAAAAACAACAATAATTGTTTTATTATATGATTCAGTGATACAAATAAAGTCATAAAACAATTCATACTATCTTACTTGTTTACATTTGCTGAAGTCCTAGCCAAATGCAATGAGAGAAGCAGGGTTAAATAAACATCACCAGTCGTAATAATTTGTTTTAAATATACATCTATACTTAAGTAGCTATGAAAAATAATAATAATGTCCGAATCTTTTATAGGATCGATTTTGAAAGGGGTGGGGTGGGGTTATCAGAGAAAGCTGACTGCTGAAAATAATCTTGGTAGCAAGTTGGTAGCAAGTGAAATAGCTTTCCAAAGCTATTTGTATCAATTTTGAATTTCCCAATCTATCTTTAAAGCAATGTAGAGAAAATAAATCCTTATATTCATCTGGAAGGTCATACGCAGGTGAATATAACGTAGTATTTTTTCTACATAGTTGAATCTCAGTCAATCAGAGAGATAGGAATTATTCAGTCATATAATAAATAAAGGATCTCCCATGATTTGTAGTTGGATATGATTTTTATCCAACGAGTTGTGTGTTTTTTATCCCCGAGCCTTGGCGAGGGGATAAAAACACACAACGAGTTGGATAAAAGTCATATCCAACTACAAATCATGGGAGATTCTTTTTATCCCATGTTTAATACTTCACAACCAATGTTTTACACTGTTTTATATAGGACTCCACTTTATTTTACTTCATCGCGCTAACGCAAAAACCATTGTGACGTCACAACTGTGGATTATGAAAAAATTATCCAATGAGTCATATCCACGGGATAAAAGGGTAAACATGGGATAAAATTATATATTTCACTTTGGATATTTTATCATATAAAGCCAAATTTCGATGAGTATTTTAAGAAAAAGGCGAAATATGTCAGCAAAGAGCATACACTACAATTGTATGCTTAGTGTAAATCACAATTCTATATTGTTCACTTCCGCCAATGCACTTCCACATAGTTACAGAGGATGCAATAAAAACCTTGCATCTGACCGTGTTGAACATGTATGCTGTAGTTCATACTTTCGAATACATCATGTATGAACTATTTAAAATTCATACAGAATAACATTGTACTATTTTTTTGTCTAAAGGTTTTTTGTCCATAAAAGAAGATTTTTTTTTTGAATCAGTACCTTATATGTGATTTGTTGATTTATAAATAAGAAGGAAATAAATAATTTGTGTAACATCTACTAGAAATGCAAAAATAAGATAGGCCTACAAATATAAGAAATCAAAAGCCGTGAAACGGGCCTCTGCGAAATATTAGCTAAGTAAAGGCAGCCTGTCTTCCTTGCAGAACATTGCTTACCTTATAAAACAGTTTAGCAAAAGTATTTCAATATTCATTTATTCCTCAGTTTTAATACTGTTACAACCTTAGATTCATAATATTATTTGCTTGCTTGTTTTGTTTAACGTCACTTTAGAAGATTTTCACTCATATTGAGACGCCACCACTTGCCGAGGGCTGCAAATTTTAGACCTATACTCGGCATTCAGGGCCATTGAGAATGCATTGAGGAATCTTTTTCGTGCCAGCACCTACTGCGACACGGGACCTCGATTTATACGGTATCATCCCAAGCAACGGTTTCCACCTTCCGCGAAATATTCTAATGACTTTGTATATACCGCAAATATCAGTAGAGAACTATACATGAATTTCCAAACAACCATTGGGTTCTTAGAGGGATGTGTCCATTTTTAGGTCAGATTTTTTATTGTCCTGCCAGTAAAGGACCGATGATTTATTTGCAAGATGATCGAGGACAGATTTTTTTTATTTACCAACAGAGGACAGATTATTTACTTTCAATTTTGGCTGGTGTGCTTCCCCACTTTGTTGTGTGCCTTTTCAGCACTTCCTAATTTGGGATTTGCTTTTTTTTTTTTTTTTTTTTTTTTTTTTTTTTTTTTTTTACATTTGGCGAGCCGTGCTGCTTTTTAAAATGTTTAAAAACTTTTTTGAAATAATTTTTCTCTATTTAGATAATTGAAAATTTATGGAGAGCTATAAAACCCTAAAGCTAGAAACAGCATACGTATACCCAATCATATGGGACATTTCATTAAGTTAACGCAAATGTTAATTATTAATAAATTATGCATGTATGTAAAATATGTAAAAAAAAAAATTGTTTGTTAATTCGGATATGTTTCTTAAGATATTAAACCTATTCTTAGCCGCCATATAATTGTGTCAACACTAAGAATATCTTCTTTTTACTGTATATCAACACAATAGAGGTGAAATTTGAAATCTACTTTCGTTTTAAGATTTACAATTTTAAATCCCTAAAATCTGATATACTGTGAAAGAATGAAATAATATACCATTAAACATGCATCTCTTTTCAGAGAGATACATAAATTACACTTACCTATGGGCTTGCTGTCCTTTCTTTGTTTGTTTATTTAATATTGAATTTGCCATAGGAACATAAGTCATTAAGTTATGAAAACTTCCTGTTTAAGTCGAATGAAGTGGCGGATCCAGGAGTCAAAAGCCACATATGATTCGCATTAACCTATTTCATAACGTACTAATAATGGCTTGTAAGGAGAATAAGATTCATACAATTCTTTTCTGAGGACTTTTGCTCCATACAGCGGGGGGGGGGGGGGGGGGGTAATAATCGATGTATGCTATTCAATCCTGAAGAATGTCACGAGCCTAGCGTTTTTATGAATATTTATGAGGTGCTTCTAACGATTAAAAAGAATCCGATATAGTACTTTATTCTCGGAATGTTAACTTCCTTGATTCGTCGGCGTGAGGTATATTTAATAATAAAATATATCTCGCAGTGTTCTGATATTAAAACTTATATTTTTGTATAAGTACAATTATTGATTAAAATTTAATAATATCAACATATAACAAATATTCCCTTTTTAAATAAAGTTATTCAAATTAATTTTGTCAATGCACTTTTTGTCATGCACGGTTTTCCACTATTTATAAAATTAAATATATAAATATATAATATACAATGCAAAACACGACTGCATCCTAACAACCAGACATGTCTTAAACTTATAAGAACCAGACATTCTTAAAGGTGCATAGACACAGATCTGAAGTTTATATTTTCTCAAATTTTCTGTATAATATCACAACTTATATGTTGCTATAGCATTTCACACGAAAATAAAATTAAAAACTTATTAATCTGGAAATTATTGAAACTACGAATTTCGGGAGGCGTTTGATTAACACATCCTTGCACTTTCATAATTTTTAACTTTATCCTCAATACGTAAGAAAAGTAGCAATTTTGTTGTGTACTAATGAATAATATTGCAGCTATAATCCAGAAAATTAAGAGTACAAATGTGCGAAAGCAAAACCCACTCACTTAAGTATTGTCAGCCAGTGCTTAGTGTTGTGTAGTTGTGTACAGAGTTTAACAAATTGAATACACCCGTGAAACGTAAACTGTTTTTGTAAACAGGGCACGAGCTCTGTTGTTGCTAATGTTTACGTTTCACCGGGTGTGTTCAATTGTTAAACTCTGCACACACCACTGAGCACGGACTGACAATACTGGTGAGAGGATTTTGCTTTCTACGTTTCTACTCTGAAATTTCTGCATTATAGTTTTAATATTTTTCATTAATAAACAACAAAATTGCTCCTTTTCTAAAGTAATAAGGATGAAGTTAAAATTTGTGAAAGTGCAAGGCTGTGTCTATCAAACGCGTCCAGAAATTCGAAGTTTCAATAACTTCCAGATAAAATAAGATTTTTATCAAATTTTCGTATGAAATGCTATAATAGCAACATATAAGTCATGCAATTATACAGAAAATTTGAGTAAATATTAACTTCAAATCTGTGTCTAAGCACCTTTAATAAAGCATGTGATATGTTGTTTACATAAATATTTCTATCGATTTGCCTGGAAAATACAAAGGATTGCCCATTAGAAATTGCTAATGCTTCAACATTATAATAGCATTATAAAACATACTACAGGTTTAGCTGAACCCATGAAAATAATGTGGCTCCTTGGGAATACTTGTGATATTTTTTTCACATTACACTTCCCCTATGAGGAAATTAAACTGAAAGCTGTAATGAAAATTGCCGATGGAAACATGTATGTTGACTATCTGTACTCTCTCTCTTTACGTTTCACATTTACTGGTTTAAATTTATGCACACTTCTTTAAAACATCCCATGCTGAAAAAAAGTTTCACCTTTTTGACAAATAATTCAGACAATAAGAGAGATCATGAAAAAAAATAAATAAATAAAAAGCCAAGGTAAATTTGAATTCTTTTCAGATACAGTAGGAAACAATATAGTTACATAGATGTACATGTACGAGGGCTGTTTCGGAAATTATTGAGACATTGTGATTATTCTTCTTTCTAGTGAACGTCTTTTGGTGAAAATTGGCATATACGTTTGACAGACACCAAGAAATAATTGAAACAAGAAATATTTTACAAATATTTTATTTCTTATTTTTAATGGCATATTAATGTGTCAATGGTAGGGGTACCCGGCGCAGTCACGAAATCAGATATTGAAAATATGTAGCACCTTCTTTCAAACGCCCGGTGGCATGGACTCATAGTAAGAGGGGGAAAATTCAAATTATATATATATATATATATATATATATATATATATATATATATATATATATATATATATATATATATATATATATATATATAAAGCACTAAAAATGACCAACGACACGAACAATAATAATTGTCAAATTTTCGGGACAACCTGTCCCTTCCTCAGGACAAAGAAAAAAGTTAAGAAGTCATAAAAACAAAGGAAATAGAGAAGCAAAAACAACTAGCACTACTACTAAACTACCAAACACTAAATATTTACAATGTTACATGTTTAATTTTGAGTTTATAAACAGTTGTGAACAAAGAAATCCGGAGCACTATGAATTGCGTCCGGTCTATCGGGTGTAATCTGGTGAAGTGTGATTTACATAATTGAACGAATTAATTATCGCTAATTAATTACGGCCAACAGTAAATCGTACATTGTCTTATTCTCTCAAAATAGCGTAACTCTACATGATAAAAAGAAATTAAAGAAAGATAATATGGAAGGACAATTTTGAAATATGAATTTGGATATATTATAAATTTGGAAATCGGAAAAAAGAAAGAATTCTCCACCGCCATCACCAAAACTCTTGACGAAATGTTTGAGAAAAACGAGATTGGTATCAACGTCTATGAGACACTCAATCCTATTGACTGTAGACCAGGACAATTTTATCTGCTTCCTAAGATACACAAAGAAGGTATGCCAGGTCGCCCTATAGTTAGCGCTATTGGACACCCCACGGAGAAAATTTCTGAATACATCGATTTACATCTCCGTCCACACGTAGAGAATTTGCCATCCTATCTCAAGGACACCACGGACTACATTAACAAGACGCCCTCTACTGGCCTTCCAGATCATACCCTTCTCGTGACTATGGACGTCACATCTTTGTACACCAATATTCCGCACGATGAGGGTATCGAAGCCTGTAGAGAAGTCTGGGATAGTAGATCCATACAAATTCCTTCTACCGAGTCCCTTGTCAAGCTCCTTGAACATGTTCTCAAGTATAACAACTTCATGTTTAATGGAGAACATTACCTGCAGGTTAATGGCACTGCTATGGGACGAAAATGGCACCATCTTATGCCAATATTTTCATGGGCAGACTGGAACGCAACTTGCTACTTCAAGCACCATTTAGGCCCCTTAGCTGGTTGCGTTTCATTGACGATATAGAGATGAAGTGGGTGGAATGTCGCGAGAGCCTCGAGGCATTCATTTCGTTTGCCAACACCTTTCATCAGTCTATCAAATTTACAGTAGACGTATCTAATTCGAAAAACATATTCCTAGATACTACATCTACCCTGACTGATGGTGAAATCGAGTTCAGTCTCCACACGAAACCCACAGATTCCCATCTGTATCTTATGCCAACGAGTTGTCATCCCCCACACACATTTAAGGGTGTGCCTAAGGGTATAGCCACCAGAATTGGCGCATCTGTTCATCCCCTGCCTTATATCAAGAACAAAGCGGTCTCCTTAAGTCCCACTTATGCAAGAGAGGCTACAATGCCCGCACCGTACAAACTGCTATAGATGAGATGGCGGGACATGACAGGCAAAACCTATTACGCTACAAGGAAAAAGACAATAACGGCAGGGTCCCTCTGGTAACCACATACCATCCCGTCCTTAAGAACCTCAGCGGTATCCTTCAAAAGAATCTGCCAATTCTCCACTCAAATAAACGAATGGCAGAGGTCTTTAAGGAGCCCCCATTGGCTGCATACAGACGCCCGAGGAACCTGAAGGACATGGTAGTAAGAACCAGATTGGACAATCCATTACCTAACGGGGGCTTTAAAACTTGCTCTGACAGAAGATGTCTTCTCTGTAAGTACAGCTCTGACATAGACAGTTTTAACAGCCCCGTTACAGGCCGCAGCTACAAAATACTAGGGAATTTGTCCTGTCAAACAGTCAACTGCATTTATCTCATCAGTTGCAAAGTTTGCTCCAAACAGTATGTTGGTGAAACAGGAGATCTCCGCAGGAGAGTCAATAATCACCGTTCTACCATTAGGACCAAAAAACTCAATGAACCCGTTGGGGAACATTTCATTCTTGAAGGTCACAAATGGGAGGACATGACAGTAGTGGTTATTGACCATAATCCAAGATGGACAGACGCGCAGAGAAAAGGCAAGGAAAAGTTCTGGATGCACAGGCTGAAGTCATTCCGCCCTAATGGTATTAACAAACTTAATGACTTCACCAGGATGAACGTGAACTAGACTCAATCCCGGATTGTAACAAACAAGTTCATTCTCTCTATATAGTGTAAACTTTACCGTTAATTCGTATTAGTAATCCTGAAACAACCTACCCAAATATTCACAGCTCACATTTTTGTTTATTTCTTTTTTCCGATTTCCAAATTTATAATATATCCAAATTCATATTTCAAAATTGTCCTTCCATATTATCTTTCTTTCATGTAGAGTTACGCTATTTTGAGAGAATAAGACAATGTACGATTTACTGTTGGCCGTAATTAATTAGCGATAATTAATTCGTTCAATTATGTAAATCACACTTCACCAGATTACACCCGATAGACCGGACGCAATTCATAGTGCTCCGGATTTCTTTGTTCACAACTGTTTATAAACTCAAAATTAAACATGTAACATTGTAAACATTTAGTGTTTGGTAGTTTAGTAGTAGTGCTAGTTGTTTTTGCTTCTCTATTTCCTTTGTTTTATGACTTCTTAACTTTTTTCTTTGTCCTGAGGAAGGGACAGGTTGTCCCGAAAATTTGACAATTATTATTGTTCGTGTCGTTGGTCATTTTTAGTGCTTTATATAAATTTCCATCCGTGACCTTGTATCTACTTAGTAGATCCGACACTTAGGATATACAGTGTTGTTGGTTTTTAGTGCTTTATACATGTATATATATATATATATATATATATATATATATATATATATATATATATATATATATATATATATATATATATATATATATATATATATATATATTTCAATTTTACTTTGACTTCAAATTGTGCAAGTTTGTTAGAATTTCAATCAGAAATACAGAGATCATTGAAAAATTTAAATATAATAAAAAAATCTGATTTCGACGACAAAATGGATTTTGACGTCAAGACGACAAAGCGAGCATACCTTAAATTTTGTGTAGCACTTTGAAGAACTCTTGTCCAGATTAAACGGGCTGCTGTTTTTGATAAAAGGTTGTCTAATTCTCTTTTCTTTTTGGAGGAAAAGTAAATGTCTCAATAATTTCCGAACAACCCTCGTAGAACTTAAGTAAAAGTGTCTTTGTTTTTTAGACAAAAATGTCTCTAAATCATACACTAGACAGGTTGGAATCTAAATATTGGTTCTAACGTATTGATAGATAAGTTGAAAATAAAAAAAAATAAATACTTTCTAAAATGCCACGTTTGGAGAATTGAAATTCTCAAAGGTATTATTAACAATTTCATATAATTTTAACAGACATAAGATACAAATAAGGGAAATTATTCAATTTTAAAAAGGGAGATAATCCAGATTTTCAGTAATTAAAACAAAGACTTAGCAGAAAAAGCATGAAAATGGGTCTGAAAACACAACTTACTTCAACGACATAGGGAAAGTTCAGACCCGTATGCCGACATGCATGTAGGCAAAGTTCAAATCCACGAAGAAAAAATACACACATTAAACAATAAATATTCCAGAAATGGGTAAAATAAACATACACTTCACATGAAATAGAGGATAAAAAAGAATAAACACATGTCCTATAATGCATTTATCTCTGGTGGATAAACATATGCCTCCATAAGAACAAAATTGTTAGATTACTATTATAAATGTACATGTTTTGTATGGAATCCAGTAGCCCTTTTCACAAAAAAATCTTACGACTAAGATTAAAATTTTCCAATTCTTCTATATGTACCTAAATTGTAGCATGTTACAAAAAATCTTATATCTAATTACATTATAGTATATTGTGAATTATTCTTCTAAAATAATAAATTTCCTTATTAAACGAAAAAATTACAGACTTATCAAATTTTAATCTTAGTCGTAAGAATTTTTGTGAAAAAGGCTACAGAGTATTACAAATGACGCAGGCACCGATGTTCTTGAAACATTGTTACATTCTTCACTGTCTTTTTACGAAGTTCACATATGTGTAGTATTTCCATCTATCAGCCTAAGTATTAACAAATGACTTAAACACTTGCAAGTTTTCTGGATGAGAGATAGACAAATGTTCCCATGCGTTTATAATCATGAAAATCATTTGGAAGTCAAGATCACCAACAGCCTTTTATATGCTTGAGTGGAAGTTGGTGTAATGTATAAGTCAACAAATTCACAAGACTGGTTCTATGGGGGTAATGCAGGCAACAAAAGAATCACCATCTTCTCTTTGTCCATCCATTGAGCCAGTTGATGGAACTGCTGAACCTTGAAACGGGACTTACCCTCTGTTTTCTTGCTAACTAGAACTTAAGGAGAACAAGCTGACAATGTTTTTTTTCTTTGCAAGGACCCATTATTCTACTCCAAAATATCTTCTTCTTTCCACTGAAAACATACAATCAGTGAAGGAGTAATGCCACTAATTATTTTGCAGGAGATTACTGTAAATCTTTTTTTTATTTGCCAAAACTTAATTTTTGCCGTTATTTCCTGAGACGGTTTCATTTTGGCGTATATTTTTTTTTATTAACATTGGATATATACAACAATTACCCTCATTCGTGAAAATTTTGTCTCGCTTAAAAATACAAAAACCAATACATGTAAGATGTTGCGAAACTTTGGGTGTCTACAATATTGCTATATCTTTCATCTTGTAAATCAAGAATAAAAACATATAAAGTGGCACATTTTTTTTTTCAAAGTCATAGACACAATAAAATAGTTAACAAGAGTCTCCATTAAAAGTATTTGACTTTCTGTCTCTTTATAATACTATGTTAGATTTTATATATTCATCATTAATGAACATAAAGATAAATATTAAACGCATATTTTCAAAAAAATATTAATCCCATTATTAAATTGCAATACAAATGATTTGGTGTGTATTTCCTTACGAAACATTACAAATACTTTTTCCCTTTATTCATAAAAATGATTTTGCCTTTAAAAAATAACTTTTTTTTAATAAACAATGAAAAAATAATAGTAGACGATCGATCCGTTGTGTTAAACAATGTCATCTTATTCAGGATTGTAGGGTCCACCACTTTGAAAAACCACATCATATAGTTGTGGTTACTTTAGGACGCAACTAGACACTCTACTGTTTCTGTAAAGGAGAAAGGCCGCAAACTGTCCATTCTGTGAGAGAAAGAACTAATCGAGGGCTGAAGGCCCGAGATTAGTTCTTTCTCTCACAGAATGGACAGTTTAAGACCTTTCTCCTACTTAAAACATGATTTCCTTTGTTCTAAGAATTAAATAAAAAATGTACAATTCTGGTATCAGATATGACAGGTAGCACACATACAATGACAAGTTCATTGTTTACAGAATGGACAGTCACAGGTAAGCTGGGATGAATAGTAATTTTGTTGAATAGTTATTGTGTTTTCAAATGCAATTAAAAGTTTTTGTCTAAAGAATGGACAGTTACAGGTGGATTTGGGGGGATACTAGTATTCACACAAGGATGCGATGCTTCAAAATCAGTTTGTAGTTTGCGTTGTAAAGGCATGCATGTTTTCCTCCGATGGAGAGGGTATATGACAGAAGCAAAATCTAATGAACTTAAAGATGCTCAAAATCAGTGATAGTTGGACCTGGGAACAGAGAATAGTAAGAGCAAAAGAAAATAATAGCCAAACTTTGACCTAAAAAATGAATTTCTTCTTCGACAGATTCGAATCTGGAAGTGTTTTATTTGATTCAATTTTTGAGGATATATAGACTGCAGCAGTGTAATGGTGAGATGCAAATTGTGTTCTGAGTCTTGGATTTGCCATGAGCCAAATCTCGACCTGAAAATGTATTTTAAATCAAATCAGGAAATGTTTCAAGTTTAATTATTTTCTACGGAAGCAGTGTAGTGCTCATGGTGTAAACTGATTTCTGGGTGTTGGATTTACAAGGAAATGATGTTTTCGAAATTTAAATCAAATGTGAAATTGTGTCATTTAAATTCAAATTTTGTGAAAATTCAGTTTTGAGTATTGAAATAATGGGCATTATTCATGGATTCAAAAGTATAAAATCGAGCGGATGCTGTGCAGACATTGTGTTCTGGATTAATTTAGATCTCCGTGTTCTTTTTGTTATTTACATGTAAATTGAATCGTGTATAATGTATTTGTTTTTGTTTCGTTTCGGACACATTCCAAAGTTTACCTGTAACTCTCCATTCTGTTTGTTTTAACTGTCCATTCTTTTTGAAAAAACTGTCCTTTCTAAAAAAGAATGGACAGTTTTCCAAAAAGAATGGACACTTACAGGTAACTTAATGGATTGTTTGGGGAGTTAGCTCAACATTAAGCTATAGAATAGACAACACAAACAAAAGGTTTACGTCACAATCATGTTTTAATAGAACATATTTCACACCTCAAACAAAGGGTTTTTCTGCTGCCAAATCACTTAGTACACCCCAAGCCTAAGTTTCATGGTTGAGTGACTATGACATTGTGTGCATAATTATTAAAACCAATGAGAGGTTATAATCATGAACACTGCAAGGTCTCGTAACAATGAATGTTATGCCTGATGTGCTAAACAGTCAATAAATGCTACAGAATAGGTAAAGAAAACATCTCTCTTTCTTATACCCTCTCTCTTTCATTCTGACTTAATAATCAACTTTAGCCAAAATGAAAACAGGAGTTTACGCAAGTTTTAATTGATTAAATATTTAGGATTAACGCTATATCACTGATACTTCCAGTGACGTAGCGCCCTTTACGCAACAACGCAAATGAATACACAGATTTTTCAACAAAAATAATTAAATAAAATTCTTTTAAAAAATGTCAAAAGTTCAATAATGATCAAAATAAAATAGGTTTTTGCATTTAAAAAAAATCTAAATGTTTTTTGTCCCTACGTATAAACTATAATATTTGGAGTTTTTATGTAAGATCTTTGAATTGGTGTACTTCTCGTTTCATGTAATAGTTTTAGTACTACAAGGACAGATTTAATAATATTGTCAATTCAAAGCAATACCAAATCATAAGCAATTTACTAATTCCCCTAATTTTAAAACCCAAATTTACTGCATTACTGCATTATGCTACTATAACTTCAAAACAATTCATAAGTAAAATATAACAGCATTTCAAATGGAGAATGTTCAATTTTTTGTAGTTGGATATATATATATATATATATATATATATATATATATATATATATATATATATATATATATATATATAGAATTTAATCGCATGTATGATAATAAAAAAAACTATTACTTGTAAATTCTATAAAATCTACCAAAACATTGAATTTTCTGTTTAGAGCTTTTGCTTTGGTATTTCATCAGTCCATAATACTGAGTAGCTGTCTCATTCAAAATAATATTGCCATTAATGTAAAGGTTTATTTAACAATGTCTTTATCCATGATAACCATGGCCAGAAAAGCTTTTGAGGAAAAGGATTTTGTGGAGCTGTAAGTATTGTCAAAACTAGCTAAATTTTGTTAACATTTAGTTGAACTAACGTTGGTAGAATATAAAATATTTCAAGGTAATTTTCTGATTTAAAACTGTTTAATTTCATGAGCTTCCGGGGGCTTCGCCCCCTGAGCGCCCACCAGGGCCCTGCCCTTGTGTTTTTTTAATACAGTAATTTTTTTGCTAACTACGCTACTGACTTCAGCCAGAATTATATCCCATCGATAGTTCAAAACATAAAAGTTTACTCATTATCTTGTCTTCGATTCCATGGATACACGGCAAGAGGTGTAATATGATGTATTATAAATTTCAAATACACATGGACAGTCCTCAAGAGACAGTGCTCAAGAGGTGTGTAATCCTTCTTGTTTCTGCTATAAGTGAGACAATCAAAACATATAAAGATTTTTTTCGTCGCATTTTCTGTAAAATGATCTTTAATTGTCTGGAGCAATATGCATCCAATATTACATCCAAAAATAAATCTTTAAAAGACACCTTAGCTTCTGACCGAGACCCATTAAAAAAACAGGACTATACAGAAATGAACCTTATTATGTTTGAAAAATTACTCAATTATGTTTGAAAAATTCCTCACTGTGAACCGTCACCTGACCTGTTGCAGACAGGTAGATGTACCCTTGAGGATATAATTATCACATCTGGGCCTGTACAAAATTGCACCAGTCAGGATTAAATCATCATTATCTTGATTAAATAACAAGAAACACAGCGCATTGTACAATGTAGCTTAAAAACAATCCAGACATTTGAATTAAACAACAACGCAAAAAATTCTACATGTAATGTAAAAGAAATGTAAAAGTTATGACACGTTCCCCGTCATGTCAGCTCATGTCAGTTGCAGTGACTTGACGTCATATGCTATTATGACGTCGTATCTAGGTAGTTGAAAGAAGTTACAACAGTTGGAACAGTTTGATATTTTACGGTCAGCCTTATCCTAGCCGCGTTGAAATAAAAGATACTACAGAGTCTGACACATCTGTTTCATATTTGGATATTTGACTAGCAAAAGACGTTAATGGTAATAAAACAACCAAGCTTTATGATAAACATGATGACTTTAACTTTTCAATCGTCAACTTCCTTTACTTATGCAGGAATATACCTTCATCACCTGCATACGGGTTTATTGATCTCAGTTGATTCGACACGCAAGAGCATGCTCTACGTATGAACAATATCTAAAACGAGGTAAGTTATTGACAAACAAGTTGATGAAACAAAAATATCAGCAGTCTCGTTTGAAGTCGTAATTTTGTAAGTACTATCGCCGATACAATGACCTTGTCAACAAATACAATTTTTCATTAAGTCAAATGCTGACTTGTGTTTTTCATACTAATTGTTTGGCTATTATTTACACACTGAATTGTCGAGGGATTTTTACGTTATTTCCCAATCATGACATGGAGCACATGGCGGATGTGACCGGTCGGCAGGGGATGCTCACTCCGTCATGGCACCTGATCCCACCTCTGATGTTTTCGAGGTCCGTGCTTGCTCTGCTCCAAAATTTGAATTGTTTTCTGAACATTTGAGCTCGAATACTGTTCGTTATCTCCATCGCTTTTACCTATTATAATCCAATTTTGTTATTACTTTTCCCCGAAAATGATGTATCTTCGAGTAAATACAAGGGTTGTCCCATAAAAACGACAACTTTTTAAATACTTTCTGTTTAACTAATATTATTGAGTTACAAAATGGAGTACACCATAATTAACATTTTTTTACATAATGCGCAGAAATCAGAAAATAGCATTTTTCGTTCTAATAAACTGATCACACAATTTAGATCTCGTTTAAAAATAAACAGGAATAAATTATCATTTAAATTGCAGAGTGATGTTTTAAAATACTAGTCCAAAATCACTCTGTAACAAAATATTTTGATCAAATTGAAAATTAAGCAGATGCATGCATTTTTGTTAAATTACACAAACAACAGACATCTAAACCTGCTTAATACCATTGCCAGCTGTCATGTCACATTTAACAGCGGACTGACACTGATACTTTTAATTGTCACTGCTAAAATATGAGGGACGTGTAAAAAAAAGTCTTAAGACTTGTTTGATAAAATGTTAATTAAGCACAAGATGTAAATGTTTTATATCATTAGAACAATAAGAAAAATCTACATGTACTGTAAAATTATATAGTATTTTTCGAGGCAATAACCTCTGATAGATTTTCTTTGAAAAGACGATGGCGAAGGAGATTGGGGGTAGGATTTTCAGAGGCATCTTAGATTTTTAAGGTTATTTCTAATGTGTATAAATACATGGTAAATGATTTCGCTCCCTCTTTTACCCTTTAAATAAAAGTATACAGTATAGGTGAAGCTTACCCCTATATATGATTGCCCTCCTATATCAAAGTAGAAAATGAAGAGTTAGTATTTCTCTCCATTTGATATGCTTTGCCGTTACTTAAAGCGTCGACACCCCCCCCCCCCACCCTTTCCCTTCAAAAATTTGCCTTTCTGGTGCTATTCTTATAAATATTTCTGATTACATTTAATATTGTCCGAAGAAAACCCCCCTCCTTGTCGAAAAAAATCCCAGGTTCACTATAGTGTTTTATTTGAAAGATTTTCTTGCTTGCTTTTCTAATATTATTCAGAAAGACATATCATTTGTAGGTAATGGTAGTGGATGGTTTTCAGTTGCAGTCTGCAATCGGCAGTAGGCTTTAACTGTGACCAATAGCCGTTGACTGTCTACTTACACAGTCTAAACAGTGCTCCTTTATGCCTCTCTCAAGGGATATGAAAGATTTCATTAAATACTAGATTCTTTGTGTTGTCCAATCGATAATCTCTGATTTACGAAATATACAGACAAGAGCAGTAATCATGCTCAAAGCCCCATTGCCACAAACTGAGCAAACATGGGCTTCTAAAACATCAAAGGTAGGATCAGATACCATATATGTATGTGTACTATATGTACAACATTGAAATTAACGCATACACATATATTATGAAATGCCTGTTAGACTGCATTAATTTGTCCATTGTAAGTTAAATAATAATAATAATAATAAATAAAACATAGTATGTCAGTAAGATATCATCTCAGTTTCATGTGTTGTCAAATTGCATTTTACCATGCAGAAAGTAAAGCTCTATTTCTTGCTATTCTAGTTGTCAATTCTACATGTATATCCATGTCCATCAATACTGAGGTGGTAAATATTTGCCACTGTTATTAATTTAGCGTAATAATTTAACGTAAGTTATAGGGAATTTCTCGCTATTACAATATCTTATCTAATATCTCAACTACGTGTGCTCGATTCGTTTTGTTAGATACGACTATAGGATGCTTTTTTAAAGAGACCGACAATGGGTCACCGTGAACATTTAAACGTAGAAATAAGACTGTAGCTTTTATCTGATTTCAAGTGGGAAAACGAAGTAAAACCAATTGGTATGTATACCTTTACGTTTAAATCACTATCAATTTTCTTGATGAATTTTGTATTGTTTTTTGTTTTAGGTTTTGCATTTAATTATTAACAATAATGATTATGGAAATGATATCGATAGGTTAACATATACAAAAGTAAACAATAAGGACTGGAACCTAACTTAGACCGATGAAATATGCTCCATCAATGTACATTATATCTTGTCTGGTCAAAATTTTATTGTGAAGAACGTGAACTCCTTTTTACTTCTTATTTAAGAACTACATAATCTTTGTACCTCTTTTCCTATTTCTCCTCCTAGGCACCTGATCCCAGCTCTGGAATCTCCAGGAGGTCTGTGTTCTATGCCCTGTTCACAGATTTCTATTCCTTGTAGGTTTTTTGGGATCGATCACTGCTCGTTATCTTGACTCATTTCATATTTTACTGTTATATTCCCTATGTATTTACTAGTAATATTTTTTGAAGCTTATTTATTCAAATGTTACTTTTGGGATAATAAATCAGGTGTTATTTTAAAAGTAGCATTTAAAGGTTGTACAACTACCTATGTAAATTAATCATGATATCCACCTTTTTAGAATTTTTTTTGGTCGTTTTTTAAAAATCTTTTTAAAAAATATTCTCTTTTTCTAATGATGAAAGGGTGTTTTCTTCTGAAAACATGAATGCAATCGAATACGTTTGATTTTCATGTGGTCCTAAAACGCGTATCAACTTTTTGTAGTCGTTCGGGATCTTTAAAAGAATCATAAATATGAAAAGTAAACAGACCAGATAGTATTTTATTTTCAATTGTCAAGCACTCAAATGAACTAAATCGTCTTTATTACAACATTAAAGGGCTTTGTTACATCATATATAGAATTACAAAGTTTGATACTCTAATAAAACCAAGGCAAGCACACTCGTATTTCAAAATTTTTACATCATTTACTTACTCAAAATAAGTATTATGTTACTTGATTACACATTGTTATATAATTCTGAAGTTTTGGAAATACCCAAAGTCTCTTGTATCTTTATCAGTTGTCGTCTCTCAATCATCCTTTTTAATACATTCCATACTTATATCGATATAAAATAAGAGTCGAAAAAGGACACAAAATGATTTGTCGCTTTCAAAAAGATAAATATATGCAATTGATTATGAGCAAAAATACGTGTGTCTTGAAAGGATCCTCCACAATCCGCTGTCATTATTATTTAATTTTATGCTATGAAAATGATCTCAACTAAGTCAAAGAATAAAGTTAATATTTGCTGTATATGAAGGTTAACATAGTCAATTTTAGAACAAGTGTAGATTGATTAATTATGCTGTTTTACGTCCAATTGAGAATTTTTTACTCAAATAGAGACGACACCATATACCGGTGAAAGACTTCAAATTTTGACCTTTACTCGGCACTCAGGGTTATTGAGCAGTGAGGGATCTTTATCGTGCCAACGCCTGCCGTGACACGGAGTCTCGGTTTTGAAGGTCTCATCCGAAGGACCCGCAACTTTCACTTCAAAGTGCCGAGCACATGGCGAAGGAACAGTTGCTACCCATTTTATATCGACTTAGGTCATTCGCGGCTGAGATTCGAACTCACGTCCTCCCGATCACGGAGCGAGTGCTCTACCGACTGGGCTACCGTGAACGGTGAACAAATTTAGAAGTTAAACATACAATTATTCAAGCATAAGTTTACCTTTTTGACTTAAATATTTTAAAATAAAAAATTGAAGATAACGAACAGTGATCGATATTTAGAAATCTACAGACAAAACAAATCTATGAACAGGGCATAAAACACGGACCCCAGGAAATTCCAGAGGTGGGATCAGGTGCCTAAGAGGATAAAGTATCCCCTGTTTACCGGTCACATCCGTCGTGAACCCTATGTATTGATCAGGTACACGGGACATTTCGTATTCAAATTAAGTATAAAAACAAAGGTCTAATAACTGGTATGAAACACGTTAGCAAAAATACGACCAAATGATAGGTTATGTTTGCTAACAATGTCATTGTATTGACCATAGAATTTACAAAATGTTGACTTTAAACGAGGATTTTGCAATTCCTGTAACATCAACTTATCTTAGTAGCCGGTCTCGGTTTAAAATATTGATCGTACTCAAAGCAAGCTCTTGAGTATCGAATAAGATGGCAGACGTATACATCATATGCATACGGTAGCTGAATATTACTACATAAATAAGGAAATTTGACGATGGGAAAGCTAAAGTCATTTCGTTTGTCATACAATTAAATTAGTTGGCTCTTATCGTCTTTTATCAGTAAAACATCCAAAAATGAAAATGTGGCAGACTCACGGAGCCTTTTATTTCAAGTTCACTGGGATATATCGAGTGGACAAATGAATGGAAGTAACTATTGTTTATTGAAATATCGGAATGTTGAGTTGAAGGCCACAAAAAGTGTTTTCTTCTTCTTTTGTAGAAGTTTTTGAATAAATTCTGCTTCGTAGGAATATAAAATCAGGTCGGCTAATAAAGGAGCACAATAAGTGCCCATCGAAATTCCAACAGTTTGTTGGAAGGCCTGGTTTCCGAAGACTACATAAATGTTATCAATGACGAACCTGAGCATCATTTTAATATTGAATTATTGAAGTTATTGAGTGTAGAATCAGAGTGATTTTTAACAAATTTTGTTGATGACCAATCACAAGATACTAAAATTTCCGAGTTTCATTTTAAATGAAGAAGCGGTTGTCTATGATAACAAAAACCTTGTTTATAATTTATCGTGAGGATGATTGTATAAAGTTTAGACAAGTCGTACGTTTTGATGTAACAGTTATTGAATGTTATTGACGTTATAAGAAATGTTGAATTTAGATTTTCTTAAAGGTTTTTGGTTATAAATAAATAAAAATAGTTTTTTTCAAAATCAATAAACTTTTTCAAGTAGAAGATTGTGAGAATAACATATCGAAAATTTTCCCAGCATGTTTCAGATGTCGTCGCATGTATGTATTTTTGAAAAAAACAACAATGTGTCTTTACCGCCTTCTGCATGGAATTTCAAGAAGTCTTGCAATGTTCTCGAGACGTCCCATGCAGACGTATTGCTATTCGGTATTTTCTTGTGTTATTGAACTCTTTATAAAACCGTTTTGAAATATTTAAGGGTGATCTAGTGAATCAGCGTACTCTATATAGAACATGGTCTGAATTATAATGCATTTGCAGACATCAAAATATTTTCAGTATTTTGTAATACTTAGTTAATCTATCAAATGCAAATCGCACAAGTCCCTGGCAAAAAATGTCATTATCATAGAAAACGAGATCAATGAAATTAACAGATTTTTATGGGATATTCGGAGAATCTTTAAGTGAGCAGTGGAAAAATACAAAGAGGAATGGTGCCCTTTACCGGCATTTCGGCGGTTTATGATTCATACGAAAAAAAAATCTCGAACTTTGAGGGTGGGTGCAGGAGACCCTCAAGGAGAAAACAGTTCAGGGTACCATAAGGCTACGCAAAATTAGAGCAATTCTGTGTCTTTTGCGTTTGTAAAGCCCAGTGTTAAAGTCCTTTGGAAAAGAGGATAACTGAAGTATATAGTCAATTTTGATATGTTTGTTTTTGTTTGTTTGTATGTTGTTTAACGTCCCTCTCGAGAATTTTTCACTCATATGGAGACGCCACCACTTGCCGGTGGAGAGCTGCAAATTTTGTCCTATACTCGGCACTTACGGCCATTGAAGAGTGAGGGATCTTTTTCGTGCCAGCACCTACTGCAACACGGGACCTCGGTTAATACGGTCTCATCTGAAGGACCGGTCTCCACGTGCACGTCCCACAGTGGGATTCGAACCCGCGACGTAAGGATCAACTCCTTACTTCACGACTCTAGAGCAGACGCTCTAACCTCTGCGCCACGCGGGCGACAATTTTTGATATGAAGACCAAGTTAAACCAAACAGATTTTAATGTAACAGTATACTATGATGTTTCAAGAACGTAACCCATTCAAAATTGCTATGGTTTAAGTTGGTTCAAACTCATTTTTTTTATTTTTCAAACCACAATCACTAGATAAAAACTGTAAATTCTGCTCTTGTCTGAGATAATTATGACTATTTTTGCAAGATACTGGTAAAATTTGTATTTATTTATAGCTATATCTACTGAATATCATAAAATATTGGAATATTGAGGATGATTGTAAATGCGCTATATTCTAGGCCATATGGTACACTAAGTGCGCTTTACCTTTGTATTTTTAAACCAACTTAAACAAGTCTGTAGAATTCGAGAATGGGGATAGGTTCTCCAGAAATCACAGTATACAAAGATATTGAATTCTTTTTGGTTTAACTTGGTCTTCATAACGAAAAATTTATAAAATAATTCAGTTATTTTCCAAATCATTTTAAAGGGTCTATAAATACACAAAAGAAACCAGTATTCGCGAAGTATCAGTGTCTAGTGGTTTATGTCAGAGTATTTTTGCGTTTGGAGTTTCTTTTTCAACTCTTCCAGATTCCAGTTATTTTTTTTATTTGTAATAAAATGATAGTTCAAATATCTAAACAAAATTTTTGACTTTGTATACCTTGATTTTTATCAATCATGTTTACCACATATACACATAAAAAATAAATAGATTAGATCTTTGCGATATTACCACACTGCCTATTTACTAGTAAAACTTATGTACATGTAAATGCACATTACCTCGACTGAATATTACACGGAAATTTCAACCATAATGGGAAGAAGAAACACAGAAAGAAGAAAAATATGTGATAACGATATAGCTAGAGAAGGAATGATACATGTAGGTCCCAACGAATAATAATAATATAAACCTTTCAGGGAAAAAATGAAAAAAAAGGCAAGAAAAACATCAGGGTATTATTTGTGATATATGCACGTGCCTGTTCGCGAAGAGGCTGATTTTAAAATAATAACAAAGAAGATCTTGTACGTATAGTTTTTCTTGAATTTGTATTCCGGATCAGAGCAAAACTAAGCCGGGAGTCTTTAAAAATTATAATTAATGGAAATAGTCAACTGAATCTATTTATAGGAAAAGATACTTTCCATTTCTACATGGTATTATGTGAAATGTTTTGAAAGGGCGCAATACTATACATCAAGGGGTCTTTACTCATGTCTGCACAGATACATGTACTAGGCTTGTTATGATGATAAACCATTTTAGATTTTATATGGAAGTGAAATATTTCAGATTAAAGACATAAAGAATTGATTTCTACTAAAAAGATTGAAAAAGATTAATCCATCTTCTACCTGTGAATTAGTTGGATATCGAGCTGTGACAGTGAAATCTAGGATCATTGAGATGGGAAACTGTTGCTTCAGAAACAGACAACAATTGGTATGTGAATGTTTTAGCTGTTTTGTCATCTTATCAAATCTGAATATCGAAATAACTTTCGGTCTTTTTGTTTTTCTCTGAGAATGAGGTAGAATATATTGACACAAAAGAGACAGCTCTTGTATTTAACATGAAGCATAATGTTTCTCATCCAGTTTAAATAAATTAATGCAGATATCAAATGTTTTATTATTAAAAGTATGGAGTAATTGGTATCGTAAAATTAAATTAAAACGTTAAGAAAAATAATAACTTTTCTTTTAGGATTCGAATACAAATCAACACAGAAACAACTATGATAATATTAATGTGAGTATGTAAAAGAAAGCATGCAGTAATTTTATATATCTTTTGAGAAGATACCCCACCTTAATACATACGTAAGTCATCATACAGTATATGTAAAAAAAAAAAAGAAGGTACTTAACCAGTTGTTTTTAGATGTACTGAACATCATATTATGACACCTTGAAAAATTATGTCACAAATGATATACATGTGAAATATGACAGCCCTATTCTCTTTCATTAAAAGATAATAACCAATGTTTATTTTTTGAAAATTAGGTCAAGCTTCAATGTCAGGGTCTCGTAGTTAAAAATTACCATATTATGATCGATTTTGTCACATGTAACTCACTTGTGGAATATAAAAATGCCTCTCTCATTCAAAAGTTATGATCAAGATTTTGTGACAGACAGACAGACTGACAAACGAATGAAATTTAATGTTATCTCACCTTTACTAATGCTAGGGACAACAAGAGTGAAAATTGTCAGACTTATGCCATATATTTTTTTGTCACAGCTTGAAAGTCTTGGTGCCAACCGTCACGATTATGATGAAATCCAAGAAGTAAGTTATTGTAAAAATAAAATGGCATGCAAAATAGAAAAAAAATGCTTTATTTCTAATCTAAAATCAAGCTCTTACTCCACAAAAACAATGATTTTATTTTGAGACTATCTCTGTCTTCTCAGGTCTTTTATACTTCACTACTGTCATTTTATTTTAAATCATGTAGATATTGTCTCATAATTCTATTTACTAGTTTCTATATAAAATGCCTGCATACACTACTTGAATAGAACTGTCACAATAAACATAAATCAGTCTTCGAATTTTATTAGACGTTTCAAACCATCATTATAGTATCTGAATGTTTGAGGTACAATGTTGTCTTGAGCAAGTTTGCCATATCTCTTGATGAAAATTACACAAACCATTAAAGCAATCCTGTGCTGCTGAAGTCACGCGTGGTCTGCCATATTTTTAGCGATCATTTGTTGTACCATGCTGTTGGTATCTGTTTTATTGGTTAGATATGGTGTTTTGTGCAACATTAAAATCTCTTGCAATTGTAGACTATGGTATACCTGCTTCCATTAGCCTAATTTCCTTTTTGAGATATGTAACATTCAGATTCAGCATTTATAAATCGAGTCAATTTTCAGACAAAAAAAAAACAAAACAAAACAAAACAAAACAAAACAAAAATTAATCAAAATGTCGAGAACCCATTCTTTTGATAGCCGTTTTGTACTCAGAGGATGTGTATCAGAAACCAACAAAGGAAGGATGTAAACAATGCAAAAGTTTAGCATTTTGCAAAATCAGGTTTTTTGACTGTGGGGTTTGTAGAATGGCTGTCAAGTTCACTATATCGTTAAGAAATGATGCATTTTAGTCGAATGAATCATATGCATCTAAAAAAAACTTGTTTGACAAAAGTAACATATTAATCAGGGTATTATTCCTATTATGCGTTTCTTTTCTTTCTTTTTTTAATAGTATATTTTGAAAACAAAAAACTTGAAAGTTCAAGCCCTTTTTGAGTTTGATTAAAAATTATAAACATGAAGCAAGAAATATCGTTTTAGTATGATCAAGAGTTGTCACACGGATAAAGGTACATGTAGATGAACAGATATAAAAGGAATATATCACACAGCATGAATGTCCCGCTTTTTAAGCAATGACTATCCTTTACCTGTATTTGTTACTGACTGAATTTATAATAAAGAATATTTTAATATTATTGCATTTATTTCCTAATATTCTCAAAATATTACATACATTGTATATTATATCCGTATTCCTTGGTGAATTGATCGTTCATTAATCATCCAGTGTATAAATGGGTGAATCAATCATTTAGTTGTTGTAAATTTAACCATTTTTTCATATATCGTCCCTAAAGAAATTTCTACCGATTTTGTTCGTGCAAATGTGAGAGTGAGTGATTTTTTTTCTACGGCTCATAATATCGATATATTTTTAGCAATATATCATTTAAAATTCAATAGAAGGATGATAATAATATGAACCGATCTTTTTATACTTTTCAGAGAACACGTCTGGACAATTATTCTGTAGTGGCTGCTATAGACTTTGGTACAACATACAGCGGGTATGCCTATGCAATGAACAGTACAGAACTCAAAATACAAATACCATTGTGGTCTGGCAGTGACACAATGACAAACAGAGCACCTACAGCAGTTTTGTTTGGACCAGATCGTTCATTCCTCAAGTTTGGAAACGAGGCCATAGCGTACATGCAAGATAACCCAAATAAAGAAGATCTCGAAAAGTTTTATTTCTTTCAAGACTTCAAAATGCTTCTGTATCAAACAGAGGTATGTGCTTGATATTTCTTGTAGCTTTTTATTACAGTAAAGCAATGTAAAGATATTTGTCCGAGTTGAGACAGTTTATTAACTGTGAATTGAACAGAAAAAAGGTAGGATCTAGCAAAGTGCTACAATAGATTTACAATCTTTTACAATCATGTAATTTTAGCTTTTAAAGGAAAAACGTATCGATTAAGACCTTGTCTTTTTAAGGAAGCTCTAAACACTGCACACTAAAGAGTTCTACTTAAAGGGTAGTTTAGTGCAGTAAGAGTGATCTTCCCGTAGAGTAAGAAGGAAAAAATTGTTATCTACATTTAATTACATAATCTGTAATTGAATAAAATATTCTTAGCATTATATTAAACGAAGAATAAGAAATTGAATTCATTTTTTAAAATTAATTTTGCACATGTAAGTAAACAACAGTGATTTCTGTTCACGAATAGTCTTTAAACGTTTTTCCAGCAGAAATAAGGCAGGTACCCTATGTTGAAAATTACCTAAATAGTCTCAATATGCACACCTTTATTTGATACATTTTTCTCCAAGTCTTAAAAGCATTTTTGTTAGTGTTTAGGGCTTCCTAAATAACATTCGCTTCGAATCATAATATAAAAGTAAAAAAAAAATCATGACGTGCGGTTCTAATTTCATTTTTTATAAGTCAGTTACATTTCTTTTTGTAGGATTTATCATTGCAAACAAATATTCCAGATAGTACGGGTCGAAAATGTCTATCTGCTATCGTAGTTTTCTCCAGTGTAATTGAATTCTTCTCAAAAGATCTGATTTCAAAAATGGCCTACCATTTTGGTGCACAATCATTTAAGAATAGTGAAATATTTTGGGTGTTAACTGTACCAGCCATTTGGAGTCTAAGAGCCAAATACTTTATGCGAGAGGCTGCTGCAAAGGTATGAAATGAGTCTCTATTTCACATAATATCTAATTATAAATGTATACACATGTATTTTTCCTCATATCGAAGAGATGACAATTGTATTGTGTGAATAATGATTTTAAAATGGATCAACTAGGCTGGTATTCCCGTCAGTCAATTGTCAATAGCACTAGAAGCAGAAGCAGCCAGTGTGTTATGTCGCAAAACTGATGTGTTCGTTTCATCAAATGACGGAATTGGAGGTTTAAGGAAAAGTCTATGTTCCATCCCAGACAATTCAACATATCTAGTTGTAGATATGGGAGGTACATGTAATCAAAATTAGATTATATTTGACATACTAGGAAACTCTCAACACCATGCTTGTTTATATGACATAGAAAATGTACATATCTTTATGTAAGTTCGGGATATAGTGAGGAAAAAAAGATGTTTCAGAAAGGATAGGGATTAAAAATTAAAAAAAAAATTCAAATTCTTTTTAATATTTCAATGGCATTTATTTTTATAGTCTTTTCTTTTATTAATTTATTTGTGTGAGTTAAGAATATTTTTCTTTATTACTGGCATTACTTTCGTTGATTATCTTTCTATTTCATTTGAAATATTTTCTGTTATAGGTGGTACAGTAGACATAACTCTGCATCAGGTCCTTCAAGGAGGAGGACTTCGTGAACTTTACAAAGCCAGCGGTGGAGACTATGGAGGAAACCAGGTCAATAAAAGATATCTGGAATTTCTTGAGAAGTTATTTGGAAAAGATGTTTTAGATATGGTAAAAGAAAAACATCCATCGAGTTGGGTTGAAATTCTTAATAATTTTGAACGCAAAAAGAAAGCCACTCCAAATCTTGATGACAAAGATAAGGTTGTTATCGGTTTTCCTATTTCATTTGTTGAACAATACAAGACATTGAAGGATCATGACTTTCAGGAAAGAATAAAACCTCTCTGCTATGGAGAGGACGTTGAAATCAAAAAAGATAAATTGTACATGAAAGGGAAAGTTTTTAAGTCCTTTTTCGAAGTATCTCTAGGGAAAATCAAAAAATGTATTGAAACAATTTTAGAACATGGAGGCAGTACAGATACAATACTGTTTGTTGGAGGATTTGCCGAATCACCCTATCTTATCCATATGCTCAGGACGCATTTCAGTAAATCAAAGATCCTTGTGCCAGAGGACCCATCTCTCGCTGTCTTGAAAGGAGCTGTGTGGTTCGGATTCTATCCAACAATAATTCGATCAAGAATTTGTCAATACACTTACGGCTTCGCCAAACAAAGACCGTTTATTGATGGCAAAGATAATATTGAAAAGAGAAGAAAATACGGTAATCGATTTTACATAGATGATGTCTTTGATAAACATGTCGAAATAGGGGAGATGCTAGAAATCGGAAAATTTCAAAAACCTAAAGAGTATCATCCACTAAAACAAGACCAAGTTGTAATAATGCTAGAGCTTTATGCTTCCACGGATAAAGATCCAGACTATGTCTGCGACCCAACATGCCACTTAGTTGGTGTAATGGAGATTGAAGTGAAACCAAGAAATCCTGGAGAGGATGGTACGGTATCAGTTCGCGTCAACTTTAGTGGAACAGAACTTGAGATAGAAGCACGTGAAAAGAGGACTGGAAATATTACCCGAGCAACGGCCAATTTCTTTGGATAGTTGCAGCGTTATATATATATATATATATATATATATATATATATATATATATATATATATATATATATATATATATATATATATATATATATAGATTCTCTTTTCATATATATATATATATATATATATATATAATATATATATATATATATATATATATATATATATATATATATATATATATATATATATATATATATATATATATATATATATATATATATATATATATATACTTATAAATATATATATATATAGGCATCAGCAGGTCAACTACATATCAAGTGCTTTCAATATACAGGTTTATCTTCAACTACTGCAGTTATTATATTTGTTGTATATATTTACTATTTCAACATTCAATTGTTTTTTATCAATACTCTTCTTTTATTCATTTAAAAGAATTGTAATAAGACCAAGATCAATTCCATAAATGTGTAAATATGTCATATAAAGTTAAAACTTTTGGAATGATCAGATATTCATGTAATTGTAATCATTCAGGAAGAAAAAAGAATAAAATTCACTACTTAATCGATATAGATAAATAATAATTTTTATTTGGATAAACAGATGACCATGAATCTGTCAAGCAATGGTTTTGGAGCAGTTTTGTTTTTTGATGTAAATTATGTATTTTGATTGCCAGGCAAAAAAAAAATTCTTTGGATTTGAGATCTGCTCTCTCTCTCTCTCTCTCTCTCTCTCTCTCTCTCTCTCTCCACCTTAGTACTCTAGACAGACCGAACGTGCATCAAAGAAGATCGGAAATTTTTCAGATTAATTGATTTTCTACTTTGAAATTAATATCAAATTGTGAATATCTAGAGTCTAGTAGTGTAGTTGTACGACATTAGTCACTTAACAAGTCTGAATTTACAGTTGAATGTAACTGAAATGCGGCTTGTAACCATTTATTGACTATAAAAGGGACATATGGTGATAACAAAAAAAAAAAAATTCCTGATTTGTCTCTACACTTGGATAATAGGCTCTTTAACATAGACCAGTATGATTTCTAGATGACTAAATGGCCACTTTTAGGAAACTGAATGGTCACTGAAAGATTGCTGAATAGTCGGTGAAAGGTAGCTGAATAGACACTGAAACGTAACTGAAAGAGGGCTGAAAGGTAGCCGAATGGTACCTGAAAGATATCTAAATGGTCCGCGGGTATGTTAAGGCTACACCCAGAGATATCCTACTTGCCTTTACAATGTGACGTCATAGTAAGCTGTATGACGTGATCTTTAGAAATAATGATTTCTTTAAATATCTATATTTAAAGTTTAATTTCAGATCCAAGAAATAAATGGAATCATTCAAAAACATAATATAAACTAAATCTTGTCGTTCTTGGGTGGCATAAATAGCTAAGTATTTATCACGGGGGTTAAATACCAAACCCATGACGTCATAACTATTGATCAAATATTTGCCGAGTGAAAATGAAATGTGACGAGAAATCATGTAAACAAATATATGAAATGGGAGTTTTAAAGCATATTCATTGAATGTTATGTGTGATTCATAAGGAATTAAAGATTAAGAATCTGGTACGCTGATATATTCTTATCATGTTTTCTTATAATGAACAGACGCAGTGCTTTGAAATCCCGATCAGCCGTTCCTCTGTCGCTCCATAACAACTAAGATGCAAAAGTTCAACACTACGCCGCATACTGTGAAACATAATTTTTGTTTGTATCGAAAGCTTGTATTCTAAAGTACTTGGAAAGTGCTGCTAGAATCGTGTGGTTAACATAAATTGATGCCAATTCCTTGATCGTATATGTAAAATGTAAAAATTTTGGTAAGGTTTCATGCAAAACTTTGGAATAATTTTTTCTGTGTTTGGAGAGTAGGATTCTAGCAGCACTTTTCATGGTCCAGTGCTGTTTTTACATAATTATTTTCACAAAAAGAAATGAATTATCCCCGGGGTAGTGTTGAACTTTTCACTTTTTCATTAAGGTAATTTTTCTATTTATAGACGTCACGTGATGACGTCGTAGTGGAGTGCTTCTTTTAGCCTCAGACTCAATGACGTCTATACAATGGATAATAATAGTAAATGTTTTATCTATGGCTTTTCCGATTTATTAATGTTACATCTAACGAAAAAAGTCTAAATTAGCCGAAATATGATCTGTGTACTGCCTTAACGTACCCGCGTCACTGAAAGGTGACTGAATCATCACTGAATGATCCCTGAAAGGTAACTGAATGATGCTTGAATGGTAACTGAATGATGGCTTATGGTCACTGAAATGTTTTAGCCATTCATTTAACTGAGTTCATTCAGTCACCATTCAGCCTACATTCAACTGTCTGAATGGTGAGATTTTATCCTGGATGTGATTATGGATGTTGCCAACAAAAGGCTCTTTAAGGCACCGCGTCTGTAAGAAGATTATTTTGACTAAACTCGTCGGTTCCTTAAACTTAAATTTGCCAACAAAGGAATAAATGCTGTGAATGTTAAATATTTTATTAATCACAAAAGGTTAAGCCTTGCATTCCACCATATTTCAAGTTAAAATCGACAACCTGCATTTTCTAAAGATATTCCCAATATGTTGCTTCCAAACTTTTCAATTATAAATTAACCTAACATTGCTTAGATATTGAACAAAATCCTCCTAAGTGTTCTTGCTTTTCTTTCAACTACAGTCCACCAGTACAAGTCATTACCAGTGAAGTTAATAAAGTGGAAAATAAAACCTAAAAGCAATCATTTTAAAACGTCCTTAAATACAGGGAGCCCCGATCTTTCAGTTGGCGAGAGAACTTCATTCCTTTTATGAATCATGTTGAAGATGATGCGAGACGTTGGGCTAAATATGAAAGGGAAAACCTATACATTTTGTCAGAAAAGATGAAGTGATTTAGAAATGTATTAAAGAATGGATTAGAAAGGTAAAAGGCAATATGAACTATCTATCTTTCCGTTTTCACTTAATTGGAGGTGATATAAAGAATTAGAAAGACTATATAAATAAAATATTATGGTTCGAGCAGACAAAGCTTATAACAATATTGTCTTTTTTTGTTTTTAAGGCTCATTAATAAAACTGCATTTTAGAAAAACTCAGTTTTAATACTGTTTGGAAATCCAACATATACTCACAGTTTACTTTCTGAGGATGAAATTCTTCAGAACCCCATTTCAGTCTAATACTTTTCACATTCAAAGTCAACCAAGGTGAGAACGATCTACTCCATCTCTACTTGATTCCACGTGCACTGCTTACAAACAAAGATATATTCTCTGGTCCAGCAAATGCCCTATCAAGCCCCTATCTTTACTTCTTACAAAATATCTACTGTTGTAAAGGAGAAACTTCAGACGTACTGTGCTTTAGAAGTGGTGTAAATCAAATGTGGATGCTCAGAACTCAAAAGAACGTCCAGAAAAATTTAAAATCACCAAATTTTTCACGTCAATAACATCAAAATACTATTTTTTCACACTTTATACAACTTTTCCTCCAGATAAAACAAAAACTAGGCTTTTTGATATAAAGGAACTGCTTCTTCAATAGAAATGGAAGACGGAATTTTTTGTATTTTGTGATTGGTCCACATCAAAATTACTATGTTAAAAATCACTCTGATTCTAGACAGAGGTACTATGAAGTTTATATTGAATGGATGCTGGAGTTCCTCGTTGACAACATTTATGTAGCCTCAGACATATTCACAAATATATTTTCTAATGTGTGTCCCATATCAATCTTGCAGATGTGTCTTTAATCAAGCCATAATATATTTCGCACAAACAAGAAATGAAACATAATGTACATCATTTTATTTAGTGCTTTGATTCGTACTTGGACAATCTGGTGTACTTTGGAATAAATACGTCTTTCTTTGGAAGGCATTATCTACTATTCGTTTTACGAGTGAGGACTTCATAACCCCGATTTCCCTTGATATCAGCACGGTCGAACCAGTTACAGACATTAGTAAAGGTACTGTTGATATCCAGCTCTTCTCTTGTTAAATACGACGGGATATTTTCTGGCTTACCTAACATAAGAATTAAAAAAAATATTTTTTAAGAAAATGTTATTTAACCAGACACTATTATGATTATATGAATTGTATTATTTTTTGTGATCAATTACTTATTTCCTTACCTATTCTGTATCTTACTGTGTCATTATTTAGTGTGACAATTTCCATGCACACAAAGTCTTCCTCACTGCATAAAATAATGCAATTTTTATCTTGTTTTCCAGTTTCAAATATCTGGCAGAATTGTACAGTCAAAGTCAATGATCTGTTACATATATTAATGGGATATATTTTTGATCTGCAAAATTTTTTTCTCAGTTACGAAATAAATATGGTTCCTTAACCTAGTTAAATCTATTGAAATACTTCTGCTTATTCAATCATGATTTTTATCTAAAAGTACCTGTAGATGTAGCTGCAGAACTGTAGCTCTCTATGAGGAAACTCGGATAAATAAAGCAGAGAGCTACAGATTAAAGCGTTGTAAAAAGCCTCGATTTAAGTGGCCGCTTTTTTGTCGCTCACTTCGGGTATTATTTCTCGTATTTTATTGGTTTGCCTCGCATTTAGAATTAACCATATATTTTACTCCTATTCTTCATATTTTATTCAGCTTTCAACGGCTCCAACAGCCGTTAATGGTTTTGAAATGTCGGCGTAAAACATTTTCCATTCCAACGTCCATGTTGGGGGTCGTGTGAAGAAAAATGTCTTTCAAAGAACATACACTTGCCAAGAAAATATAAATAAAAAATTCAGGCGGTTCAAATATCATGGATATTGTCTATAAAGAAGACATTATGTATGTTGAAAAACTTAAGATAAATAAAACTCGGACGTATTATTTCAGGATGACACCAACATGGACGCCGGAATGTATTTTTTTTAACTGGTACTCGTTAGGAACCGTTGAAAGGTAAATAAAGAATGAGGAATAGGAGTAAAATATATGGTTAATTACCGGACAACATTCTTAAAGCGGGGAAAAGCATAAAATACAATAAATAATGCCCGAAGTGATCGACAAAAAAGCGGCGGTGTAAATCGAATGTTTTTACCACGCTTGGATCTGTAGCTATCTGCTTTATCTGTCCGAATTTTCTCAAGCAGAGAGTTACAGTTCTGCAGCTACTGTATATGTAATGCAATGCATTTTTACCGTTTCATGTCACAGAGCATTAAAAATCCCAGATGTACATGTAAGTGTAAAATTTATTGATCAGAGTTGTTGTAATGGCTTGTTCTTACCATTTACCAACCAACACTCGCGTCATCAAGTACCGCGTGCCCGATCTCTTTTGACATGCGTAGAATGCATCCAGGAATTCAATGGCATCAGGTTCAGTGTAGAAACGAATATTGGTTTCATTAATAGCTACATTATATTTGAATCCAGGCCCACGTGTGACCCATTGTCCAGCAATGTCGCTTGGCAAATTACAGCGAGAGACCATATTCTCAGTTGAAGGAACAACTGTCAATAATATCATAATCGAAAATTTTTCTTATATATAAAGCAAATTGATTAATTTCATTAATTGGAACAAAGAGCAAAGTTCACCTAAAGCCTTTGTTGACCCTGTGAATTCCTGAAAACTCAAAAATGGCCTGTTTTAGTTGGAAATATATTAAATATCACTTAGACTCTTAGTGACTTTTTACATGTATCTATTGAAATTGAAGTAAGTTCCTCGCTAATTCAAGAATGAATACATCATGAATTACGTCTTTCTTCTCAAATGCTGCAAAATTCTTCAAAAATGGCCAAAAGTTGAAGCTGTTTTTCAGTATTTTTTTTATAGAGCCCAACCTTTGATTTAAAATGTGCAATTACACTTAATAAAGCAATTTTGTTGAAGATTGTAAATCCTTTCTTGGATCAAGGGGTGGTTTCATATTTTAGGCTTTGCTGAAGATACTCAAAAACACCCGTTTTCTGCAAAATTCATGAACATTACAATTTCAAAAAGTTTTTTTAAAAACCTGGACTCTCAAAGGAAACGTTAACTTTCTTATCGAAAATGAAAGCACTTTAAGTCGCTATTTTATATTGGTGTTTAAAACGGAACGTACGTTTTGACCAGTTAATTGGTATATAGAGAGGACCATTTTATGCATAAAGTAAACCTAGCTCTTTATCTTATCTTATCCAATTTTAATTAAGTATGAGGTAACAATCTTTTGATGTCGATGCAAAGAGACCGTGAACTTTTTTTATTTTGAAATTTTAAACTAAATATGATTTTAAAAAATTATGGAATTACTAACTGCTTGTCAGAACTAATCTGACTGGTCCACTGTAGATGCTATTCAAGTTCGCGCAAGACGAAAAACGGGACATCACCCATCGTTTCTTGTTTCCTCTCTGGGATTTCAAGGTCAACTGTAAGGTCGCCCAAATATATATACATATTTATTAGATTAGAGAGAGAGAGAGAGAGAGAGAGAGAGAGAGAGAGAGAGAGAGAGAGAGAATAATGATCTAATTTCATAATTATAGCGTATAGTTATAGAATATGATAAAATATAATAAAATAAAATCACCAAACACTTGAATTTTTCTCTAGAGTCCTTGTTTACAGTGTCTGCAATGGCAGCGAACGTGTAACCAATTCCATTTCTTTCAGCATCCCATGAGCCCATACACTGGTATCTCAACTCTATCATATTGAAGGAAGGATTTTTATATAAACAAAATTCGATTGCCGAATCTCCAGATATCCTTTTAAGTATAACTTGATGCATATACGTAAGGTGATGTCGGTTAATAACAGTAAACTCTCTATTAACTCAATGGTGGCTACTACATGTAACAGCGATTATTCAAATCGTTAGCTTATTTACCTGAAATGGATGTCTTACTTTCATTTTTTGACGTGCGTACATCAGGGCATCTGCCATATGTCATGTAGAAGACCTCATTGTCTACGTATGGGGATCCTGGATCCTGACAGGCTTTGATTTGACTGTCCGGGTTGTCACAGATACCTCCTCCCCCCATACCTATCTCATAAGAGAACTGGTACAATCCTTCAAACATTGTCTCACAGTTTACTGATCGAGGTGTTTGTCCTGCAATAATTGAGAAAAGCACACTTTTGATGCAATTTAATATTTTGTATCGCGATTTCCTTGCGTTTATATAACTTATTGCAGCTTTTTATGAGGCGAAGATCTCACAGTTCTTGGGAGATTCCTACACGTCTCTAAAGTGTAGGTAAGTGACGTATCTTTCTTTATGTTGCTATTGCCTAAAGATGTTTTTTTTTTTTTTCAAAATAATCTTTATCAGAAAAAAGACGTACTGATAGAGATGTGAATATTATAATTATCTCTGAACAATCATTTATATTGTACTAGAAAAAGACAATGTAACATATACCAAAAAAATTCTTACTAAACATTGTGACTGCTTCATCAGTGCTAGGAAGGCCATAGAAAGGATCCATAGCTCTGCAGGAGATGTTCAGAGAGATAGCATATCCTACATAAGCAGGTATACAATCACCTGGAAAAATATAAAATAATGATATTTCATTTCAGATTCCGTAATTGTTTTTGAACTATTTATTATTACTGCGTTTCCATTTATTTATTAATTTATAATCTCATATTTTTTTCTAAAACTTGTAAGCCACCTTTCCGGAGCCAACAGTTATTTTAATAAGGATGAAGCTAATAGCAGAAAGTGTAGGTAGCTTAAATATAAAAACCGGAAAAAAAACCCTCAAGACCCATGAATTCACACAAAATAGTGATAAATAAAAAAAATCTACAATCTTGTAGGCATTTAGCTCACATAAATTACTTTATATACATAAATACACTTTTTCCTTTTTCATTTATTTATTTATCTATCTATTACTATTATGATTTTGTTTTTGTTGTCGTGTTTTGTTACGATTTCTCGTGCCCCGTAATCGAAGGGGTATATAGTTTTTGCCCTATTCGTCCGTCTGTCCGTCCGTCTGTTTGTCTGATTGTCCGTAAAAACTTAATCTCGCCCATAACATAGCTATGGCTTTCATATTTCACATTTGTATTCCTTGTTACTTTGGGTAATAACATATTTGAACAGTTGATGCTATGGCTTTCATTTTACACGTGTATTAATCGTGACAAGACCTTTTCATGGATGACCTCGATCTTAGAGTTTGACCCACTTTAAAAAATTGACCTTGGTCATAACTTTTGAACAGTTTTTTTCTAGGGCTTTCAAATTTCAGAGGTATATTTCCTTTGACATGACCTTCCTTTGCATACTAACCATTTTGACGTTGACCTTGGAGATTGACCTACTTTTCAGAAACTTTAACCTTCGCCATAACTTTAGAACAGTACGGTGCTAGGGCTTTTATATTTTGCATGTGTATTTCTTACGACAAGTCTTCTCCTGCGTACCATTAATTTTGACCTTGTAGTTTGACCCACTTAATTTTAGAAAATATTAACCTTGACTATAGCTTTAAAATGGTTTATGCTTGGGCTTTTATATTTACCAGGCATGTCCTTTGATACAAGTCCTTTCTTTGGGTAACAATATTCTGATCTCTTGACCTTGACCCTTGAGTTTGACTTCCATTTGAGAAACTTTAACCTTCACCATAAGCTGCCAATTATTGGGCATATTGGGCATCAGTGTTTCACAAACACATCTTGTTTTTATTTCGGTTTTGTTTTCCTTTGCTTTACTGTTTTGATTTCCCCCGCTTTTTCACCCTAAAAAGGGTTACTAATTTTAGAAAAGATCGATGAATGTATGAAAGTCTTTTCCTCGTTACATCATTGCATATTATAACTGTTACTATAGTATATTGAGTACCTTGTTACATATGATCTTATTTGCATATTTACCTTTCCTGTATTGCAAAATGTTCGTTGTTCGCCATAAAACATCTACACAAAAATAGCATCTTTCCAAACCGCCACTAGTCAAGAGAAAAAAGTTATATTAAAGAAAAAAATACTTTTGATAAGAATGATGTATTGATGTCTCATAAACATAAAATGATTTTTTTGTTATTTAGGTCACGTATATTTTAATGTTAGTTTTAATGTTTTGTACGTCTACTACTATGATTATTTTTCAATCATAGTTCATGCTACTTTTTACAGTGTTTCAGAATATTCCCCAAGAAATGCTAATTCAAAATCTAAACAGCCAACCTGCTGACCATGAACATGGTGACATTGTTGCCATCCTGCTGAGGGCCTGGGGTAGGGTGGATGAAAATATCCTCACAAGTTAACTCAGTGTCATCCTCATTGCTGTCCCATTTGTCGGCAGTTATCTTTGTAATGATATCAGCTCCCAATTCCTGACTGTACCAGTCTCCATGGAAATAGTCAGGTATGGTACATCTACCTGTAACCCTTACTGTTAAAAAAACAAATAGATTTTCTGCTGAGCTATCATTACAGGTTAAGACAATGTTTTACATCCGTTATCTGAAAAAGAGTAGTTAAAGGTAAAAATATTTATTTTATTAATTGATTTCAGTATGTAATAGATTTCACAAATGCAGCTAAAATTACCATGAATTCATAATTTCATTATTGTTTAATGTAACACTTTAAAAAATACTGCATCTTAACACATGAACACTAGTTGTTGCTTATTAATTCTTTTTTTAAAAAATTGACTTCCTGTTTTTTTTTTCCAAATAGACTGGTGCCATTGAATGATGTTGTCTGATCGAAGTTTTCATCGTAACATATTGTCCTTTAATTCAATCATCTCTTGAAATTTTCGAATTCTTGGGACCATTTTATCAAATTTCTGCAACTTTTATACCATCCACTGGTGAAGAGATTTCTAAATTTTTCAAACTGAGGTTCCAAGAAACTTCAAAGGGGAATTATAAAGAAGCGAAAATTCGTATGATAATTTTAAAATCTTGTAAGGAGAGACGGTAATAAATGATATAAAAAATGAAAGTTTCTCATGTATTGTACATTTAAATGTCTTTACATCATTAATTTGTCAAATAGGAATGTTAAAATAAAAAGGAAGGAACTGGCTTTTTAAATAAAATAAATTACAAGCTATTAGGGCAATTTTCTTGAAAATTATACCAATGAAGAAGAAATTCATTTTTTTATTTCAGATTTTTGTCCGTGACTCTTGAGAAGAGTTTCATAGAGTTTCATGAAAGCCCCCATAGATTTTCCTAAATGGTTCAATCATATAAATGTCGTCCGCATGGCGCAGTGGTTTGAGCGTTCGCTCTAGAGAGTGGGTCTTTACTTCGCGGGTACGAATCCCACTGTGGGACGTGGAGACCGATCCTTCAGATGAGACCGTATAAACCGAGATCCCGTGTCGCAGTAGGTGCTGGCATGAAAAAGATCCCTCACTGTTCAATGAACCTGAGTGCCGAGTGTAGGTCAAAATTTGCAGCTCTCCACCGGCAAGTGGTGGCGTCTCCATATGAGTGAAAAATTCTCGAGAGGGACGTTAAACAATAAACAATCAAACAAACAAATCAATCAAGCAAAAGCTGTAGTAATTCAATTCGACATGACAGACTCTACAGGTAGTGAAGATAAAAGTGTGTTTATAATATTATGTCCAGGATATATCGATGTTTGCTCAAGGTGGCTTATAGATAAAAATAGGAAAGTTCTTTTACAAAATTAGAGGACAGTAATGATAGTTTTTTTAGATTGTCAAATCAAAATCCTAGCATCCTCTTTTAGTCCAAATCCTTTTTTACAAAGAACTTATAACTGTCTTAATTTTTTTTAAATAGATCTCACCAAGTGTATAATCTCACAAAATTTTACACGATTTTTCTTTTATCAAGAATAAACAACTTCAAAAAGATATCACTGAAAGTTAATCATAACTTAATGAGATATCAAGAGGACAATTATTGCTTGTAAAAACAATCTACAAAATATTGAGCAACCATTTCAAATACAGGACTGAATGCAGGGTGTCCTCAAACACAATTGAAATTTAGAGTTCAGATTTAGTCCAATTTGCCAAGCATCCGAATTGGATTTCTGAATATTTAATAATCTTTCTATTAATGATTAGCCTCTTAACTTGCATTATTGTAAAATACTGTACGTTTGATAGAGCAAATGTTTCAAAACATATCGTTCAAGAAGAGAGTAACTACAGGTTGTTATCGACAAATATATCCGATGGAAAAAGGTTATTATAGCCCATGTCTAAAAGAAATGTAGCAATGTTAAAAATTATATATCATAGATGGCTTTGTAAAGATTGAATTTATATACAAATATAAAAACATACAGTACACAAAAATTATTGTATTTATTTACAGGTACAAATATATTTCTTTACATGCAAATTTAATTATATAAAATAAGAGTAATATGAAGTACTTACCGGTCGCTTGTAGAATTGAGAATAATAATGGTAAGTACATGTATTGCAATGCAACCATTTCTAGGTGTTTTATGCAAAGGGTTCTGTTGAACTGCAGAAGCAGATGGTATGAATTTATTATATATGCAACATATTGCTAGCCCCAGTCGTGGAACAAAGTTCATATGATCGATTCATTTTAGTTCCTGCCGATAAATTGTCGTTAACTATACTTGAAAAAAAAAATAGAACATAGTATTAAACCTTCACTGATTGTATAAAATAAGGCCAATTGTACTTTGAATTTTACTATAAATTTCCATATTTCCTACATATTCAGAGGGTAAAGAGATATTAAGACATTGGTCTTAAGTGTATGTAATACGTTACCAGTGGGGAGTTAAACATGTTAAATTTGAATACTTGAATAGATTACATATTGGAAAAAAATCTGTTTATTAATTTCTAGGTAAATGTGCATTTTTAACTGATCAAATAGAAAACAGTCGAATTAAAAATTCTGGACAGCTGGATAACAAATTAGATAATATAACCTATAAAAATGACGTTGTTGTTTCCAAATTAAGACTAAAAATTTCAATTCTACCAAAACTATTTCCTAAAGAATTACTGACACATTTCTTGTGTAATTTCTCTTCTGCGTACTTATCTTAATCTCTTTGACAGTAGTCAGACTTTTAATCTCTTTTGTAAGGCATACTTTGTTGAATTGTGGCAAATATTTACATGCTTTTCATTACAGTACAAACAAAACAAAACACATCGAACAAATGAATAAACAAAAATGAAATAAAGAATTGTCAGCAAACTTTCTCAGCTTTTCAAAATTTATCTATGAAACATTCATTGATATAATTTTTGAAATTATTTTTATAATCCAGAAAAATTAGACAATTTGAGACTCATCGCTTTTTATTCTGGGCTGTATTTTGCATACAAATCGTGTCCTTCACATTTGAAATGCTTTGAAATTGTCAAAATGACATTTCATATGGAGGATAATGTAATAATTCTCATCAAATTGTACTTGAAAGGGACCCCTAGAATGTCAAATATAGCTATTGGTAAAATTACATTGGTAAAATTGCATGTTAACAACTATCAAAATAAAATATTTTTCAAACAATTGTGGAGTGAATACAGAAACCCTTTTAGATGTGAAAGTATGATGATCATTTAGACCCAAACAATCACTTCAAATTGCTATGAGAAATAATGAGGAATGTAAGAAATATATTAATGACTCAATTTTTTTTTCATAAATGTTAGTATCGATCACTGGTTAGTTTTCGTGGATTAGTAAAGGTTTGTGGGAAAGTTATTTTGTAGACAACATCTTATTTAGAACAAGATGTGTTTGTGAAATACTGATGCCACCATATGGCAGCTCGTGGCGAGTGTTAAAGTTTCTCAAATGCAAATAAAATTCCAAAGTCAAGAGATCAAAAATGTCGATATCCAAAGAAAGGTATTTTCACTAAAGGAATACACCCGTGAAATATGGAAGCCCTAGTACCAACCATTCAAAGGTTATAACCAAGGTTAAAGTTTTTCAAAAGTAGGTCAAACTCAACGGTCAAAGTCAAAGGGTCAAAATTAATTGTGCACTAGGAAAGGGCTTGTCAAAAGGAATATGCGTATGAAATATGAAAGCCCCAGCACTAACCATTTAAAAGTTATGGCAAAGTTTTTCAAAAAAAGGTAAAACTCCAAGGTCAAGGACAAAAAGTTAAAACTATTGGTACCTTATGGAATATCTTGCCACAAGAAGTAATATGTGAAATATGAAAGCCCTAGCATCAACTGTTCAAAAGTTACGACCATGGTAAAAGTTTTTCAAAAGTAGGTCAAACTCCAAGGTCATGGTTAGAAGGTCAAAATTGTTCGTGCCCAAAGGAAGGTCTTGTCACAAGAAATATACCCGTGAAAAATGAAATCCCTAGCACTTACCATTCAAAAGTTATGGCAAAGGTTTAATTTTTTTTTCAAAAGAAGGTCAAACTCCAAGGCCAAGGACTAAAGGTAAAAAAATATTCGTACCTTAGGGAAGGTCTTGTCACAAGAAATAAAATGTGAAATATGAAAGCCCTAGCACCAACTGTTCAAAAGTTACGACCATTGTAAGTTTTCCAAAATCAGGTTAAACTCCAAGGTCAAGGTCAAAATTCAAAAGTAATATGACTCAGGTTGAAGTTTGGTAATTTTTTTTCAAAATTGGGTCACATTCTAAGGTACCCAAAGAAAGGTCTTGTCACAAGAAATACACATATTTAATATTAAAGCAACAGGTCTAACTAATCGAAAGTAATGAAAAAGATTAATGTTTTTGAGGACAAACAGACAGACAGAGAGATAGACAGACGGACGGACAGGGCACAAACTATATACCTCCGAATCTTGGATTCCGGGGTGCTAATCCCGCACAGAGATTTTGATTGGCTTAAAATATGTTTATAAAATTACATCGGATAAACATCGTAATGTTTTCAGGGAAAATCAGACGTAAACAGGTTCTATTTACTCATGCAATATTTAAACACTGGAATTGAATATTTAAACCCACTCAGTTTTTTTAATTTTGTTCTCTGTGCGGGATTAGCACATACCATTTCATGGTTGAATTCGACTTTTCCACACGGCGAGCAGAGTTTTGACGCTGTTTACGGAGACTAAAGAAAATAAAGACAAGCATGCCATTTGTGGCTGTGTAGATAAATTATAGTAGAAAACATAGGTATAATCAGTTTGTCAGTGTATTTCCTCTGAAAGTGTAAATGAGTGCGATTCTGTGGGAGGGGGGTACTCCGTGTAATTGGGAGTTAGATACCTTTTCGTTATTATTGTATACAATGCGTTAATTTTTTTTTACCGATACAAGTGCCTGTGGTATACATGTATGTAGTACTCATGGTGATACATATTTTATTATATGCATGTATAGATAAATAACATTCGGAAATGAAATATAAAATTTTAACTAAAAATTTGAGTTGCTAGGTTATGATGAAAATTCTAAGAAATACAAACTATCTGTAATTTAAATTAACATTTTTTGACGGAACAAGTTTATTAATTTTGATATTAAAAGCCATGGTCAAATATTGTCAGGTATTTTTAGGGATGTGTCTGTAGATGCCTGCAGACCATAATACGGAAGGCCACATGAGCTAGCACAGCTACCTATACTAATCGTGCACCTTATCTGCATTGGCAATACCAGAATTTCGTCCAAAATACCAAACGAAAAACATAATTTAGTGAAAGAAGACAAGGTAAACTTTAAGACCCTAATAAAATTCTTTGATATTTTGAATTTGTTAAGGCCAGTACACACAGTGAAATTTGTAATATAATGCAATTACATGTATTTTATTTGTATTATAATACTTTCCTGTACACAAGCTTATACATGTCATATTAGATTGTTAATAGACTTTAGGTATTTCTACGTGTTTCCCTCGCGATATTCTCTCCCTCTCTCTCTCAATAATAGAAAACGAGGTTCTGTTAGCAGTATCTGTTAGAGTTACGTTTTATGCACTGCATCAAAACTGAAAAGACCATCATATAGGAAATAGCGGCGGAACACTCGTACACATAGTTGGTGCACATAACAGGCCCGTAGGAAGCAAATTCAGTTGGGGGGGGGGGGGAGCAGAGCCATATATTTTCAGTTGGGGGCATTATTAACTATCAAAAATTCCTTGACAAGCAATAAAAAAAAGAAAAAAAAAAGAAAAAAAAATCAGACGTTTTTATTGAGGGGGCACAAACATATAGTAGCTATATTTTCAATAGTAATCTATATATCGGCAAAATTATGGGGGGGGGGGGGCGAGGGTACGCCCCCCCCTCGGTTCCTACGGCCATGCATAATGCATTGCTAGATGAGGTGCAAAGAAAGACCCCATAAGTTATAAAAACTTCATTAGAATAGATAATGCAGCATTTGAGCAACTTTTACAATTACATGTGGTTACTCATTTGACCTCCTTCCCACAAAACATATTTTACTGTTAAAGTCGACCATAGATTATTTACCATGTGCTCTTTTTTTTTGTTATGATAAAATAGGATGACCTTAATGTGAATACTTTTGATTGATTTAAAAATGAAAGGTAAGTTAAGACTTGCATTAAGAAATAGAGCATTGCCCTGTTCTTAATACAGTTTTATAAGATTCGAAAAATCTTATTATTCACTGTATTAAAAGTCTATACATAGTAAGATTTTGTACTTAAATACATATCCGTGTGTACAGTCCTGCAGGCATGTTTACGAAGCTATCTTAGGACTAAGAAACGTCTTAAGATATACTTAGGACAATTCTTAAGTCTAAGTGGGGTTTTCGAAAGTATCCTAACTTAAGAAAGTTCTTAAGAATTATCTTAAAGTTAGGACAGCTTTTGACATATCTTAAGTCTATCTTAAGCAAAAATGGCCGCGCCCAAGTTGTTGCTGGCTCGACGAAATCGTCGTATCAGACGTGACAGAGTATTTAGAGATATTGATAACCCTCTTGACTACCTTGATGATGAAGCTATAATAAGAAGGTATAGGCTTTCAAGTCCCTTAATCCATGATTTATGTGAACAATTTCAAAATGAACTACAACGTCCTACTATGAGATCTCATGCATTACCTGTCTCACTGCAGGTAATGGTTGCATTACGATTTTATGCAACTGGCAGTTTCCAAGCAGTCGTTGGTGATGTGCATAACATTTCAAGACCGAGTGTGTGCAAACTAGTGAAAGATATGACCCAGTGTCTTGTTAATGTGGCCAATATACACATAAGAATGCCTATTACTTCAAATGAATTGGCAAAAAACATGAATGAATTCAGTTTAATTGCAAATATGCCAAATACCATTGGGTGTATTGATGGAACACACATTAGAATTAAATCTCCAAGCGGTGATGAACATTTATACATAAATCGCAAAAATTACCATTCAATTAATGTCCAAGGGGTTTGTGATGCCAACTTAAAATTTATTAACATTGTGGCAAAATGGACCGGCGGAACACATGATGCGTTTATTTGGTCAAATTCTGCTTTGAATTGTTTATTTGAAACAGGAAGGATTGCAGAAGGATGGTTACTGGGGGACAGCGGTTATCCACTGCGTCCTTGGTTACTTACACCTGTAAATAATCCATCAACAAATGCAGAAGAGCGTTACAACACTGCCCATATCCGCACCCGCAATTCTGTTGAAAGATCTTTTGGGGGTTTTAAAATCACGCTTCCGCTGTCTAGACGCAAGCGGTGGAAGTCTACTATATTCCCCTCAGAAAGCATGCGATATCACGGTAGCCTGTGTAGTGTTGCAGCACATGTGTATTTCTCGCCGTATACCCAGATCCACGAGACACGGGAAGAATTCGAGGGACTGATTATGCAGGGACCGTTAATGACGGTGCTCGAATCAGAGATCGTCTTATCACAGGACGTTTTTCTAGGTGAAGCAGCTGTAAAAATTACCACTAGAGATTTCTTTTTTGTTGTTGATGCATTTATCAAAGCAAATGTAATACAGTTGTGACTAATAAATGATATTTCTTTTCATTTGAGACTATTTGTCTTCATTTAAAAAAGTTATATATTTCTCTAACCCCCTCCCCCCCCCCCTCAATTTCATATGCAGAGTTGTCATTCGTAGCTCTCTCAGACACTTCTGCAATGGACTCGCATCGAGAGGAATAATTTAATTACATGTATACAATTAAAAGAAAGGCGCTAGTATTTCTTGTTGTTATCAATGTGATGTAGGAGTATGCGAGTCAAAATCTCTCTCTCTCTCTCTCTCTCTCTCAGGGTTGAGTCTGTGTGTATTTTCTTTCAAATGATAAACGTACCAGTAAATCAATTACAAAAATAACTTTAAAGAACCATAAGGAATCGTTTACTGTCATGTAGGTATTTGTACAAATTATATATTACTTCCTTCAAAAGTAACACCATGCTTGGCTAAGTACACTTGATGACGCTGTGTTTATATAGTAAGTCTCTGTCTAACTCCAAACGTTCCTTTTCGATCTCCAGCATCGATCTGTCTCATGATTGAAAGCTTTTCCTCCTCAATGCTCAATAACTTGTTTTCATAAAAGTCCTCACTGTCTTTTTCCTTTTTCCTCTTCTTTGAGGGTCCGGATTCAACGGACACGTCGCGTGAAACTGGTAAATCACATTGCGGCGCAATACTAGCACATGTACTGTCACTTGAACATGCAGTCTCAACGCTCAATATATCTAAAAAACAGAAACAAAAAAAGAAAATCATGGATTTTTTAAAATTGTATTTATATCATGTGGTTTCTACAGATGTTGAATTATTACACAGTTATACGTGTACTGCATTTGTTCATGCAAGGAACGTAGCATCGTTTTTTGAAAAGGAGGGGGGGGGGCAAAAAATTTAACTTAACAGAAAAAAAACTTGACAAGGAAAAAAAAGGAAATTTTCCTAACTCGAAAATCCTATTTCATAGGGGGTGGGGGGGGGGGGGTGGTGGTGGTAGGTTCCAACTTCTTTCAGTGTCAATTTTTATTCACTAATGCATTACCCTTTTTTAAGCGCTAAGCGCAGCGCAAAGCGCTTACTGTCATCGTAAATCTACTTCCGTTCGCGATCCAGCGCCACTAAGCAAGTTAGATAAATCCACTGGGTTTTCTAAAAATATGCAACTGGAAATCATGACTCTTTTCGGCTATTTTAGTGTAATACTGAGTTACGTGCAGTTCTAATAATAGGAGTCAATTAGTAAGGTAAAGATAAGCATGTACATTGTAAGAAAATCCACTGTTAGTGGATAACGGTGGTTCTTGTCATACGTATCTCTATACATTGTTGTTCATTGAAAATCGTGTCGGCACTCATCACTCGGTACATCGAATTACCGAAATGCCCTTGATATACCGAAATGCCCGTAGAAATTACCGAAATGCCCCTGGAAACTACCTTGTGTACCTTGTAGCTAACAATCGCTGCATCTATGGCGCAAATACTTAATTAAAAACGGTTTATTATATGTTATGTACATGTAATGTAATGATTGAATAAGTACATATTTTTAAAACTCAGATGGGATTTTAATAAGTATTTAAAACTCAAACTGGAATTGAGTTATTTAGTAGAAAATTTCGAATAAAATTGATTTACAATGTACTTACATATATACGTTCTATATAACTTATATCCATATAAACTATTATTCTTTCCTCTAGACCCTTATTTCAGGCATTGTAACTAAAAACAAGTCATCCTTTTATCACCCTTGCACCATGCAGAGAGCTATTAATGAAGTATTTTCGCATCTCAGTATCAATTAGTAACAGACTGGAATGCATTCATGGACTTTATATACTTTTCTATACTTGTAAATGGGTAAAAATATTATGTAAATAATTCGCTAGGAAAGGCAGTTTGCGGCTGTGCGTACATATAGGGCACATGGTGGCTGTGTTTTCAACGAATCCACTCAAATAGGAAAACTAATTTCTCGGAATATTATGCTTTAAAATTGTGCGTGCAGTGTACAAGATATGACGAAAAATGTAAAAACCTTAATTAAACGTTCTTAGCAATGGACAGGAATAGCGCCGATGTAATGTTAAGCAAATAGTGTAATACTTGTATTTGGAAAATAGGAAGAAATAGTTTATGTAAAGATGTGTGCGTGTTGCCGATTTGACTGCTAAGCAACTTAATGAGGACTACATAAAAACAGAATAGAACAATGTTGTATAACTTCATGAAGATTTATCAATACTTGAGATTAATATAATGTATTTTCTTTCTAAATTAGGCTATTGAATTATCATGGAAATAGCAGAAAAATTACGGGCAATTATTTTCAGTATTCAACTAACACAACAGTGCTGTGGATAATTTTTCCCCTCTAAACACGTTTTGCGTAGTAGTTAAAATCATACATAAACAAGTAAAGAATGGTGTAAAGCATCAAACGTCTGTAAAAAAAAAAAAAAAAAAAAAAAAAAAAAAAAAAAAAAAAAAAAAAAAAACTGAAGCATTTTTAAGCATTTCAACAATAATCCAAATACTTTTGGGGATTTATTGACATATTTTTAATCCGAAGAAGAAAAGTATAAAAAAAAAATTATTTTAAAAAAAATTAATATTTACAAATCAGATATACATATTGTGAGATCAACAGAAAAGACAATTTTTTGTTGCAAATACATTATATATCATGTATATGAAAATCAGAGATAAAAGGATAGCACCGAATGTTTTATCATCAAACAAAGAAGACAAATATAATATCTTTATACTCAAAATGTATATTTACCAATTATCTCTGACAAAAGGACGTTAACTCTGGATAGTTTTGTCACATGACGTTGTTACAAACATGATGCCGATATACTGCACAACGTGATGAAAGTGAAGTGTTAAAAATGTATAATACACAGCTGTAGCATATTCAAAACAAAATGTAATATATAGTCTAAGTTTTATTTATCATTTATAAATACTAGACGCTCTTAGCGATTGTGTAAATATTTTACACACTCCATTAATGTATAATTTCTTGTAAGATCCTTTCTATAAAATCGTAAATTTATAAATCGCTTATAAATATGGAAAAAGAGATATACTAAAACAATTAACTAGTAAGAATATTAGTATTCGATATTTTTGAAATGTTTTATTCATAACTTTAATAAATGATTATGTTTTCAATAAGGAAATATTTATCAACGCAATAAACAAATAACGTCTTTATTTTCCGAGTGAAGTTTCTGAAATTAAAGCATAGTTACTAACAGCTAATCTTCAATTTAAAACACTCGTAAACACGAAATGATTTTATTATAAAAAATTATCACTAGAACATTTTAGCTGTCGGTGTTGCACATAAATGAGAGGAATTTCAGCGACATTTTCAAGTGTCCAAAATTATTTAGAAATATACATTTTCCAGCAAATATATAGCTACATTTATAGTCTAACTGTGGTCGGAAAACTTTTCGACCATCTCCCCTCCAATAAATTGCCATTTATACGCAAAGTTACCTCTAATTGACTCCTTTTAGGAGATGGAAAAAGAAAATATTTTTACATGTTCTTTTTTCTTTTATTAGGTTTGAGAAATACATTGCTGTTTGGAGTAAATATCTGCCATTTAATTTGTATATATTGGGTTTTTTTTTTTAAGAAACGGAGAAATATTTTCTTGCAATTTCATGTATGTGAAATTGATTGATCTTTTGACAGAAGAAGAAAATGTAAAATGCTTAAAATAAAAAGGCATAAGACCATGTTGAATTTCATATTCCAACGGAAGATTCATGACTCACATGTTTGATTATGTATCAAACAACTGTGCTCGCCCTAGCGCAGCCGCTTTCAAGATATTGCTTAAATTCAAATACAAAAGGCAGTTTAAATATTTCTGATGAATTTCAAATTGCAATATGCTTAGCGCTTCCCAGTACTTTCAGTACTTTGATTACTATACTGCACCAAAAAGTGGGGAGGGAGGGGGACCTGTCTTTCAATGAACATTTTCAATGATACAATGTAAAAAAAAGTTATGTTTGGACCCCCCCTCCCCGATGTTACATGCCTGCATGCATCTACTTTCCAAAAATACCCATGGTTAGAACTCTTCCGATATTCAGTGCTTCATAGGGATGCACAACAAATATAGTAAGATGTAACCTGTTAACAAAATAAAACTATTGAATCTCACTTAACAAGAGAGAGAGAGAGTTTAAACATTACTGTACCGTTTTTTTCGGTGACCTCGCAGGTGTCGATACCGCCCTCTATGCCAGAAATTGGGGTACAACCAATTATTCTCACAATTTTTTCCAGCGTAGGATTTAGTCCCTGGGGTGGGGGGCCTCCTCCAGTTTTTCCTGTTTCCCTGCGATTTTGCAAAGCCTTCTTTTTCGTCTCACTCATATAAGAGGACCATTTCTTCTTCACTTCTTCTACTGTCCTACAGTGGTCGATGTTATTTGCTTTGTTGATTTTCTCACATATTGCCTCCCATGCTCTTTTCTTTGAAGAACTTGTAGATACGTTGGAAAACTTTGAAAATAAAATGGCTCTGTTTTTCTCCACCTCATCAAGCAGTATTTCGATTTCAATTTGAGAAAAATTAGGACTCCTCTTTCGACTCATCCTACTGGGTGTTTTCTTGTCGAACCAGAAATTGTCAATGAATAAGAGCTCCACGGAGAAAATTGGCGCGCTTTTCATGGTTCAAGAATTCTGAATGATCAAATAGAACTCTATTTGATTTTAATAACAACCAATATTATCGTCGAATTCAGATGATTATTTAAAAATATATATATTATTTATATTTAAGATTTTAAAAAAAATGTTTAAATCAGTTTTTTTTTTTTTTTCTGCTCTTTAAAATATTTTTATTATTATTAGCTACATAACGTGTAGCATTACATACCAAAAATGACCACTCTCTGATTCCTGACAATGGTTTAAAACTTTGCGTATTTCTATGTCATAATGATTTAAGACGTCTTAGTTTAGGATACTCTTAAGATAGCTTTGAAAAACACTTTAAGAAAATCTTAGGATGATCTTAAAATTTTCCTAAGATCTGTCTTAGGAAATTTCTTAAGAACAATCTTAGGAAATTTTCGTAAACATGCCTGCAGAAGCCGATTGACAGACACAATGAAAGCATATCGAACAGTGGAATGTCACGTGAGTTAAGTGATTATAATATCAAATGGGTCAAAATAGGTTGACACTCGGTGACCTGTTAATTTAGTAGCTAACTCGATCGCAGTTTGGAGAATTTTTCAAAAAATTACATATGAGCTGCAAATTGTCCAACATTGCCCTTTGGGTATGTATAAGTTTAGATCAAAATACACATTCTGTCCAAATGAGACGAATGGAAAAGTTGCGGCTCGATGTAAACAATGTCGTTGAAAACCGGTATGCATATGAATTATTTATAACAATAGAAATGTGACAAAACTGCTACACCCCGTCGCAAAAACCAGTGTCGCTCGGCGTTATTTAACATTTCCATGTGATATAATATATCAAACCCTGCTCTTAAGATATTGTTTAATAATTCCGATTCAAAAAGTTTTTAAACTTCGGAAAATTATTTCTGGCAAAGCACCGGGACCCAACTCTCATAGCTTAAGTGCACTGATCCTTTTAAAATGATTTAATGTATGTTTGTAATGAAAAAGGTGAAGATAATTTAACCAACAATGATCGATCTAAAAGAAAAAAAAAACAAAACAAAAAAACAATACAAATCTGTGAACAGGGCTTAAAACACGGACTTCTGGAAATTCGAGAGGTGGTATCAGGTGCCTATGTGGAGTAAGCATCCCCTGTTGACCGGTCACACCCGCCGTGAGCGACCTATTTAGGATCAAATTCGAAACTTAGAGATCAAGATAAAAAAAAATAATGTTGTCAATATGATTATACATGTGTATGTAAAAATTTTTCTAGTAATCCTTAAATATATGTGCTGTTTTCAGGCAGTATTTATTTTAATTTGACATTGTCAACGATTCAAATTATACCTTTATTTATTTCATCACCGGGAGCAACATTTTTTTTTTTAATTGGCAACAGATTGCATTGATTTTAATAAATAAGATTTTTAAATCCTTTGTTTTTTTTTGGGGGGGGGGGGAAATGAGATGATCATATAACGAAAATATTTTTGAGATACTTTATTCTTTGTGCAGGATATGTATTTCACAAATTTCGATTTTTTTTTATTGAAGATAAATGCATATTAAATATGTTACTGTGCCTCTACTTTTTAGTGAGAGCATGTAAATGTATTATCATATCCACTATACCTTTTTATGTACAAATGCCATTTTCTTTTAAGGATAAATTATACAAACTAACTTTTATCAGAAATCAGCAATATTTCTCATAAATTTATTTTTAAATTGGTAATCCGATAATGTTTGCCAGGTATAGTGGGAGAATTTTATAAGATTTTGACATAATGTCAAAAAGTTTAGCAAAATTTTGTATGGAGTTACATGTATATAGAAAGCGACACAAAGTCACATTTCTAAGCACAAGTAGAAAACTTAAGATTTCTTTATATTTTAGGCATGGCTGTAGGAACCTGAGGGGGGGGGGGCACGGGGGTGCCCTCCTAATAATTTTGCCGATATATAGATTACTATAGTAAACATAGATGCTTGTGCCCCCTCAATAAAACGTCTGATGACCTTTTTTTTTTGCTTGTCAGGAAATTTTTGGTAGTGCCCCCTCAACTGTCAACTGAAAAATGTATTGCTGTGCCCCCCCCCCCCAACTGAAAATGCTTCATGTCATTTCTAATCAAAATCAGTCAAAAATAAATATCAATCCATGCATCAAATTTTTGTTTGTGTTAAGTATCCTTAATGTATACTTCATAAATTTGAAAATTAAAAAAAATCGATCTGAACATTACGATAAACCCTTCAAAATGCTCTCTGTCTAACTATCTATTTATTTGTTCTGTTCGGCTTCTAATTTTTAGATAAAGTGATTTTTTCTCTTATCTTTTTAGAAAGTAGGATGTATCATATCACATATTATATATCTAACATAAAACAAAAAAATATATATCAAAAAATCATTTAAAATAATGAAGAAGAATTCTGATGCACGCAAAATAAATAAATAGGAAAAAGAAGTAGGTATGGTTTTGGTTTTATTGTGCCCTAAAAATTTATTGTTCTCAAAAAGTTTTGAAACTGGCTTAAATATGAGTTGATTATATGACTGTGATAAATCATGAAAGAATATGGCATGAAGGAGGACCATTCTAGAAAAATGACGTCATTAATTTGATACATTTCTCTGTTTTAAAGAAAAAGTCGAAAATTGACCCATTTCAAGGGTTATCTTCCTTAAAGAAATAGTGCCCACAACCGTCGCCTACTTTAATTTTCAGATATGTTGTGTAAAATTCCTTAAAAAGTCACATTTCTCAAAATCTTTGTGGGCGATGTATGTTGTCTATATTATCTGAAAAAAAGTTCCACTGAAATTGATGTCTTCTGCATTTTTTTAAAAACATACGGGAAAATGCATAAGTTCATGACGTCACGATTAGCATTTAGAAGGTCAGGTGAGAAAAACGATTTGTATGATCTTACTACATCGAATTTCAACGATTCAGAAAGCATAAGGTTTAATTAATATAATTAAATAGCATAAGGTTTCACATTATCTGGAAAATTTCTAACCTTAAATGTGACATTGGAGTATAAAAACAAGAGGACAGCAGTTTCAATCCCATTTACATAAATTTTCCTGTATTTTAGTGCTCTACATGTAGTGTTATTTTTCATTCAAATTGTATTTGTTTTTTTCAAGGTAAATGCATAATAATATCGATTAATAAAATATCATTATCAAAACAACCACAACTTACGTTAGCGATATCATGTTATGAAAGTTTATAAGTGAAAAATAATATGTAAAACAGTGTATCTTGTGCATCTTGAAAATAAAGCTCTTATCCGTAATTTGTTAGTAAGCAGCGTTCATTTATTTGTTAAAACCTATCCACAAGAAAACAACTTTTTTTATCATATTCTATTAATTTTATTCCTTTTTTTTTTAAAAAAAACGCTTAACTCTATGTTTTTGACGTTCAAATTTGATAAATGTGCTCCGTCGTCACAAAGCACATTAAGTACTGTAGATCACTACATTTTCGAGACATCTTATTTACGCGAGATATTTATTCTTATTAATAAGCGAGATAAAATTTACTCGAGCTGTGGTTATTGCGATATCTAATCCTAAACATTACAAATATACGCGAGATAAAATAATCACGAGCAGACAATCCCACGAAATTGCACAAAAAATAAAGTTCTCGCGAATAAAAAAGGGATTTACAGTAATATGATTTCTTTCAAATCACATGAATTAAATTTCATACATCAACAAAATTAATATTTTTATATATGACAAAGTGCGCATTTTAAATTTCTTGAAAATAGCATAAAGAGCTATAGTAATAGTATAAGGAGGATTTACATGGTCCACGGACTTTCCGAACAACTCTTGTACCTGTTGACAACATAGAAGTACAGTTTTCTAAACGGACCGATTGAAAGATTAAATTGGATACCTTGTTTAGAGAGATTACTGAGAATTATTGATGTAGTGATAGTTTATCATTAGAAATATCGGATGATTCAAGATGGTCGGTGGTGAAACACAATAAACCTATATCATTCAGTCAAACTAATGGTCACTGAATGGTTTTGAAAGGTCACTGAATGACAGAGCTCTGTGTTTCCAGGAACTGTATATACACAATTTTCGTCATTTCCATCCTTGCATGTTTAACAAGCAACTCCTGACCCTGTTGACTGAAATCGCTTTTTTGAGATTTTATCGCGTGATCTGTACCATGCATGCTTTTTTTTTTAAATTAAAACAAACAAAAGCAACATAAATACATGTAACAAAAGAATGAAATCTACAACAATTAAACAAGCAATAGTCCAAAGTATAGTTTCTCATCATTTTGAAATGTAATTACAGGAAATAACTGGAAAATTATTGGGCAATATTCAAATTTTAGATTTTGTAAATTTGAAGTTATGAATATAATTTGAGGGGAAAAAATTTATATTTGCAGAATATTCGAAATGGCCATTTACATAAAGCAACACTTGAATTACATGTTAGTAACAAATTATGCTAGTTAAAACTCAAAATATGAGTACTTCTTGCTATTTCAATACATTATATGATTTAATGATCGATATCTTAATATAAGAGGGTTTTAATATCTTTGATGCGAGTTCAAAAGATAGCCTGTGCCAAATTAATGCAATCATTTTAACCGCAGTGGTCAATTTAAAAAAGGTTGCTGTGCAACATACGTTTACTAATGGAACATATTTCTAGGAATGTACCACTTTTAATTATATATATGGTGGGAAATATTCAGTTTTGTAGGGTGCTTGTAGATTGTTTTGTGTTTTGATTTTTTAAATCAGTTTAATGAAGGCATGTACATGTAATTTAGTTCTTACATTTTAACATAGAGAACAAGATCAGATATATTTAAGGTTTCGAATTTGAGAATATATATACTGCGTGTTTAAGTTGTCCTTAAATAATCTACTTGTTTTAGATATAATTTTTTTTTCGATTGACAATGTCACAGATTAAGTTTAGTTATTTTATTACCGGAGCACGAAGCTTTTTTGGCAACTGATGGCGTTGTTCATCGTATAAACGATTGTTTTTTGGTTTTTTTTATTTGAAAGACAATAATCACAGAAAGAAACATTTTTGAAATTCGCTGTTTTTTACTGATTTGTTTTGGATATCTGGTGTTATAAGTGCACAAAGCCATGATAGGGTGGACATCAAATTAATTACACAAAAAAGATTACTTAGACAAGTTCTATATATATTTTTTTTTTTAAAAAAGAGACCAGTGTAACATCAACCAGTTCCTAATCTTTTAATTTCAATGTACTGTTTATTGATTTGTACAGGAAATATAGTATTAAATGTGCACAAACCATGCTCTGGTGCACATAAAAGAATTAAATTGAAAAATTAATATTGTCTGGTTTTAAATGAGAGTCCAACATCAATTTGTTTCAAAGGTTCATCTTCATGTACATACTGTAAATTTATACTAAGATCATTTAACAGACACTAATATTCACTAATTCTAAGATATTTCTTTTTTTCCATGTTTGTACAGCAAGTGTCTGTACTGAAGATTACACATCTTATTCCACTTCTTGTGTTTTAGGGCTCGATTAATTCCTCAAAAATTGTATGGCTTCTAGGAGTTTTGAGATTGAACATTATGCGTTTTGTTCATCTTTTCATTGTAAAACTCACATTTACGGTAGCTCGCTCCGTGATCGGAAGATCGTGTGTTCGAATCACGGCCGCGACTGACCTAAGTCGATAAAAATAGTTTGCAACTGTTCGATCGGCAAACTCTCGGCACTTTGAAGTGAAAGTTGTGAATCTTTCGGATGAGACCTTAAAAAACGAGGCCCTTTGTCACGGTAGGCGTTGGCATGATAAAGAACCCTTACTGCTCAATGGCCCTGAGTGCCGAGGGTATAAATTTGAAGCCCTTCACCGGTATATGTTGACGTCTCTATATGAGTGAAAAATTCTCGAACGGGAAGTAGAACAATATACAATCAATTAATCATTGTAAAACTCTTCACCAAAAACAATTCAATAAACATACTCTTACAGCATTTATTCCATGTTTTGGTTGGTCAATGAGCACACTCAAATGTACTTCAGAATATAATGTACCTTTCTTTGGAAAATATCAATTAATATTCACTTTAGGAATGAGGATTTCATAACCCTGATTCCCTTTATACCAACACGATCGAACCAGTGACAGGCATTCGTAAACGTTCTGGTAATATTCAATTCTCCTCGGGGTATATCCCATGGAATTTGTTCTGGTTTACCTAAAATCAGAATTATAATAAATCTAGTTTTAAACAAACTCTTAACGAAAGAAATCTCATAAAAAATAAAAATCTGGATTATATTTTGAATCTTAAAACTTATTATTTCACCTATTTTGTATATAACAGTGTTGTTATTTTGTGGCACAATGTCCATGCATACAAAGACTTCTTTGCTAAAAAAAAGAAAAAAAAAGAAAAATAAATTAATACCATTTTTAACGTGTTATTATTGGGTTACAGTGGAATTTTAGACATTTTTACTTGTTCACTTCACTTGCACTGTCAACGGTAACGATTTATTTTTCATTTGTACACTTGGCAAAGTTCCATTTAATCTAATTAATTCAATAGTTAATTATCCTAAACGATTCCAGTTCATTTATATACACGTACTTATGAAATGAATCAAATAAAATTTGCTTTTTAATTAAAAATTGCAAAATATTATAGATTTAAAATAATGGATTTTTAGGTTGTATGGGACACGACCACGCCATGACCTATTTCTGTTTGAAGTATTGTATTGATTTGCATGAGTCTTATTATCTGGTCAAATTTTTTAGATACACTGTTTAAAAGAACACTCTGAAGCTATTTCAATGCAAATACTCACAAGTCGGCATTTCAAGTAAAAATAGACAAAAAATCGCAAGTATATAAATTTAAAGATAATTGTACTGCAGACATTTAAAAAGCAAATCCCTGTAAAAGATAGTTTAAGCATTGCTGCTTTTGAACACGTTTAAGCAAAAGCTCTATTTCAGTTCTTTGAGTAACTGTACAGCACCTTGTGTGCGGTGAGACATGGATAAGTGCAATTACTTTACATTATGCTAAATTATGACCAATCAATTATCCCGTTAACCAGAGATGGTCTTCTTTCATACTTAATTCAAGAACTAACTGTTTGGTCACAAATCAGCTAGCTACTGTATATCGTCCCAAAACTTTTTGATGAATGCAATTGCTTTGAATGAGACACATCGTCTTGGAAAGCAATTATCCATGCATTGTTTTCAAATCAGTTCAAAGTAGAAAACTTCCACTGCAAAAAAGTGCGATTTAGTTAAGTTTGGAAAAAAATGCTCATTATTTCTGAAATAGCACCCAAGTTTTTCAACCCATGGAAAATAAAAAAGGATAACTCTTCCATTTGGATCTTTTAATTAAAAAAAATTAAATGCATCTTATTATATATATATATATATATATATAAATATATATATATATATATATATATATATATATATATATATATATATATATATATATATATATATATATATATATATATATATATATATATATATATATATATATATAATTTGTTTATTTCACTTTGCAAAGATATTATGATACATTCTAATTGTAGACTTTTACGAAATGTTATCCGTCTGTTTTCAAGAAAAGAACTTTTCCCAGTTTTTTACTCTTATTTTTTGTTGAAAATTGAAAGAAAAATATGAAGACATATTTCTTGTCATTTTTGTTTTTATATACATTTATATCAGTATACTCCTGTCAATAATATTAAGCTTTTGAAAAAAAGAATTATGTAAGAAAAAAAATTGTATTTCTCATTAAAATAATAAAAAATCATTAAAATTACTATTTATCATACTGAATGGTAGGGGTATTTCAAATCCTCCTAACTTGGGTAAATAAATATTTAAGAAAAGTTTCGTTTGGTATCCCATACCACCTTAACATAAGTTATCGTAAGGATTCAGTAATTACCATTCTCCATTCATAGCTCGTGTCATCAAGTACCTCGTACCAGATCTTTTCTGGCACGCATATGTAGAATCCACGAACTCAATTGCATTAGGTTCAGTTTGGAAACGGATATTTGTTTCATTTATGACTACATCAAATTTGAATCCAGGCCCTTTGGTTTCCCATTTACCTGCGATATCGCTTGGGAGTCTACAGCGAGGGACTATAGTCTCAGTTGAAGGAGGAACTGAAAGCAAAATATTAAAATAAGATGGAAATTATTTGCATCAAGGTTAACAAATTTTTATTTATTTAATCTATTTACTATGTCAACATATTTGTAAATATCTCTGCAAAGAAATCGAGTCATGCGTTAAACAATTTTATGTTTCATAATGAAATTCACTTACTACTTGTTAGCACTAATCTGACTGGCGCACTGAAAATACTATTTAAATTTGCGCAGGAAGCAAAACGAGACATCACCCACCGTTTCTTGTCTCCTTGTTGGGACCTTGTCGTCATCTATAATTACAGTTGTACATAATATATAGATAGATAGATAGATAGATAGATAGATAGATAGATAGATAGATAGATAGATAGATAGATAGATAGATAGATAGATAGAGAGAGAGAGAGAGAGAGAGATCTAGAGAGTTCTATTAGAAAAAAATCACCAGACACTTGAATTTATCTCTAGAGTCATTCATTAGAATGTCTGCAATGGCAGCAAACGTGTAAACAATTCCATTCCGTTCAACATCCCATGTGCCCATACACTGGTATCTCAACTCTATAAGGTTTCAAGAAGTTATTTTACATAAACACATTATTTTTGGCCGAATCTCCATGCTTTATTTTTATTGCGTCATACATATCCATAAGTTGATGGTGGTTGATAAAACTTTCTTCATTTTCTCTATCATGGCTATTCACAGTAATGTAATTATTAAAATCGTAATCTTATTTGTCTGAATTGGTTTCATTACTTTCATCTTTTGACGCCAGTGCATTGGGACATCTAGCATATGTCATAAAGAAGACCTCGTTGTTTATGTATGGGGATCCTGGCTCTTGACAGGCTTTGATTTGATTGTCAGGATTGTCACAGACACCACCACCCCATTCACTCAACTCATACGAGAACTGATACAGTCCTTTAAACATAACTTCGCAGTTAACTGGTTGTGGAAGTTGTCCTGCAATAATCAAACACACTTCACAACGCAATTTTATGAAAGACTATCACGTTTTCTAAATTATCATATTCCTATTCCTTTGAGGTTTATAATCGGAATCACTTTTTGGTTTAAAATAAAAAGATTTCAATTTCATTTATGCAGTCCAATTATATTTGAGAAAATATAAATTTCGAAAAAAAGTCTGACAGCATGCATCTGTTTTAAATAAGTTTTCCGAGATATTCCTTCACATTTCACAGAGCAAATACATTTTTTGTGTTGTAATTTTTCTGAATTTTTCATTTCAAACAAGTTGTGACCTGAAAAAGACAAGCTGCTTGAGACTGCACATATGTATTCTAATCATCCTTTAGCTGTAACTATACTGACCATCATAAAAAACATACCATCGAGTGAGTTTACAAAATTTTATTGTTAGAAGAAATGAGATCAGAGCATAAATGCACAATAGTGGTTGATTTTTTTTTAAGAATCATAATTTCTTTAATAATGGAAAATGTGTGACATCAAAGTCGATGTTGAGCATTGCTGGCGATGGCTTAGGATGAGATTAGTACCTTTCAATGATCGTTTAGCAAACAAAGACGCCGTTGCCACACTGTCAGCACCGAGTGTTTGATGACGATCCTCAAAATATTTTTTTCCAGGGGGTTTCTCTTGCTGTTTACCAAGCAGTTTTGAACCTGATTACAATTGAATACGGCGATTTTTTTCGTATGATAGTGACCCTTAGAACATAAAGAATTATATTAATCTACTTGTGGGTACAATACTTGTCGTGTACCCATTATAATGCTGCCAGGAAATAAATTTGTTACATCTCTAACTTATATTTCTGCTTTAAACATAATAAGATTTTTGTTGCGTCTATTGATGTAGGGGGAATGTAAGCCGCATTTGACAGCTAGTTCATCGTTTGCGGCGAGGATGTTTTCTGACTTTTTTTCAAATGTGCACATGGTTCTTCCAAAAATCCACATTATTAAAGAAAATAAATGCATCAAATGTCAAATAATGAACGAACAGTCTAGGTCTGCTTTTGGAAAACAAAAGAAAACTGTTTCTATCACTGACTGTTTATATATTTCCTGTTTTTCTACCAGTTTTGTGAACACTAAAGATGTTTCTAATTAATGAATATTTGTATTTATTCCTTCAATGATACCTAAGAAAATCAATATTTAATGGTGCGTTCTTTTATGGTGATCAGTATATATGTTACTAGAAAAAATACCAAAAAATTATACGAAAAACATTACATACTCACTAAACATTGTGACAGTGTCTTCAGTGCTGGGAAGGCCATACAAAGGATTCATAGCTTTACAGGAGATATTCAGAGAAATAGCATACCCTACATGAGCAGGTATACAGTCACCTGGAAAATATTACTAAATATTTTTATCTTATCTTAGATTCCTTGTTTGTTTTATCTATCTATATTGCTTTGATTTCACTACAAACTGTGTCTATTTACTGTCATATGTTACATTTTCATTTTTTATTTCTTTTATTTATTGTTTTATTTTGTTTCACTTTTTTGTTCTTGTTGATATTGCCATGTTTTATCTATTTTGATGTGTTTGACTGTTTGTTTGAATGTTTGTCCATTTTTTGAAAGGGGTGGGGAATTTTTCTCTAAATTTAAAATGTTAAAATATTTTCAAAAATGTTCAGTGAATGTATGGAGTAAGTCTTCTTTGAAATGTCATCGGATATTTACTGTAACATTAATACCTTCAATCACTTGATACATTTGATTTTACTCGCATATTTACCAATCCGGTATTGTAAAATGTTGCTTGTTCTCCATAAGACATCTACACAAAAATAACATCTTCCCAAACCACCACTGTTCAATAAATTAAAAAAAAGAGTAAGCTCATTTTTCTTGAGAAAAGTACACAGTAACTGTATTTCATATAATTCGGCACCCTTTTTGAATATATGAAAAGATACTACATGACATTTAAAATATGAAACTTTAAAGATTTTCAAAAATTTAATTTCTAAAGTTTCTTGGTAAAAATCTGTAATTTCAAATCAGAACGATGTCTCAGAGTTAACTATAATGTATGATATATCTATTATGCATAACATTGTATAACACTTCATATATATTAATTTAACAGAAATTATCTTTTTTATCTCAGTTTTATTGTTTTATTTAAAAATCAAACATAAGCCACATAGATCTCAATGTTTAATGTAAGCTTTTATAATATATATATATAAATATATATATATATATATATATATATATATATATATATATATATATATATATATATATATATATATATATATATATATATATATATATATATATATATATATATATATAAAGCACTAAAAATGACCAACGACACGAACAATAATAATTTCAAATTTTCGGGCGCCCTGTCCCTTCCTCAGGACAAAGAAAAAAGTTAAGAAGTCATAAGTATAAAGGAAACAGAAAAAAAAACAACTAGCAGAACTCTACAGAATTCTCGGGAATTTGTCCTGTCAAACAGACAACTGCATATATCTCATCAATAGAAATGTTTCTTTCAAACAGTGCGTTGAGGAAACGGGAGATCACCGCAGGAGAATCAATAATCTCCGTTCGACCATAAAGACTAAGAAACTCAATGAACCCGCTGGGGAACATTTGAACCTTGAATCTTCGTCTTGAGGAATGGACAGGGCGTCCCGAAAATTTGATAGTTTCTATTGTTCGTGTCGTTGATCATTTTTAGTATTTTATATAAATTTCCATCCTACACTCCTAGACCTTGTATCTATTTAGTAGATCCGACACTCAGGATATACAGTGTTGTTAGTTTTTTTGTGCTCTCTCTCTCTCTCTCTCTCTCTCTCTCTCTCTCTCTCTCTCTCTCTCTCTCTATATATATATATATATATATATATCCAAAATTTTTATATTTGTTTAATATATATATATATATATAGATAGATAGATAGATAGATAGATGGATAGATAGATAGATATCTCTCATAGTTCATTTCACTTTTAACATTGTTTCAGAAATGTATCCAAGAAATATATGAACTATTTAAAAATCTAGAACTCATACCTGCTCACCATAAACATTGTGACATTGTTGCCAGCCTGCTTAGACCTTGGGTTGGGATGGATGAACAAATTCTCACAATTTAACTCTGCTGCATACTCATTGCTGTCCCATTTGTCGGCAGTAATCTCTGTCCTGATGTCATTTCCCGATTCCTGACTGTACCAGTCTCCATGGAAATAGTCAGGGATAGTGCATCTACCTGTAACCGTTACTGTTTTCAAAAAAAAAAAAAAAAAATACTGCCCAGCTATCATTACAGTAATAGGTGATTTCACACACTTGATCCAATAAATTGTTTTTAACGGTATAAATATTTTTTTTTAATTAACTTGCCTTCAAGGTGCAAAAGACTAAAACCGCTAAGAATACACTTAATCCATCATTGTATTACTGCCCAGTTCAACACTTTAAAACACACTGCATCTGAATGCATGAATTCTACTTGTTACTTTTTAATAGTGTTTTTTTTTTTCATATTTCCCCCGTTTTAATGAAAATGGACTGAAAGCTTTAAATAATCTTTCCTGATAGAAGTTTATATCAATAAAAAAAATTCAATTTTTTCTAAATTCTGGGAACCACTGGCTCAAAAGTTTTTGCAAACTCCTTTTATAGCTTCACTGGTGAAGATGTTTTAAGATTTTTGAAACTAAGGCTACAGTCAATGAAAAAGGAAATTATAAAGAAGAAACGATATGCTGTGTAGTTTTAAAATCCTCGCAGGAGGGAAGGTAAATAGTAAGTAATATAACTTAATGAGTGAAAGTTTCTCAGATTTAAATGTCTTTCGATCAATAACCTGTCAAAATCGATTTTTCAAAGAGCTGCGAACGATAGTTTTGTTCTGCCGCCTACCTCCCAGTCAAGATTCAGAGGTTAACCTATTTGAATTATTTTTCATATGTATATACATTGTAGATATTTATGTGAATTTTCAAAAAAAAAAAATTAAATTATTTGGGAAAAGCAAGAGAGATGACTCTTCAATTTTGGTAAAAAATGCATTTTTCATTATAGAAATCAATGGAAAACGGAAAATATTCTTAAAACATCCCCCCCCCCCCGTGAAACAAAAATTCCTTTTTATGGATTTTTAGCTCACCTGAGCTGAAAGCTCAAGTGACCTTTTCTGATCACCCGTTGTCCGTCGTCCGTCCGTCTGTCTATCTGTCTAGCTGTCCGTCCGTCTGTAAACTTTTCCCGTTTTCAACTTCTTCTAGAACCACTGCGCCAATTTTAACCAAACTTGGTACAAAGCTTCCTTTGTTGAGGGGGAGTTTAGATTGTTAAAAGGAAGGGCCAAGTCCCCTTACAAGGGTAGATATTCAAGAAAAGACAAAAAATAAGGTGGGGTCATTAAAAAATCTTTTTCTCAAGAACCACTGTTCCAGAAAAGCTGAAACTTATGTGGAAGCATCCTGGAATAGTGTAGATTCTAAATTGTTCAAATCATGACCCCCGGGGATAGAACGGGGCCACAATATGGAATCCAAATTTTACATTGAAATATATAGGATTTTTTTAAAAATAATTTTCTTCTCAAGAACCACTGGGCAAGAACAGCTGAAACTTATGTGGAAGCATCCTGGGGTAGTGTAGATTCTACACGGGTATGTTAAGGCTACACCCAGAGATATCCTATTTGCTTTACAATATGACGTCATAGTAAGCTGTATGACGTGAACTTTAGAAATAATGATTTCTTAATATCTATATTTAAAGTTTCATTTCAGGTCAAAGAAATGGATGGAATCATTCAAAAAGTAATATAAACTAAATCTTGTCGTTTTTGGGTGGTATAAATAGCTAAGTATTTAAAACGGGGGTTAAATACCAAACCCATGACGTCATAACTATTGATCAAGTATTTGCCAAATGAAATTAAACATGACGAGAATTCATGTAAACAAATACATGAAATGGGAGTTTTAAAGCATACACCGTGAATGTTATGTGTGATTCATAAGGAATTAAAGATTACGAATCAGGTACGCTGATATATTCTTATCATGTTTTCTTATAATGAACACAGGCAGTGCTTTGAAATCCCGATCAGCCTTTCCTATGTCGTTCTATAACAACAAAGACGCAAAAGTTCAACACTACGCCGCATACTTTGAAACATAATTTTTGTTTATATCGAAAGCTTGTATTCTATAGTACTTGGAAAGTGCTGCTAGAATCGTGTGGTTAACATGAATTGATAACAATTCCTTGATCGTATGTATAAAATGTAAAAATGTTGGTAAGGTTTCAAGCGGAACTTTGGAATATTTTTTTTCTGTGTGGGAGAGTAGGATTCTAGCAGCACTCTTCATGGCCCAGTGATGTTTTTACATAATTATTTTCACAAAAAGAAATGAATTATCTCCGGGGTAGTGTTGAACTTTTCACTTTTTCATTAAGGCAATTTTTCTATTTACAGACGTCACGTGATGACGTCTTTGTGGAGTGCCTCTTTTAGTCTAAGACTCAATGACGTCTATACAATGGATAATAATAGTAAATGTTTTATCATTTATCAATGTTACATTTTACGAAAAAAAGTCTAAATTCGCCGAAATATGATCTTGGTAGTGCCTTAATATACCTGCGTAAATTGTTCAGATCATGACCCCCCGTGGTAGGGCGGGGCCACAATAGGGAATCCAAGTCTTACAATGAAATATATAGGAATTTTTTTTAAATCTTCTTCTCAAGAACCACTGGGCCATAAAAGCTGAAATTTATGTGGAAGCTTCCTGGGGTAGAGTAGATTCAAAATTGTTCAAAACATGACCCCCGGGTGGGGCGGGGCCACAATAGAAAATCCAAGTTTTACATTGAAATATATAAGAATTAAAAAAAAAAATCTTCTTCTCAAGAACCACTGGGTCAGAAAAGCTGAAACTTATGTGGAAGCATCCTGGGGTAGTGTAGATTCAAAATTGTTCAAATCATGATCCACGGGGGTAGGTAGGAGCCACAATAGGGAATCCAAGTTCTACATTGAAATATGTAAAGAAAATCTTTAAAAAATCTTCTTTTCAAGAACCACTGGGCCAGAAAAGCTGAAACTTATGTTGAAGCATCCTGGGGTAGTGCAGATTCTAAATTATCCAAATCATGACCCCTGGTATTAGGGTGGGGTCAATAGGTATTACAAGGGGGGAAATGTGGTTCAGAAAGCATTGCCAAAGTTACTCAAGTGAGCGATGTGGCCCATGGGCCTCTTGTATGAATTGTTATTTGAGAAATTCATACCAAAGCTTTTGTTGTTTCACGGGGGGGGGGGGGGGGGGGGGGTCATATGTTTACAGACGAAAAACCGCAAATATGGTCATTTTATCATCAATTTCAAATGAAATTACTTTTAAAATATTTATCAATCTTGTATGTCGAATTCAAACAAGTTAAACATACGGAAAGCTTTAAGGGCCATTTATCCATTTCCATGCATTTGCTGCATTGAAAATACAGCAAACCTTTCAATGGATAAAATGTTCAACTCCCCTTTTGAAAAGAGTCGTAAATAGGACCAATTAAGTTTTTGACATTGGTTTTAAGATTATTAATCAATTAATAATGAACTCTTCTTTGAATTGAATCAAGATTTAATGGCCAAACTGCCAGTTATATTGAATTAAATGGATGTAAAATGTATGTGGGGATCAAGAGTTAGCGTGCGTGGTTCTTCTGACATTTTAATAGATAGAAAGAAAAAAGAAATGTTACATGTCCTTAAAATTGTCTTGGTAATCATACTCATGGAGCAAAAGCTCTCTTTTTCCAAATTATGATCCCTGTCATTCGAATAATAAATAGTTTTTCAAATCACTAATGAAAACATAGATTTTTCTAAAAGGCTCAACCATAAAAAAAGCTTTATAATTCATGTTAAAAAGAAAGACTCTCTAGATTATGAAGATAAAGGTATGTGTATTATATCATGGCCAAGATATATAGATTTATATTCAAAACTGGGTATAGATAAAGGAGGAGAGCACTTTTGCAAAATAAGACAGTAATTATTATCATTTAGATTTCAAATTCAAATTAATTTAGATCCGTTTTAAAAAATTTGGTATGATTTAGTCTAAACAGTTTACATAGATCTCATCAACTTGTCTGTTTTGTAAGATTACATATATACATGTAAAATTTACTTAACTAATTTAAAACTCTTATTCATATTAAAATCACAATTCAATAAAAGGTAAAAACTACGGTAATTACAATGGCAGATTCTGCTTTTAGTTTTAATCTTTTTGTTCCAGTTAAATCCACCAAAGATACAAAACTGCAAGGCTAGGCATAACTGATCATTTAATTTGTGTACTTAATGATCATTTTGGAATTCAGACTGATAGTTTGTTCTTGTAATACCAACCATTTTTTAGCCTTTAGCGTCAATGTAAGCAAGTAGAACTTATTCGTAGAAACATATCGAAATTTTGTAGAAAACACTCTTCTAAAGGATAAATAGCATGACTTAGATGTTGCCAAAAGCGAAAATTTTGCAGATTTATTCAAGTCTTGTCATCATATCCTGGAGGAGCCACAGTCGTGATTAAAGGTTTGCATAGAAAAGCATTATTTTAAGAAATAATTGCCAATAAAATTTCTCATAAGTTACTCACAACCTTATGACATGTCATGAATGCAATTATCGGTTGCAAGAGCAATCTATAGATTCTTGAGCAATCGTTTTCAAATACAGAACTGTATCTGATCCATCTTAAATACCATCTATAATTTCTAAATTTTGAGTCGAACTTGTCTATTTACATATACTTAGCTAACGTATTTTTACGCATTTTAACCGAAAAATAAACAAGTAGGTAAAACAATCCTCTGTTGAGTATTGAAGAACACGCAATTTTTTTTTAATGAAATGGAACCAGGGTAGATATTGACGTGGAATATCAGTTTTAAATATTATGTTCTTTTAGAAATAAACGAATACAAGATTGAAAAAAGTTAATGCCAATTATGTTATACATTAATTTTTTAAACTGCACAAAAACTGATAGAACAATACGTCGACAACACTCCATCTGCGACTAAATATTGTATTCGAGTATAATGATAAAAAGCTCCAATTATCCTACATTTTTGAAATTATTAAACGAAATTATATCCCGCTAGGGAAGTTGAATAAAATATTGTTAGATGCTGTAGACTGTACTTCGCTTGTATGTCAACAGATAAATGCAATCTTGCTTAGTAATCGTGCACAATGTCCTTAGACACAATTGAAACTTTAAAATTAAAAACTAGCAGAGAGCAAATTCCATTCGTTTAGCATACGAATTGGAAATCTGAATAATTAATTATCTGTCTTATTGTGTTTGCCCAGTATGATTTGAATTATTATTATTCGTGCACTTCTTATAAAGCATTTTTTGTATAACCTTTATATTCTAGAGGAGAGTAATTAAAAGTTTTTATTCGCAGAAATATCCTTGAATAGTAAAGATTATTATAACCAATCTTAGTAACATTAATATTCATAGCAGTGATAAAAATCATTAAGCGTTAGCGGAAGACAGATTTTCTATTACAAAGTAACTGTAGAAATGTGCAATCCATAAGTGTATTGATTTGCATACACAGATAAATTTTTTACATGCAGATATATTGGTATAAAATAAAAGTAATGCAAAGTACTTACCGGTCCCATATAGAATTGAGAACAAAAATATTATGCAATGCAACGTAGCCATTTCTACGTGTTTTGTACAAGTGTTGTGCGAACTATAGCAGATGGTATTAAGTTATATGTGGAAAACATTGCTAGCCCAAGTCGTGGAACAAAGTTCACGTGATCGATCCATCGTAGTTTCTGATGATAAACTGTCGCTAATTATACTTGAACAAAGATAACATATTGTATTTAACCTTCACTGATTGCATCAAAATAGCGTCAATTTCACATTGAATTTTACTATACATTTCTCGATATTTACCAAATGTCAAGAGGGCAAGAAATTATAAGGCATTGTTTAAAAGTTTATGCGAAAAATTACAGTGGGGATTAAAGTTTGGTTAATATCATAAGTTCACATGTTAAAAATATCGTCAATTTGAAGTAAATGTGCATTTTAAACAATTTGAGGAAAAAAAACAACAATGGAATGAGAACATTCTAGAAGACTTGGCATCAAAGAAGAGAATATAACCTATAGGCAGTGAGGCTTTCCCCAAATCATTCTTTATATTAAAATGTTATCAAAAAATCCTAAATAACCGATTGCATACTTTTTGTCATTTCCTCTCTGTTTACTAATCTTAATACTTATATTGCAACAATTAGGACTTTTATTTGTAAATCCTGCCGACTTTGGTTGAATTGAGACAAATATTTAAAATGCTTTTTGTTGCAGTTTAGAAAAAACAAATGAATTACAACAATGAGAATTTAATGTTTTACGCTTTTTGAGCTATGTTTTCAATCCAAATTTCAATTTTTTTCAATAATTGTCAAAATGGTAATTCCCGGGGGGGGGGGGGGGTGGGTGCACAATGTGACTATTCCTAAAAAATAATTCACTTGAAAGAGGCAGTATTATCACTATTGTAAAAAAAAAAAAACTAGCAATACATAAGCAAGATTAACATAACAATAAGTGTTTCAAATATTTAGTGAGTAATAGCTGAAATTTTTATTAGATGAAGGTATGATAGTCAAATTCGGCAATACCATCACATCAAGATGTTGCGAGAAATACTGAGGGAGATATATATGATGTTGATAACTCACAATGGTTTTCAAAAAAAATTTTCGAGTTATTTTTTGGACATTTTTTTTCATCACGAAAGAGATAAAAGATATTGATAGGAGGATGTAATAATCTATGATATACAGACACATGTTTTTAATATATTTTTTTCATTTTTGTAAGACTAAATGAACTTAAGTATTTTTCCCATATGATTATAGACTGCTTGTAAGAAGTAAACGGTCATCAATTAGAAAATAACTATATGCAGTATTTAAAAAAAACCTGTATACCTGTAGTCCTTGGAGACTGAGTTTAAAATGAAAGAATGAGTGCACTTTAGAGTGTTATTTGGAGCCTTTTCGGCCACCCTTTTTAAGCCTTAAATTAGACTATATTGCTAAATTAATCTATGATTATTGTGCATACATATGCTTTTGATATTTATACTTCGAATTTTTTGTTAAACATATTGCTATAATTCCACACAAAGTCATTGAAAAGAACATGTATAAGTCTTAAATTCCGGAAATTTGAACTGGACCACTTTCGAATTTAAGGTACCCGCAAATGGGCGGAGATATTTAAATCGCATGGAAGTGGAATGTAAACATTTGCACATTATTTCCAGATTGATTCTACAGTATGAATTTAAATGGAGGAGAGAAAGATTGTGTAGTTTCATGATTCACACAAATAATAAATGATTCATGGCAATACATATTGATCATTTTCATGATTCGTAACCATATGTTTGATGCCTAGCACCGAATTAGATCAATCTTAAGTTTTCGTATATGATAAAAAAAACGCCCCCTCTTTTTTCTTCAGCTTTATCATTTTTCGTTTTATATGCTGAATGCTTTTCAATTCAAAGAATGAATGTATGTTTTAAGAAAGATTCACATGTACATGACTTTGATGTCACACTACATTTAATCGTAATTCACTGTACATGTAGTACGTAGAGTAATACAAACGTGTAGTGAATCAAATTATACATGTATGTAGTGATACATATTTTATTATATACATGTATAGATAAATAACATTCGGAAATGAAATATAAAATTTTAACTTAAAATTTGAGTCGCTAGGTTAACATGAAAACTCCAAGAAATACAAACTATCTGTAATTTAAATTAACATTTTATTGACGGAACAAGTATATTTCAGATTAAAAAACATGGTCAACGAAAATTCTACAACGTTACTATATCGATAATCACTCGTTTATGTCTTCAATATCTCTTTCATTTCGGCAATCCAAATATTGTCAGGTATGATACTAGTGTTTAGGGATGCAGATGCCTGCAGACCATAATACAGAGCCGACATGAGCTAACACAGCCACATACTAATCGTGCACTTGATTTACACTGGCAGTACCAGAATTTCCCTCAAAATACCAAACGAAAAACACAATTTAGTGAAAGAAGACAAGGTAAACTTTAAGACCCTAATAAAATTTTCGCAAAATTCTTCATTATTTTGAAGTTGCTCAGGCCGGTACAAACGGTGAGATTTGTAGTTACTGTATAATACAAGTATTATATTTGTATTATAATACTTTCCTGTACACAAGTTTATACGTTTTATTAGATTGTTAATAGACTTTAGGGATTTCTACGTGTTTCCCTCGCAATATTTCTCTCTCTCTCTCTCTCTCTCTCTCTCTCTCTCTAATGGAAAACGAGGTTCTGTTACCAGTATCTTTTATCGTATTATGCATTGCATTAAAACTGGAAAAAAAAAACATCGTAATGGAAACAGCGGCGGAACACTCTTATATGTACTTGGTGCACACAATGCATCGCTAGATGAGGTGCAAAGAGAAGACCCCAGTATAATTATAAAAACTTCTTTAGAATAGATAACGCTGCATTTGAGCAACTTTTACAATTACATGTAGTTACTCCTTTTGATCTTCTTCCCATAAAACAACGAGTTTTTCGATATTTTTACTGCATTCTAAAGTCGACCATTATTTACCACGTGCTTTTTTTGTTATGATAAAATAGGATGACCACAATGTGAGTACTTTTGATTGGTTTAAAAATGAAAGGTAAGTTAAGACTTGTATTAAGAAATAGAGCATTGCCCTATTCTTAATACAATTTTATAAGATTCGAAAAATCTTAGGATTCACCGTATTAAAGGTCTATAGATAGTCAGAATTTGTACTTAAATACATATCCGTGTGTACAGCCCTGAAGTCCATTGATAGACACAATGAAAGCATATCGAACAGTGGAATGTCACGTGAGTAAAGTGATTATAATATCAAACAGGTCAAAATAGGTTGACACTCGGTGACCTGTTAATTTAGTAGCTAACCCGAGCGTAGTTTGGAGAATTTTTTTTAAAAATTACATATGAGCCGCAAATTGTCCAACATTGCCCTTTGGATATGTATAAGTTTAAATCAAAATACACATTCTGTGCAAATGAGAAGAATGGACAAGTTGAGGCTCGATGTAAACAATGTCGTTGAAAACCGGTATGCATATGAATAACAATAGAAATGTGACAAAACTGCTAGACCCCTGTCGCAAAAACCAGTGTCGCTCGGCATTAATTAATATTTTTATGTGATATAATATATCAAACCCTGCTCTTAAGATATTGTTTAATAATTCTGATTCAACAAGTTTATAAATTTCGGAAATTTATTATTGGCAAAGCACCGGAATCCAACTCTCATAGCTTAAGTGCACTGATCCTTTGGAGATAACGAACAGTATTCAAGCTCAATGTCCACTAAAACAATTCAAATCGGGAACAGAGCAAACACAGACTTCCAAAAACATCAGAGGTGCTATCAGGTGACATGGAGAAGTGAGCATCCCCTGCCAACCGGTTACACTCACCGCGTGCCCCTTGTCATGATCGGGAAATAACGGGAAAATCCGTCGACAATTCGGTGTGTAAATGATGACCTTCTGGAATTCTGTTACTAAGAGCTCACTGTGGAACATATTTATTTGTTTTTTGACAAAAGCTGTGAAATCCATACTCTTTTATTTTCTTATTGAAATCTTTTTCAACAATCAGAATAAAATCAAATCTATACATTTAAGGCAATAGTATACACCTTCGTGAAGATTCTGTCTTCATGTAGCCAGATAAAAAAAATTTGAAAGAGTAGAATATAAACCGAAGAAATTGTCAATTTTCTCTGAAGAGCAAAATTTTAATAATTCATTCTCTGAATACCAAAGTAATTTTAGATTTTCCGTAAGAATATTCACACATATGTATATGATTTCTTTAACAAGCATTGAAATCTTGACTCACACACTTTTTCTCTATATATTATGGAAAATATTCTGTCAAGTAGGATGACTTCACATGAAGTTTGTGCCTGAAGTTAAAATAATCTATTTGTTTGATTAAAAACCCTTTATTATAACTTGGAAATCAAGGTCACAAGTTCAAGGTTGCCAATATAGATATATGTGCACCACGTTTTAAGTGGTCTCAAGTCTTTTTGCTGGTATCAGGCAGTTATAATGTTTGACTATGTCACCTATGCAAGTGAAATATTGTTTATTTCATCACCGGGAGCAGGAAACTTTTTTAATTGGCAACAGATTGCATTGATTTTAGTATACATTTAGTTCAGTATTTTAATTTTTTGAAGAGAATATCGTATGCGTAAATATTTTTAAAATACATCAGCTCTTTTACTCTTAATGTAGGAGTATTTTATATATAATTTAAATCTTAAACCCAGCTACGTGGTTTCTTTAGGGTAATTAAACTAATTTTCGCTTGTTGAATAACAATTAATGTTTGATACATGTATTTTACTATTCCTGTAAATATGGCAATTAGCATCTAAATACTAAGTCATATCTGCCATTATTTTTAAGCACAAATATAATTTCGTTTTTATCTATACTTTCATGATTAAAAGATTTAATGATTAAAAAAAATGAAAATGGTTGAACAACACGATAAAGTCTACCAAACTATATCTTTAAAATAATGTAATTGATCTGTTCGGCTCTTAACTTCTAGATACGGTGATTTTTCTCCTTCTTTCACAGCACAATATTTGATATCACGTATCATATATTTTCATTAATATATAGAGAGAAAATCCAAAAATTTGATTACAAATAATTAGGATTGTTATATATGCAGGCAAAATTAATAAATGTAAGAAAAGTGATATTGTCAGATTATAAAAAAAAAAATCTGTAGCATGATATATGACTTTGAGATATATTTAATAAAAGGAAACAATCCATTCCCATTTCAACTCATCATATTGTCTTCTTTTGTTTGTCATTTTTAAATTAAGAAAAAGTGTCTGTTTTGACAAAAAAATAAGCATTTAGGCAAAATTATTGACATAAAATATATCATAGGCGACAAAATCTACACTTACATTTACAATATTATGTCATGATAACTTATATGTGAAAATAACATAAATTAAAATACATTTTGTGATTTTTGACATAAAAAATCAACTCTGATTTTTTTAGTAAGCAGTGTTATTTAATTTACATAAACCAATCCACTAGCAAACAACTTTTGTATCAACCTACATGTAATTAATTTTGATTTTTTAAAAGATATTTTTCAAAAGTACTATTACTAGAATGGAAGTTATATGTACAATACTTATATTTCAATTGCAAATAACATTCCAGTTTGGAAGAAAATAGTTCAAATCACAAATTTAAATTGATCTAGGATAATGACTTGGTCATGGTGAAATCAGAGCATCCGTCTATGCTAAACAACTTGTGCTTTCTTTTGTCTGATTCTCTTTATCTTCCCTAGAACCATGAAGGTGACTAAGGTTATAAAGATTATTCCAAACACAACAGAGAGAACCGCTATCACGGTAGAACTGCCTCTTCTGCTTGAACTTCCAGTGCCATCAGCTATAATTATTGAAGTCTTTTTATGTAAAGAATTCTTTTGCTAGAATGAACTTTAATGAATTATAAGAAAAAAAAATGTGAATTACAAAAATGTCAATGAATAAAAGTAAAAAAAAGGTATTGTTAAGAACAAGATATGATCATTAAATCTTTCTTAAATTTTGATATCAAATTTGAAATTATTCTCCTTTTTTATTAAAAGCAATGAAGGACTTATCTTATTTGAAAAGTTAAGGCCAGAAATTAACCTAATCAAGGTGAAACAGACATCCTTAGCTGACAAAAAGTAGAGATAATGACGCAGGTAGATTCTTGTTTATACAACTCTTTTTTAAAACAAGACCTTATATAATTATTTTATTTTCAGATCGAAGTTTAATTGTGTGTCTCTAAATTTCGCAACATGGAATCAAGCAGAATATTGGATCAGCATAACATGCAATAACGTATGTAAATACAGTTTTTCATTGTCATTGTGTTGTGTCGGCAAATGACATGTGATGTGTAATATTGGATGTATAATACATGAAATTTAAGACTACAAACCTTGTGTCAATCTGACAGCGTTATTAACTGTCACAGAGTCCACTGGACCATCATATAAAATGTTACCCCCTCCTACTCTCTTTCTGGCACGTTGACAGGTTTGCTCACATGAATTGCTATAGTCATTCGATTTACAAAACGTAGCATTGCAGTGAAGGTATAGAGAATCGTGATTGGTGGAATATTCAAAGTCTTGGAAATAAAACCTTGTTTCGTGTGTTGTTTGCGAAAGTATTCTGGCATTAGGATCAATAACACATCTAAAACATGTATACAATTTAAATTATATACCAGTAGTACAAATAAATAATTCAATGAATTAAAAAGATAAACAAGTGTATATCTTAAGTTAGACAATGATTTTGAATTTTTTACCGATTCTTATGTCAAATGTGAGCTTACCCGTTTTGAATGATGAAATATTTCAAGCTTGAGAATGACGATGAAGTAGGCGTTGTAAAACAATCAGAAATTCTCATTTTAAGATTGTAGTCTCTCACATCGGTATAGGCCTTAACGTATACTCTATCGCCAACTCTAGATCCATATAAAGGCTTTGTGTATCGGAATGTAGAATCCGTGTAAAACTGTAAATGAACACTGTGATGTGTCGACCCTGTCACGTGATGAGCTGCAGGAATTGTGACGTCATGACCATGATTAAAATGACCGGATCCTTCTTCATTTCTTTTCATATAGCAATCCACGGGAACACGGAATCGATATTCATGAACAATGTAATGATGGTTTGGATCATGAAGGGCATAGACTAATTGATTGGTATACACAACATGATCAGTAAGCGTCTAAATGAAAAAAAAAACAATATTGATCAAAATTCAAAAACACTATGTTTTAAAATTGGAAGCAAATTAAGCACAAAATTTACTTAAAATATATGTGTGTTTCATAGAATAACTCACCCTTGTGACAGTGCCACAGGCGGAATAATCAGACCGGAAGTGGAGGTAATTCCCATTCACGTAGCCAGTGCAACTATCAGATCCTAAATAAATGTCATTGGAATTGAAGTCGGGGTACCTGTTGTAGAACGATGGCAGGTAAACGGAAATGTCCCAGGTATTATCCGTACATGCAACAGAGATGGCATTTTCCACCGAAAAACCTGATTTAATTAAAAGTGAAAATAAATAATCTTGTGACATATTTTCCCTACTTGCATCTTTCATTTCACTTTTCTATTGTAGTTTTAGCAGTGAAAGAATAATTTCAAGACATCATTTCCTGATATATACAATAATTAATAATAATAATAATAATAAAAGACTGATATTTGAAGGATGCTTGAATTCCTTATTAACAAAATCTATATAGGTTTTGAAGACCGGACCTTCCAAAAATATGTTGGAATTCAAATGTTGCCCAATCAACAGCAGACCTATTTTGGTATTCCCATGAAGGGATATCATTTTAAAAAAAGTAAACATAAAAAGGATTTGCTTGCAGTGGCCTTCACGTCGACAATAAATATATTGATGACTTTTCATCAATTTAACAATCATAATTTTCATACGTCAATTGATATATCAAAGTGAGCTTGAAAATTAGAGTCGTAACAGCGTCTGACACATCTATTTTATATTTGGATATTTATAAGAGAAATACATTAATGGCAAACTAGCACCTAAACTTTATGACAAATATCATGACTTCAACTTTCTATCATCAACTCCACTTATTTTTGTAGAAATACCATTATCACCTGCATATAAGTTTTATGTTTCCAGGCTGATTCGATACACAAGAATATTCCGAGTAAACAATTTCTAAAACGAGTAAGGGCACTGTCAAAGAATTCGATGATACAAGGGAATCAACAATTTCGTTTGAAGTGAACATTTCGCAAATTCTATGGTCGGTACAATGACCTAATTTACAAATGTAATCTGTCATTTGGTCAAATGCTGACTGACGTCTTTCAAAAAATTATTGTTAGGCAATTAAATTCATACTGAATCGTCTATTGATATGAATCACACGTAAATATGACCAATTGACAGAAATCTACTTCTCCATGACACCCGATCCCACCTCTGATGGTTTCGGAGGTCAATTTTCTTGGTACATTTTTGCTCTGAACACAATTTGTATTGGTTAAGTGAATTTATAGTAACTGATCATTACCAAACGTTAAAAATGATAAATATAAACTCACAAAAAAGAAGCATGATCATGTATAAGTTTTCTCCTACTTGTAAAGACAGAATGATTTTATAATAGACAGCTATTGCTATGTCAAACAATATACTCTTGCTAGTCGATCTTATGCATTCATTTCAAAAATTGTATTACCAGTGGTGACGAGATATGGCATCCATTCATTTTCATTGATGCAAATTTCAATATTTAAAAAAAACTAATAACAATATTTTTTTAATTAACCTAGTATTTAACTTTACAACTTATCCTTTGTGATAATTAGCGATTAACCAACCGAAAGAGGCATCACAGTGTTGGCCAGTATATCCATTTGCACATGCGCAGTAGTATCCTGGGTAACCATAGTTGCGATAACACGTACCACCATGTCGACAGGGATATCCATAGCAAGGATCAAAAGTCGTTGTCTCATAGTAGCCTTTCAAAATATGTTTAAATGTTCAAAAAAATTCTTGATACGTCCCTTTATTCAACAGGAAAAGATTTTCCCTATAAAAAAAATAAATCTTACCCATATAGTTTTCGCAGTGTTGCCCAGAATAACCCCTTGGGCATAAACAGTAATACCCGGGATAACCATAGTTGCGATAACAAGTTCCACCATGGCGACATGGATATTGGTAACAAGGATCAAATGTTGTGGCCGAATACTGACCTACACAAAGATACAAAACAAAAAACAAAACATACAAAACAAAAACAAAAACAAAAAAACTGAGCAACCATTTTTTCCTCCTCTATTTTAAAGTAACTAAATAAGGTTGTATCAATAGGATTTTATCAATTTCAGGTTTTTAAGTTTTATATCTAATATTAATTTATAAATTTGTGGTTTTTCTAACAAACTTACTTTGCATATTTTATTGTTATATGTACATTTTAAAATATTATATGAAATATAGGTTAAGATATAGTAAATGAAAGATAGAGATATCTCAAATTTGAGATACATGTAGCAATTCCCATTTTTTAAGTGATGCTTTCTAACTACATAGTTATGCTGCATTGGAAAATTAAGGTGTATAATTTATGCATATTCTAAATCTTTTTCAATTAAATATGAAGAAAACAAGAAATAATATATTCTGGGGAGTTTTTTGCTCAAAAGAAAAAAATACAAATGAAATCATCCAGATTGCCAACAGTCTTTCCTAAAACGGTAATCTATATTTCTTGTTCTCCTCTAAAAAATGATTTTAAATTGAGTTTGAGAATTTGGATAACTTTTGAAATGTTTTAAATTGAATTCCATGAAAATACTTCATTTGCTACATAATTTAATTGTAGCAGCAAAGTATAAGGGATAAGTATGTTTAAATAAAATATGTCGCCATATGGATAAAGCACAAAAAAGATTATAAACTCATTGTTTTTGTCGGTATGTACCACAACAAAATAACTTTGTGTGTTTAATGGTTGAAAGAAAAGGTCAATGGGGTGTATTGTATATCCTTAAGACCAATATACATGTATTTCAAATATTTATCTATGAAATATACTACTAGAAATACTACTAGAAATATTAACATATGACCTTTCTTGCATAAAGTTTCAGTAAAATCATAATTCCTTCACAAAAGGATAAATTAATTTTCGAAAGCTTACAATTTGTCCCGCTGTATCCGTTTGGGCAAACACAGTAGTAGCCAGGATAACCATTGTTTCGTACAAAACAGGTTCCACCGTTGTAGCAATGATACCCATAACAGGGATCATATGTGGTAGTTTCGTATTCATTTTTCGTGGAGTTGGCTGTTCAGCAAATTAAATAGATAAGTTTTTTCTAGTTTCTGTATGGTTTTACTTGTTACTCATTTTTTCGTGTAAAATTTTAAAGAAATGCACAAGCAAAGCAAAAATAAACCAATTTTTACATTAATGGAACTCAAAACTTCAAAACACATTTTCATGTCAAACTGAATGCTACTTTATGTTTTTTTTTTCTGTTTTTTTTTTCTCTTGTAAATTACCTCAGAGCTGATTCTAATCAATAAGTTACCTCAGAGTATTTTGTAATCAGTAAGATATGCTGCACTTACTACAATCGACTCCTGCATCTTCTGAGTGTCCACAATTATGGCTTCCCCAACCCCTGGAACTACAGTAAGCTACGTCACTCTCATATCCATTGCAACCTAGATCATCCAGCCATATTGGACCCCTCCCTTGTCCATAGTGTGCACTTTGGTAAGTTTGACTGAAGATACATTTTTATTTTTCCATTTATTAAAATTGAAATTTGTCACCATTTCTAGAAACGAGAACTTGTAAAAACTTGCAATTCAAGCAGTTTTAATTCAAATTTCTATAGGTTAATGATAAAATTTAAAATAAAATAAAAATAATAAATCATATTAAATTTCTTAATATATTTTTTCATATTACCTTGAGTGTGAATATCCCAACATTTTACAAATGACGTCACCGTCTTGTTTATCAAAGCTGTCGTCACATATGGTTCCCCATTGACCATTATGTATGATCTCTATCGTGCCTTTCCATGGATACCCAGTTCCAACAAGTCTTATTCCTAAAATATATTGATGCAAACTGTGCATTAATATATGGCCTTACACAATCAAACACACACACACACACACACACACACACACACACACACAAAGATTTCAATTTGTTATTTTTATATCTTCATAATTCGAATCTGGGTGTTTAAATAAACTTGTTAATATTTTTCTCAGTAAGATTATCCAGAGTATGGCAATCTCCTTATGTACACCATATCAAATGTGGATTATGTTTGCATAAAACTTATTTCATTGTAAAGAAAAATTACCTGGAAAAACTTTCAAATACTTGGCAACAATGTAAGGGATATTGAAGGTCTTTCAAACGAAGTATTAATATCAGCTTTTCATAACACTTCCTCCTACATGTGTATATGGTTTCAAGTTATTTTATTATTGGCTACAATGTAGCAGTGGATCCTTTTCAGGTATCTTATTTCATATTCAAATCAACATTGAGAATAAATAGCAAAAAAGTGCTGCATATATAAAAATTTGTGTCCGAAGGACTTTCTTGTAAGTATGTTGCACTGTATATATCTAAGGAGCTAGGTTCCCCTTCTGCATGAAATGACCATGGTCATATCCCAGTTACTTGATTAAAGCCCTATGTCCCATTTCAAGTCTTAATACTTTTGTTTCTTTTAAGAGTCCATTTAGTTATGAAATTCAGGCTTTGTAGAATTGCTATGCTCTGAGTTTTGTAGAAAAACAAGACTTAGTGTATTAAGGGTGAAACAACGGTAATTAAGTTCAAAAGTCATCACAGATCAATGGCAGCACAAATAAGGATCCCCCAAAACATCAGAGGTGGGATTGTGTATCATGGAGGAGTTATTATTCCTGTCGACCGATCACACCCACCTTGGTTCTTAATCATCGAGAAAACGGAAACTCAGTGTGTAAATAATGGCCTAACAATTAGTATTTAAAAGAGTCAGTCGTATTGACCATAGAACTTGCGAAATGATGACATTAAACGAGACTCTTGATACCTTCGAATTCGATTACCCTATTTGTCAATAGCTTTACTTGTTTTAAAAAATGTGTAACTATATTAACAGAAGTTAAACATCTTTATATACATGCAGAGAGAAAAACTTTAATCTGTATAGTCAATTTTACCAAGGAAATCACAGGTCAGGTACAAGGCATTCGAACAATATTGGGGTCTGTATTCTGCAGAACAGCTTTGTACGTATGTATCTGAGCAGTTGATGTCCAGTGTCCTGTAGGGATAGTTTGGATAAGAACTGCAAAATGAGTAAACGGAAACATTTGAAGATAAGCAGTTTGGTTTTGGAAATATAATGGATGCCACTGTCATAGTGCAATTGTAGTCTTTTTTACGGGCTTTAAATGAAATATCAAAGCGATAATAATATAGAATAATTGTAGAACATTCATATTTTCCCATACTTATATGAATATAAGTGGCAAGATACACTTTAATTGTAGTTTACAAAGAGTTTTGAAAACTTTTTTTCTTTAAAAAAATAATGTGCGCACTTAGCTGAAGTTTACAGCATGTTTATTTATCTTAGTTAGGAACAATTTATTTTTTTTTAAATATTTATAAAATTAGTATTTCTATATACTTGAATGTGCACAAGGTATGATCCTACTGCGTACAACCAAAATATCAGACTTTGATTAGAGATTACGCCAGCATATTTCGAAATAAATAAAATTACAAAACGTTTGCCTAATTTTCATTTCGAGACAGTGGTAAACACAACACACGAAATACTGTATGGCGATGTTTGATGACGTTTCGACACACCGTACTGCAGTTACTTTTTTTTTTAGATACATGTATACATGTATAGTAATGACGCCTTGGCGGATTTAAATATATCAAATGATTTTAAAAATATGAAAAATCAGTACGTCTTTAATATACAACTGGAATTCGCGTTATATAAGCAAAGGTATGGTGGCATATTTCTGTTCCCTACGTGCAAGATAAATTATGTTAACATGCGACATAATTATGTAGACATCCGACTTATTTATGACAACATGCAAAATAATTCTGTTGACATGCAAGTTACCAATCTCTCTAGAGAATCTTGATTTAATGTTGGTAAACTTACTTACTAAAGCCATTATATGACATACAACCAAGATATAACAGATTTATGTTGACATGCGACTTATTTATGTTAACATGCGAGATATTTATGTAGAGAGTGACTTATTTATGTCAACATGCAAGATAATTATGTAGACATGCATCTTATTTATGTCAACATGCAAGATAATTATGTTAGCATGCGAGTAAATTATGTCAACATGCGAGATGTGTATGTTGACATGCAACTTATTATCTTGCATGTTGACATAAATATCTTGCATGTTAAAATATAAGTCGCATGTTGACATAAATAAGTTGTATGTTGACATAAATAAGTCGCATGTTGACATAAATAAGTTGCATGTTGACATAAATAAGTTGCATGTAAAAAAAAAAGTCGCATGTTGACATAAATAAGTTGTATGTTGACATAAATAAGTCGCATGTTGACATAAATAAGTTGCATGTTGACATAAATAAGTTGCATGTTAAAATATAAGTCGCATGTTGACATAAATAAGTTGTATGTTGACATAAATAAGTCGCATGTTGACATAAATAAGTTGCATGTTAAAATATAAGTTGCATGTTGACATAAATAAGTCGCATTTTGACAAACTGAAAACTGTACAAAACAGTATTGAAAATGTAACAACGAAGTGTTGATTATTTTTCACTTTACATAATAGTCCATGATTTTACCAGATACATGTAACGCTCGTACGCAGTTATTTCTTTCAACTTTTTTTTCCATTCCTGATAATTAAAAATGGCACATTCATAATAATTAGTTTAGAGTGTACAAAGTAGGATAAACAGTTTTATTTTTTTTAAAAGCACTACGTCCCAGGTAACAAAACTTAAAGAAGAATCACGTGGTGCGGATAAGATATATTTTTATAATATTTTTAAAAATTATAATCTTTCTGGTCCTTGTTGCATCTTTAATTTAGGTATAAAGGAGTGGCGGCTTAATATAAAGATTCATTTTTTTAAAAATCGGTATTGTGTTTTCTTTAGTGGGCCTACACCTTTGTTCATTCCTTTTTTTATACTTTGGTTTAAGCATGCTATTTAACTTGTGAATATTTTCAAATTTAACAATTTTAGCATTACGTATGAATTTGACGAGATATTTGAGCTGCTGCATTTAAAATGTATCTGATATATAAAGAATAAGGTCTGAAAAAGTTTTCCTATTTTAGTTTCAAATGGACCTAGAGTGTCATAAAAGCTCAGTTGGTAGATCTAGAGTGTTTGCTTTGCAGTTGGAAGGTTTGGGTTCAAGCCCTAGCTACGACAACCATGAGTCGATGAAAATAGGTAGCAACTGTTTTTTTTCGCAAAGTGCTTGGCACTGGGGAGAAAGTTGCTGGCCTTTCGAGCTAAATGAGGATTTAAAACCGAGGCCTTATGTCTCGGAAGGCACTGAAGAACCCTCAACCCTTAAGAACCCTCAACACTCAATAGCCCTGAATGTCCAATGATACTTTAATAATGACGTCTTGTATCAATCATCTTCACCCAACTATGATTTCTGTTTTATCCAGTTCTTCGAATTGGAATGAGACTTTGTTTTCCGCCTGGTGTTTTTCGAATCAACAATCATTTTACAATAAGTTATCGATTTAAAAAGGTTATAAATTCAACTTAAAATAGTCAGAAAAGGATTCTACTAAGAAGTCAAAAGAAATTAAAAATATAATGTACATAAGGTACATAGCACAATAATTTACCTGTTGTAAAAGTAGTAATGATATCCTTTTGACTGACACAGTGCTTCATATGTGTGGTTAGTTACTCCATCAGCACAAACCTCAACACCATCAACGTACACTTTACCATACATTCCGTATTCGATATACACACTGGAGTAACCTTAAGTTTAAGGAAGAAAATAATTCAGAATATTTCTTTCTAATGAATGCAGTCGAATCAAAATGTTTTAGATATAAAACTCTCCGAAAGATAATAAACTTAGTAATTTAGATTACCTAACATTCTGTAGATTCCAATTCGTACTTTCAAAATAGTATTGTTTTCAATTAAAAGTATTTTTTTCATAATTTAAATCATTTTTTATGAAATAATCAGAGATATCATGTACCAATTGAAACGCCTGAAAGTTCTGTAGTTGTTTGTTGTGTTGATGTCGTTTCTCCTGCAAAAAAGAGTTAATTAAAAATTAAAAGATGGTCGAAAAGTATTAAAGGAGGATAACAATGCACTCAAAGATAATATGAATGATCGGAAGTCCTTTTATTTCATCGTTTACTTTGATCAAATGGTATATATGCTATTTTATATTAATAAAATTATTTTCATTTAAGTTTGTGAAGCATCTCTGGATCACGTGAGATTAAAAATCCCTACTTTGTGTCTCCTCTAACTGTAACCCATAGTGACCCCCATGTACTTCATCCCTTTCTGGGACCACAGAGAATATTGCATTGTGTTTGAGGTACATAATTTGTTTTCATCTGAACTACTGTTTTGATATTCCCTATGTCACTGTTGGTCTGGCCTTGTGGATTTGTAAACAATGGTTCCCCTGCACATATTGCTTATGGGATATTCCTATGTTCTAATGCCATAAAGTCTCCATTTTTCAAAAAATTATTTTCATTTATATTACATGTTGTCGTTTCGTGATAAATAACTTTGTTGGAACCTAATTTGTCTTGTGCGATTTTGAAAAAAAAAAAAGAGAAAAAAAAAACAGGCTCAATATGTAGTTATAGGAATTTTCATTTCTAGAAAAGGTATTTTTTGTTAACAGAACTAAAATTCAGTTTCATGCTTATCTCATCTGGATTATGTAAGATTACAAATTCACACTTTGTGCCTCATCTAAGGGTAACGCTTGGTGAACCCATGTAACTTTATCCCTTTGAAATAAGGGAACTAGCAGCATTTTATCTATCCTATATATATTTTATACAGAGAAGACGACCAGTAATTTGACTGTAAATGTTTTAAACTACCCACCTTCATCCCCAGTCATACACTGCTTACATTGTATATATGTACGACATATCTTATAACTCGATTTCGTGTTTTTCATGTACATTTTTTGTATATCTACTGTGTTACGATGTTGTTTATTGAAGGCCAATCATATTCGTTACATGAATATAAAAATGTCATGATATTTTATTTAGCCTTTATATATACATATATAATGTAATTGTTACATACTAAGAGGCCAATTTTTTTATTGCCTATTTATTTTACAAGATATTCTCAGGAGATGTATTCTAACGTCATATGGGCTCCCGGTCTCCTTTTTTTCTATTTTTTTTATGTATTTAACTTTGTCTTTTAATAATAAATGACATTGTTTAAACTTAATATGTGTTTTGCATTATTTGGTAAAATTCAAGCTCAATGTAGTCACAGGGATGTCGATCTCCAGAAATAAAACTATGACGTGAATATTGTTTACTGCAGTATTATGTTATTTACCCTTAAATCATTAAATATTTCGGAGGTGTTAACGGGATTTTCTTTACAAATCATTTTTTTTAAATTACATGTATTTCTTTAATCTGAAATTAAGCAAATTTGGGCTAGAGAATTCAATTTTCTTAAAACTTCTTTTGATTTTCTTATATATTGTTATGGCCAATACGAAGAAATTGATAAAAAGTTCTGAAAATGTTTCTAACGAGTTCTATCTATGGACAAAGATTTGAACAAAATTCATATTCAAGAGTAATTTCTAAAGCATTTACCGTGACAATAAATGTAAACCACGCTTGAACAGTAATGATATCGTAATTCCTTGTTGCAGTTGGAGAGATAACCAGAAGAGCACCTAATTTCGTATGTGTTGTAGTGGTCGCGTGCAGATGTACTGTAAAATAATGATAATTATTTTTTTTGTCGTTCATAATAATTTTTTTCAATAATAACAAAGAATAAAAATGTTTATCTGTAGTTCAGAAACATTAATTTTGTAATCAATAACCTTCGAGAAATGTTGGAATCAAAATTAACTCTAAAAACTTATGATATAATTAAAACGCTTTTTTTAATAATCGGTAATAAATTTACAAAATAAAAAAATTAATTTAATTACATATAGAAATTTAAGCTATTGTCCAATAATTTTAAGCTTCCTAATATATATATATATATATATATATATATATATATATATATATATATATATATATATATATATATATATATATATATATATATATATATATATATATATATATATATATATAAGTTTGATCATGTTTACCTTGTGTAGGTACTATAAAAATATCCTTTTGAACGACACAACGCCTCCCCTGAGCGATAATTATATGTTGAAGTGCACACTTCGAATCCCTGTACGTACACTCGACCACTAGTTCCATATTCTATTCGTACATCCACAGAGTCTATAGATAAGATGGACATTTATTTTTTTGTAATTAAAATGTTCTTTATGCAATATCTGTATATTTGCGTTAACACTTTTGACTTTTCCATTTTTTCAGCATATCAGATTACTTATTCTAAACATAAAGATACCGATACTTAGTCATCATGAAAAAACTGTATGACCTATAATTTTTTTCCTTGTACCAGAAGACTCATTTTTGGCTAATTACTGGTATGTCTTCATGCAATGATTTCGTCTGTGACCTTTTTACCATTCTCTGATAGATCAATTTTTTTTTTTTTTTTTTTTTTTTTTGATGAAAGTCGAAAAAAAATACTTGAATCTTACAGATGAACCAGTCCTATCGGAAGATGCTGTGAAATGATTTTTGATGGGGGGTGGGGGGATTTTTGTTGTTTTCCTGGTATGAAGAGACCCACGAATTTGTATCTTACATTGAATGTTAACATTACAATACAGAACAAGTGGTCCAAGGGCCTTTAGGGTCACCTGAGTATGATAAAACAATTTATAGGATCCACAGAAATATAAAATAAACTGATAGATGAAGCTTTATTACCCCAAAGCGAGAGAAAAAGGATGGTTGGGATCAACAAAATAATTAATCTAGTACTCAGTATCAACTTATAAAGTAACATTCTCTTGCCCAATTCATCAGTATCACCATGTAGACTATTAACAAAACAAAAGTTCGTCAGTATAAGTTTTAACCCGGGCCATATTTTAACCTCTCATATCATAACTATGCACTTAGTTGTTAAAAGAATCAAAAAATAAACACATTTTCACTTCATTATCAATAGAGCACGCCCCATCCCCTCACCCCCTAGACACACCAGAACCCCTTACCCTGGGACAACAAGTTTTAAAATTTTTGGAAGAAGCACCCTTGCTCATCATAACTATGCACCTTGTTTATGTACTCAATACCATCGAGCAGACAAGATTATTTAATAAAATCAGTGCAATTTTACTATATTACTATGTTATCAATAGATCCAACCCTGATACCAGAGCATCTGACCCAGGGCCATGAAATTCACAATTCTGGAAGAAGACCCCTTGTTTATCAATCTCTACACTTAGTTTCTTTGCTTTACCAAGAGCGGAAAAGAATATTTTCAATAAAATTATGCATTTTTCACTTTATAATCAATAGACCCCCCTTTCACCAAAATCCCCGACCCTAGGGTCAGGAATTCCACAATTTTGGAAGAGGCATCCTTGCTTATCATAACTATTATCATACACTTAGTTTGTTTACATAATAACCAGGAGCAGAGAAGAATATTTTAAAAGAAATTATGCATTTTCACTATATAATCAATAGAACCCCCCCCCCCCTTAACACCAGGACCCCTGACCCTTGGGCCATGAAATTCACAATTTTGGATGAGGCGCTCTTGCTGATTATTACCATATACTTAGTTTGTTTACATAATAGCCATAAGCATAGAAGAATTCAAAGAATTAATGCATTTTCACTACATAATCAATAGACCCCCCCTTTAACACCAGGACCCCTGATCCATGAAATTCACAATTTTGGAAGAGGCACCCTTGTTGATCATTACCATATGCTTAGTTTGTTTACATAATATCCAAAGCAGAGAAGAACATTTTCAAGGAACAAGAAATCTGTGCGCCAATGCTCAGTTGTAATACCCCTGCTCTGATGTGAATATATGCTATCATATGATCATGAACTGCAATGAGTAGTTGCTGAAAAATCTGCGACGGAAATTTGGAAACAGATGTACGGATAAACAAGAAGTTGATATCAGAATCGTACAAAAATGAACACCACCATATGGCATGCTCAAACAAAGAGTGTGCTAAAATTTCAAGCATCTTCAATGAGTAGTTGCTGAGAAAACTGTGACAAAAAATTGATACGGACAGACGCACGGCTAAATAGGACGTTGACATCAAAGACGTACAAATCCACCACATGGCTTGCCTAAACAAAGAGTGTGCTAAAATTTCAAGCATATGCAAAGAATAGTTGCTGAGAAAACTGCGACAAAAATTGTTAGGGACAATAGCTTCGGACAGATGCACGGATAAACACCAGAACTAACACCAGAGCCCCTGACCCAGAGGCCAAAGGCCATGAATTTCACAATTTTGAAAGATGCACCCTTACTCTGCATAACGTACGATGACGAACGAAAACGGATAGCAATAGATCACCTGCGTGATTTAGTTGACCTTAGAATTCAACAAATCTTCCACCAGAAAATCAATTTCCCACGAAACAATAACTGAAAAAATAATCAAAACCCAGGAAAATTCGACCACGCCAAAACAAATGGTTTTACAGTACTATTGAGAGTTATAGTATGCATTGCTTATTTCCCCATACTATATTCCTATATATTTAGCACTGTGTACTGATTCATCTTTTTATTAAACTTTATTTGAATGTAATCAATATAATAACGCAGAGCAGTTAAAGGGGTCTGGACACAGATT